ATTTTATGCATCATGTTAAGTTCAATAACCAAGTTGTAAAGGTTACGAATTTGAAAAAGCAAAGCCACTGATTTTCAACAGCAGACTTCAATGGATTTCCTTTAGCGCCTATTTTCTTTTCTAGGCATTAGGTGAAACTCCCAACTTAACCTCACTACGTACTGTAGTTGTTATTGAAAGATTTTTGGAAGACAGTAGTGAAGATTTGCATAAACGAATTGTCAAGTAAGTATACCGATAAAGAGTCACGGTTATTAACATTTGTGGTAATGATCATAATTTTCATAAAATGCATGTTGATCTCCTACATTGTGGCATTAATTTTGAAAAACAAACCCAACAATATACTTTTACTGTTTCAAGTTTTTGTGTTAAAATACAATGCATTCAATAATAAATTTTGTATCATAGCAACACATTTTGTTACAATTTATCTGCGCATTAAAGATTTCCTTAACATGGAACCTTAGTTGTATGTTCATTTATGTTATACTTAGTGAATTATTATAATGTTAGATTTGATGACGAATGCGCCATTTGCAAGAGATCACTTCAAGATCCTGTACAGCTACCATGTCGTCACGTGTTTTGTTTATCTTGCATAACCAATTGGCTTAACGATCATGACGTATGTCCTGCATGTAGACACGATGTTGGCAATGATTTTCAATTGCAAATTAATGAAACAATGAGGTAACTATTTTGTATTCAAAGCTTTACAATCAAAGAAGACATGTGTGTATTTAATGTATGGTGTAAACGTTTGGTCATAAATTATGGCGTCTTGTCCAGAAAATTAACGTTCATTCGCCACTTGAATGAATCGTTTTTGCTTTTATATATGTGCTTATGAAATGAAAATATTGCTTTTTAATTTATAGTTTTATTTAAAAGAACTTTTAGATTGATAATAGACTTTCTTAAACAGCTAGATTTGATAAACATATAATTTAAAAAGTAAAATTTTCCATTTACAAGTACTGTATTTATTTAGGCTTTCGTTGGAGTTGTGGAGAAGTTTTCGTAATCGTTGCAAACCATTTTTCATGAATTTTGTCTCTGTTTATTGCTTTGGCGATGATTTACCACAAGATGAACTTGTAAAAAAATTCATTGCTTATGTGATAAACGATGAAAAATTCACAGAAGATTTTTCTCCTTTCGATGGTCACAGCATTGATGTAACTCCAGTTATAAGATCATACATTTTACAACAACTTCTTGCAATCAAAGGAAGGTATGTTGATGCTGAGAAAATCAAATAATTCCACTACGTTTTAGTTGCTAAAATTTTGATTAATTTTGATTTTAATTGAAATTTTGGTACATTAAATGAGAAACGTCATTTTTGTTTGTGTTTCTGCAAGGAAAATTAGTGATTAGTGTTATTTATGCTAAAGTTCGAGCACTATTTTGCCGAGTAATGGCGATGTCATGCGGAAATGCGTTTCAGTGGTAACCTTTCTATCTACTTGTACATTGTAAGCTCTTGCTTCATCGCAAGTCATCTTTATTATAATGAAGTGTTTTTGAATTTTTATTCAATAATTTTTTGGCAAAGCAATTTTTTTCGATTGGCGAGTTACGATAACTTACAAAAAAATGCGGGGAATTTAGGTTTTTCACGAAGAAACGGTCAACATTCTAGCAGAACAGATCAATTTGCGTTGTTGCTATCAAAAAATTATTGTATTGTGTTGTATTAATAAAATGCTTTTTTAAGGGAAAAAGAAGTTTGTACGTATTTGGAAGAATATCTCTGTCGTGCTCAAGGTTTATCTACCAACAAGGAACATTTGATAAACGTTTGCGTGTTGTTTGTTCATTGTATCGAGGTAAATTACGTTTTTATAAAATCATTTTGCAAAATTTTGGGTGCTTTTATTCCTTTGTTGTTAAAGACATAATTCACTTATAAATCGTTTGTTTTGTAGTAAAGTGTGTTTAGTTTTTAAGATAAAGTAAAAATTCGAGTTGAATTTTAAAAAAGTGCATAATTATAGCTATTGGTTTTATCTTTATTTAGGATGTTGAAACAGGGAAATTATTAAAAGCAAAACAAACTGAAGGCAGTGTTGAAATAAACATGTTGTGCAGAATCCTTGATAGAATACTGGGGAATTTTCGTACCTACAAAAACCTGGACATTAACAGCCTTAAAGATGTTGCTGCAATTCGGGCTGCGTTTAGTGAGCTTCCTGCATATTTCAATGACGATCTTTCCGAAAACTTAAAGAGCAATGCGGAACTTCGAAAATGCATCCAAGCAGCTAAACATTTATGTGAGAATGAATATGCTCTTCAGTTATTCCTACTAAAACAGTTGGTTCATAATGATGAAAATGGTTTCGATGGAGTTAGAGAAAGATGTAAGATCAAAGAATTGAAATGGATTTTGCCTCCACAATCTGAGGTAACCACTTGTTCAGTTACTAGCTAGTTTATACGTACTTGTGTGGTTTGTTTTATTCTTGAAATAAATTGTATTATTAATGATGTCAAATATTTGATCTTCACATTCAAATTAGCAATTTATCATATGATATGCTTAGATAAAGCACGCTTATGTACAAGGCCACCATTACAATGTTGAAGTTGCATGCTTTCTGATACGTTTCGAAGCAGTTTCAAAAGTAAAGGAGCGTGATTTTGTATCATAATATCAATGAAGAAACTTGATCCTTGAAAATATTTATGCCCTATACTTGTTTGGAGTTGCAATCACCTGCTGAATTTAAGATCTTTATGATTTTTCTTCTTTGAGAGAAATGCAGTTAGTCAAATCAGCCATAGTAACGTTACAAACTTGTTATACTTTATTCCTTTTAGAACTTGTCCTGTGATGATCGTGCCCGGTCCTGTTATATTCTACTTGCAGTTTATTGCGAAGTAATGACCAACTTTTCCACTGAAAACGAAGAAGATCGGGTTCCTTCAAAGGTATATTTATTGCACTTTATCAAAGACTGTGTAGCAGGATTTTCTCCCCCCTGACCTTCTCTGTAATTCGGGAGATGATTTCTTACTTCTTGGTCTTACTTACTTTACGTTTACGAATCGAATCAAATATAGTCGATATTTTAGATCGAGAAATTTGTTTTCTGTCCATAAATCTACCAATTGCAAATTTCATAAAAGATTTTGTATCATCATTACGGAAAAATATATGAACATATTTGTTGAATATCTTGAAAAATACATCGTCATATGTGAATGTATTCTGTAAAGAGTGTTGGTCAGGAAACATTATTTATACTATAAAAAATTACTTTTTTTGTTATTATGTTCGTATGAACGATTAATATAATTTTATATTTAGATTGTGGAACAACTCGATGAATATCTTACTGGATGTCAGGTTTTAGCAACTCAGGTATTTTGTGTGCAGAAATAATGCTTTGGAATCTTATATACAGGCAGTTTAAATTACTATCCAAAAGTATTTAGTTTCATAGGGTTACAGTGAAACAAAATGCCAAAACATTAGATATCACTTGCACTATACAAAAAATAAAAATGTAGTAACTAGTGGATTCTTCATTGCTTGTTGTGCTTTGGTTACAGGTTGGCATTTGTTGCACTTGCACTATTCATTACTATCAAATATTAAAAGATAAATCTTGAGCAGTTCTTTTTTATATTCTGAGTATAATTTAAGTATTATCGATCATGCATTTTTTTGGGAAGTGCACAATTAATTTTTGGAAATGTTGTAATTGTATTTAGAATATGAACTGATTTTTGAACACTATGCTTAACACTCAAACCATTTCAATTTAAATCTCTTTAAGCTACCTCTTGCGAAGAATCTCTTGGTGAATTTTGACAACAGTTCTCATCAGCAAGTACTTCAGCTACACAGTGGCCAAACTTTAAATGATAGACGTTTAAATGAAATCTTGATTCATTTCCTTGTTGTTATGAGTTGCTTTCCAAATATTCAACTTTTGGCTCCCTTCTCAAATCTTGCATTCAATCCAGGATCAATGAGGGTATGTGTTTACAATATTTATTTATATAATCGTAAATATAAACATAACAGTGACCAACTTAAATGGTTAATTAGTTCTATTTTAATTTAATTCGGGAGTATCTTTTCATGACTGTATAGAGTAGATTTTCCAATAGAGTTTTGAGAAGGAATGTTGGTGTTGTTCAACAACCTTAGTGGCAGTAATTTCCGTCACTAAAAGCACTTTATTTAACATAGATGTACAACTTAGTATTGATTATTGTCAGAAATGACGTGAAATAATTAGTAAGACAGATGACAGTTTTTTATTTATGAAATTCCTTTCTAAGAGTGCGTTCATTCCAACCATGCCTCAAGATGATAGTCCCGAGGTCATGGGCGTTACCCAAGGCACGTGGTATGGTAAGTTATAGAGATTGACTCTGCATAAGATGCCTTAATACTTAACCTATGGCGGTATTATGTACACTTTTGTTTTTTTTTACCACTCCAGAATGCATTAACGGACATCTTTATGTCATTACTGAAGTAAGTTTCTTTTAACATAAGTATGTTTTTGTGCGCAATTATTTTTTTTTTGGATGTGCTGCTGGTTTTACCTTTATGTAAAATGTTTATGCAAAGGCAAATATTGAAAATTGCAACACATTTTGTGTTTCTACATTTTAAACGCTGTTATTTTTTCAATCAATGCAGTGTGGACGTCCAAATCAAGCGTATAATTGCCCAACTTGTGGTGTTCCTATAGGAGGGTTAAATCATAGGCTAGCAGCTGATAATAGACAGGCATCGAGGTTAGTCTTTGCATGCTTGCATAAATTTGTTTTGTATTTCGTAAGAATCTTAGAACTAACATAAAAAGCTTGACATGTGTTGTTTGTCCTTTTTTACCTTTTTTCTGCCTTTAATTGGTACAATCGGGTTTAAAATCTAGCTTTAATCGTATTATTTTACTAATGATAGTTTTAAAATAATGATTTTTTTTGTCGTTGTTTGCTCGTATTTTACGTTTCCATATCTCCTTTAGGGTAGATCGAAGTAGTACTGGTCACATTCTAGGACGTGCACAGGATAAACCTCCAAGTGCACAAAGAAATTTGAACCCATTATCGTGTTGTGTTTTACGTTGTTTGACACATGTGGCTATGTTGTTAGGAACAACTCCCGATCAAATTCAGGTAAGTGTAAATGAATGAATTTTATCCTTCACAGATTCATTAGTCATTACTGTGTGTTAAAGTTGATGCCAACTTCAATTGATTTTATTTCAATTCATATCTAAGCAAACTGAATAAATGTGATTTTACGACATATTTTATCTACCTTCTAATTTCTAACACGGCTCAAGATTTAAAATTTCGAGAGCAACTCGATTCAATGGCTTGTAGTCCAAAGCCATTATTAGAACATGAGAATCATTAGAACATGAATTAGTGTTCTAGCTTATTCTAACACATTTTTAGTTTAAGCTTTTTTCTAGCCAAGCTTTTCATTATTGTAGCTTAAGATTAATGCTGAAACTTTCAAATGCTATACCTTTTCTATGATTATAATTTTTTAGAATATTTCAGCTATTATCAAACCACCTGTTAATAACGTTGTTCAATTCATAAAAGATCATATAGAAAATGATCTACGTTGCATTGCAAGATTTGTTGGTACAAATATTGAACAAGCTGCTATGATCATCCATCTGATTTTTGTAGAAATCGTAAAAAATAATCATGGTTTGTTTCTTTTCTTGTTATTATAAATGGGCCTAAATTTTTTGGTGAAAAATTAAAAGCTGTGTCACAAATTAGAAAACAGTTTACACTGGCTGTTAAAATTTAACAGATAAACATGTAAAACATACCTTTTTAAACGCATTTGCTGATTTTGTTTTGCAGCAGCATACCATCAATAAAATTTTTTAACAATTTTTAAAGTGTACATTAAAATTTCCCAAGTCAGTCATCTGACGATTTATCGTATTTTGATTTTCTATTATATTATCTAAAATTTAGTTTCTTTCTTTTCTACTGTTTTCGGAGATCATTAAAAGAAATATTTTCACCACGTTACTCATGCATGATTTTAGAAGTTTTATGACCAGCGACCACGTTGTGTACTGAATTGTAATAAACAAAACGTTCATTGCGAAGTAACAGAAATATCAGTACTTTGGTTGGTCGCCACTAAATTCGAGAAGGAAAATATACAATATTTTATAACGTACCAACTGGCAACATTATATTCAAAATTATAAATTCCATCCAATTCAGTTTCAATCCTGGGAAGCAACCTTGATTTCAAAATATTTCAGTAGTTTTTAGATTGTTGCTTTTTGAATGCATAATGACTCGACCCAAACCCCTCAACCCTCGGCTATCCATTTAGAAATCCAATTGTTTATTGATCACAAAAAATCTTTTTTGTCCAAACGTTTGGATCGGTGATAATTTTTGTCTACATTTTCCATCGTTAGGAAATATCAATGCTTTTCAAACTGATTTGCGCAGTAAAGTGTCAAGACAAGCTTGGGAAGATGCATTTATGATTACCTACCTTAATCCTGTTCTATCGGTAAGTTATCGTGTGTTTTTTTACTAACCAATACCCCAGCAAGTAAACAAAATGAAAAAAAAAACAACAGATAATCTGAAAATGATCATCTTATACTGGTGATATTGTAGTTTTTTGCGTTTTGGTATTTAATAAATATTAAACAATTTGTGTTACAGTAACATATTTTCTTTTTAAGGTTGTTTCTCAGTTGTTGCAAGATGCCTTAGGTAAAATGGTCAGCGATGAACGACTGGGTAAGAAGAACCTTGAAAGCCGGTTTTTAATCTTTCTGAATATGTTTTATAGAAAGCAGCTTCAATTTAGAAAAAAATTCTTTCTTCATATGTTCAACAATGTAAATAAAAAATATAGTCGGGTAACATTACTTCGCATTATGATGAGCATCATTATTTTCTATGAAAACACGGTCAATATCTCTAGATAGAAAAATGAAGCGAGCATTATGATGAGTATCATTATTTTCTATGAAAACACGATCAATATCTCTAGAAAGAAAAATGAAGTGAGCATTATGATGAGCATCATTATTTTCTATGAAAACACGATCAATATCTCTAGATAGAAAAATGAAGCGAGCTTTATGATGAGCATCATTATTTTCTATGAAAACACGATCAATATCTCTAGATAGAAAAATGAAGCGAGCATTATGATGAGCATCATTATTTTCTATGAAAACACGGTCAATATCTCTAGATAGAAAAATGAAGCGAGCATTATGATGAGCATCATTATTTTCTATGAAAACACGGTCAATATCTCTAGATAGAAAAATGAAGCGAGCATTATGATGAGCATCATTATTTTCTATGAAAACACGGTCAATATCTCTAGATAGAAAAATGAAGCGAGCATTATGAGGAGCATCATTATTTTCTATGAAAACACGGTCAATATCTCTAGAAAGAAAAATGAAGCGAGCATTATAATGAGTATCATTATTTTCTATGAAAACACGGTCAATATCTCTAGATAGAAAAATGAAGCGAGCATTATGATGAGCATCATTATTTTCTATGAAAGCACGGTCAATATCTCTAGAAAGAAAAATGAAGCGAGCATTATGATGAGCATCATTATTTTCTATGAAAACACGGTCAATATCTCTAGAAAGAAAAATGAAGCGAGCATTATGATGAGCATCATTATTTTCTATGAAAGCACGGTCAATATCTCTAGATAGAAAAATGAAGCGAGCATTATGATGAGCATCATTATTTTCTATGAAAACACAGTCAATATCTCTAGATAGAAAAATGAAGCGAGCATTATGATGAGCATCATTATTTTCTATGAAAACACGGTCAATATCTCTAGATAGAAAAATGAAGCGAGCATTATGATGAGCATCATTATTTTCTATGAAAACACGGTCAATATCTCTAGATAGAAAAATGAAGCGAGCATTATGATGAGCATCATTATTTTCTATGAAAACACGATCAATATCTCTAGATAGAAAATTGAAGCGAGCATTATGATGAGCATCATTATTTTCTATGAAAACACGATCAATATCTTGCATTATGATGAGCATCATTATTTTCTATGAAAACACGATCAATATCTTGCATTATGATGAGCATCATTATTTTCTATGAAAACACGATCAATATCTCTAGAAAGAAAAAAAGCGAGCATTATGATGAGCATCATTATTTTCTATGAAAACACGATCAATATCTCTAGATAGAAAAATGAAGCGAGCATTATGATGAGTATCATTATTTTCTATGAAAACACGATCAATATCTCTAGAAAGAAAAATGAAGCGAGCATTATGATGAGCATCATTATTTTCTATGAAAACACGATCAATATCTCTAGATAGAAAAATGAAGCGAGCATTATGATGAGTATCATTATTTTCTATGAAAACACGATCAATATCTCTAGATAGAAAAATGAAGCGAGCATTATGATGAGCATCATTATTTTCTATGAAAACACGGTCAATATCTCTAGAAAGAAAAATGAAGCGAGCATTATGATGAGCATCATTATTTTCTATGAAAACACGGTCAATATCTCTAGAAAGAAAAATGAAGCGAGCATTATAATGAGTATCATTATTTTCTATGAAAACACGGTCAATATCTCTAGAAAGAAAAATGAAGCGAGCATTATGATGAGCATCATTATTTTCTATGAAAACACGATCAATATCTCTAGATAGAAAATTGAAGCGAGCATTATGATGAGCATCATTATTTTCTATGAAAACACGATCAATATCTTTCATTATGATGAGCATCATTATTTTCTATGAAAACACGATCAATATCTTGCATTATGATGAGCATCATTATTTTCTATGAAAACATGGTCAATATCTCTAGATAGAAAAATGAAGCGAGCATTATGAGGAGCATCATTATTTTCTATGAAAACACGGTCAATATCTCTAGAAAGAAAAATGAAGCGAGCATTATAATGAGTATCATTATTTTCTATGAAAACACGGTCAATATCTCTAGATAGAAAAATGAAGCGAGCATTATGATGAGCATCATTATTTTCTATGAAAGCACGGTCAATATCTCTAGAAAGAAAAATGAAGCGAGCATTATGATGAGCATCATTATTTTCTATGAAAACACGGTCAATATCTCTAGAAAGAAAAATGAAGCGAGCATTATAATGAGTATCATTATTTTCTATGAAAACACGGTCAATATCTCTAGATAGAAAAATGAAGCGAGCATTATGATGAGCATCATTATTTTCTATGAAAGCACGGTCAATATCTCTAGAAAGAAAAATGAAGCGAGCATTATGATGAGCATCATTATTTTCTATGAAAACACGGTCAATATCTCTAGAAAGAAAAATGAAGCGAGCATTATGATGAGCATCATTATTTTCTATGAAAGCACGGTCAATATCTCTAGATAGAAAAATGAAGCGAGCATTATGATGAGCATCATTATTTTCTATGAAAACACGGTCAATATCTCTAGATAGAAAAATGAAGCGAGCATTATGATGAGCATCATTATTTTCTATGAAAACACGGTCAATATCTCTAGATAGAAAAATGAAGCGAGCATTATGATGAGCATCATTATTTTCTATGAAAACACGGTCAATATCTCTAGATAGAAAAATGAAGCGAGCATTATGATGAGCATCATTATTTTCTATGAAAACACGATCAATATCTCTAGATAGAAAATTGAAGCGAGCATTATGATGAGCATCATTATTTTCTATGAAAACACGATCAATATCTTGCATTATGATGAGCATCATTATTTTCTATGAAAACACGATCAATATCTTGCATTATGATGAGCATCATTATTTTCTATGAAAACACGATCAATATCTCTAGAAAGAAAAATGAAGCGAGCATTATGATGAGCATCATTATTTTCTATGAAAACACGATCAATATCTCTAGATAGAAAAATGAAGCGAGCATTATGATGAGTATCATTATTTTCTATGAAAACACGATCAATATCTCTAGAAAGAAAAATGAAGCGAGCATTATGATGAGCATCATTATTTTCTATGAAAACACGATCAATATCTCTAGATAGAAAAATGAAGCGAGCATTATGATGAGTATCATTATTTTCTATGAAAACACGATCAATATCTCTAGATAGAAAAATGAAGCGAGCATTATGATGAGCATCATTATTTTCTATGAAAACACGGTCAATATCTCTAGAAAGAAAAATGAAGCGAGCATTATGATGAGCATCATTATTTTCTATGAAAACACGGTCAATATCTCTAGAAAGAAAAATGAAGCGAGCATTATAATGAGTATCATTATTTTCTATGAAAACACGGTCAATATCTCTAGAAAGAAAAATGAAGCGAGCATTATGATGAGCATCATTATTTTCTATGAAAACACGATCAATATCTCTAGATAGAAAATTGAAGCGAGCATTATGATGAGCATCATTATTTTCTATGAAAACACGATCAATATCTTTCATTATGATGAGCATCATTATTTTCTATGAAAACACGATCAATATCTTGCATTATGATGAGCATCATTATTTTCTATGAAAACATGGTCAATATCTCTAGATAGAAAAATGAAGCGAGCATTATGAGGAGCATCATTATTTTCTATGAAAACACGGTCAATATCTCTAGAAAGAAAAATGAAGCGAGCATTATAATGAGTATCATTATTTTCTATGAAAACACGGTCAATATCTCTAGATAGAAAAATGAAGCGAGCATTATGATGAGCATCATTATTTTCTATGAAAGCACGGTCAATATCTCTAGAAAGAAAAATGAAGCGAGCATTATGATGAGCATCATTATTTTCTATGAAAACACGGTCAATATCTCTAGAAAGAAAAATGAAGCGAGCATTATAATGAGTATCATTATTTTCTATGAAAACACGGTCAATATCTCTAGAAAGAAAAATGAAGCGAGCATTATGATGAGCATCATTATTTTCTATGAAAACACGGTCAATATCTCTAGATAGAAAAATGAAGCGAGCATTATGATGAGCATCATTATTTTCTATGAAAACACGGTCAATATCTCTAGATAGAAAAATGAAGCGAGCATTATGATGAGCATCATTATTTTCTATGAAAACACGGTCAATATCTCTAGATAGAAAAATGAAGCGAGCATTATGATGAGCATCATTATTTTCTATGAAAACACGATCAATATCTCTAGATAGAAAATTGAAGCGAGCATTATGATGAGCATCATTATTTTCTATGAAAACACGATCAATATCTTGCATTATGATGAGCATCATTATTTTCTATGAAAACACGATCAATATCTTGCATTATGATGAGCATCATTATTTTCTATGAAAACACGATCAATATCTCTAGAAAGAAAAATGAAGCGAGCATTATGATGAGCATCATTATTTTCTATGAAAACACGATCAATATCTCTAGATAGAAAAGTGAAGCGAGCATTATGATGAGTATCATTATTTTCTATGAAAACACGATCAATATCTCTAGAAAGAAAAATGAAGCGAGCATTATGATGAGCATCATTATTTTCTATGAAAACACGATCAATATCTCTAGATAGAAAAATGAAGCGAGCATTATGATGAGTATCATTATTTTCTATGAAAACACGATCAATATCTCTAGATAGAAAAATGAAGCGAGCATTATGATGAGCATCATCATTTTCTATAAAAACACGGTCAATATCTCTAGAAAGAAAAATGAAGCGAGCATTATGATGAGCATCATTATTTTCTATGAAAACACGATCAATATCTTGCATTATGATGAGTATCATTATTTTCTATGAAAACACGATCAATATCTTGCATTATGATGAGCATCATTATTTTCTATGAAAACACGATCAATATCTCTAGAAAGAAAAATGAAGCGAGCATTATGATGAGCATCATTATTTTCTATGAAAACACGATCAATATCTCTAGATAGAAAAATGAAGCGAGCATTATGATGAGTATCATTATTTTCTATGAAAACACGATCAATATCTCTAGAAAGAAAAATGAAGCGAGCATTATGATGAGCATCATAATTTTCTATGAAAACACGATCAATATCTCTAGATAGAAAAATGAAGCGAGCATTATGATGAGCATCATTATTTTCTATGAAAACACGATCAATATCTCTAGATAGAAAAATGAAGCGAGCATTATGATGAGTATCATTATTTTCTATGAAAACACGATCAATATCTCTAGATAGAAAAATGAAGCGAGCATTATGATGAGCATCATCATTTTCTATAAAAACACGGTCAATATCTCTAGAAAGAAAAATGAAGCGAGCATTATGATGAGCATCATTATTTTCTATGAAAACACGATCAATATCTTGCATTATGATGAGTATCATTATTTTCTATGAAAACACGATCAATATCTTGCATTATGATGAGCATCATTATTTTCTATGAAAACACGATCAATATCTCTAGAAAGAAAAATGAAGCGAGCATTATGATGAGCATCATTATTTTCTATGAAAACACGATCAATATCTCTAGATAGAAAAATGAAGCGAGCATTATGATGAGTATCATTATTTTCTATGAAAACACGATCAATATCTCTAGAAAGAAAAATGAAGCGAGCATTATGATGAGCATCATAATTTTCTATGAAAACACGATCAATATCTCTAGATAGAAAAATGAAGCGAGCATTATGATGAGTATCATTATTTTCTATGAAAACACGATCAATATCTCTAGATAGAAAAATGAAGCGAGCATTATGATGAGCATCATTATTTTCTATGAAAACACGGTCAATATCTCTAGAAAGAAAAATGAAGCGAGCATTATGATGAGCATCATTATTTTCTATGAAAACACGATCAATATCTTGCATTATGATGAGCATCATTATTTTCTATGAAAACACGATCAATATCTTGCATTATGATGAGCATCATTATTTGCTATGAAAACACGATCAATATCTTGCATTATGATGAGCATCATTATTTTCTATGAAAACACGATCAATATCTCTAGAATGAAAAATGAAGCGAAATTCCCATGGAATCGTAACAAGATGATGTTGAAATTTCAAATAAAATGCAGTCACGACACTGTGACACTTCTATTAATACTTTTAGTCTTGTTTTTTATCATCAGTGTCTAAGCAATTAGATGTGCTGTATAAAATTTTATGTTCAGAATTATATATTTCAATAAGTTTTTCCTGTTTTGCTTCTTCATAAAAAGTTTGCAAATTAAATCAAAGAAATTCATTTTGTAAAACGTCCATTATGAGAACAAAGTTATTGTAAAATTTAATGACAATTTGCCGTTTGGCAGTTTGGCTACGTTTTACTTTCTATTCGTATATTTTTATGCTAAAGTATAATGCAGGCTCTTCAAAACATAGAGTTAGATAATTGGTTAAAATATTTTTCCATCACTTTTTCCAGGAAATAATCGGCTAATGAAATTGATCAACGAATTAGATGAACCAAGCTCCAATGTCGTTACAAAACTCGATCCTTCATGTCCAGCACTTTGGAGAAATCGTAAGAAAATCACAATTGAACATTTGTCCTTCAAATACCAAGAATATTCTCAAGGTGTCACAGTGCCAACAGACAAGTGTGAAGTACTTGATGAATTTTTAAAAAAGGTTATGCTTAATTTCCTTTACAATGATTTTAAATGTAATGTGCAAACGTCTCTAATCTGTTACTCACATTTTTAAATTTTGATCTTTCTTAAAACTTTATATTTAGCTAGGTGTAGCTACTTTTTTATAAGAATTACAGTTATTGCAGGCTACTGAACAAGACAGATTTAAAATTAAATGCATGGTGCTTTTTAACGTGTAAATAGCTATTCTAAGAGCAATTAATTTATTGTTAAAATATAAAAACTAAAATGCAGAAAATATTTAATGAAAATAGACATTTTGTTAAATATGTTATGATTTGTTCCGGACTTTTCAAAATCAGTCTACAACAAGGACTTTTTGTTACCACTTTACTTTTTTAATCTAAGCTAAATTGAGAGTTTACCCTGGCCCAGGATCCCTAGTTAAAGATTTTAAAATATACATTGTACAAACTTCTATACTTTTTGTTTTTCCAGGAATGTCATCTTCGTGCCTTACAGTATCTTCCGGATATTATAAAGTTGCAACGTTTTCTTTTTGAAAAGTTTCATCGTTGCTTAGATCGAAACGAAGCTGAAAAATACACCATTGGAGACTTATATAAAAGAGGTACAGCTATACACTGTTTTTGTTAAAACGCGTGTCTGATTTGCTGCAGTAAATTGCATTACTGCTGTAGAATAGCTATGGTTCTTGTTGTTCTATGGTTAATGCATCTTATGAAATTAAATAACTTTTGATTTGTGATGTTAGTGGATGCTCTGTATATAGCATGTCTTGTTAAACAAGTATTCATATTGTCAGTATTAATCAAACAAAAGTTTTCCATTGTATTGACGTCTTGCATTTAAAAATACCAAGAATTGTTATGCGTGTTCCTTTTCTGCTGTAACATATTTTTGTCAAGATTATTCATCTTTCTTCGTAGCTTGCATCTAGGGTCTGTTAAATAGACAAATGTTCTCTTAGTCAGATATATAGCTAAGACGTCAAGATTTATGGAATAGTATTGAAATTATTCATAACTTTTGAAAATTGGTTTTTGTTTATTTGTCTCACATTTTGATCAATTAAATACTTTTTCATGGCAAAGAAATAGTCCTTAAATTTGATTTTTTTCCTTTTCGTTTGTAGCCCCTGACATAAAACAGCATGTGAAGTCATTAATCAACAGTTTCAATATGGCTTGGAAAATCATTAGATCATCTATTCCACAAGATGGTGAGTGACAAAATAAAAGTTGAGTTAAGTTTGATGCTATGTAGAGTGAATTTTTCAATTTATTTATTTTATTTACTGATGTGTTTTCTTCAGTTGTTTTAATGTATGAGAGCAACAGTGGTTGACAAATCAGTACCTAATTAAGTGTTAACTAATGCATTCTGTTGAGTAATATCTGAAATCACTTTGTTTGTGTTACCAAGATTTCTTTAAATAACTGCAGTTGACTTAATTGACTTGTTAGGTCATTACGGAATTTCAAAAGAAATTAGAGAGAACGAAGTTATCAACGCTACTCCAATTTCGATGTTATTGCCTTCTTGGAAAGGATTTGGAAAGTGTTCTTTGGCATTGACAAATTTTATGGTGTCTTTACATAACAATTTTATTGGACTATGTAAAAGCTTGTTGAAGGACGATAAAAAGTAAGATAAACTTTCCAAGATTTTGTTAGGATTCATCACTGGTGAGAACTTCATTTAATTTTATGTTTTAAGAAAAGGGCTACTTTTATTCCTCAGGCTGGTTATGTATTCTGAAAACACAAATTGCCTTATAGAGCAGGTTTTCACCCTAATACATATTTCATTGCTATCCTTCTGTTAGCTTGATATTTTTTACATCTTTATAGTTCAGAGGAGCTATCGCTGTTAAACGTTACTAAGGGGCATTTGGTTGCCTATGATCCAGAGAGAGATTTTTTGCCGATGGTCCTGGCTCACTGTGATTATTCACTAAAAGTTGGTGAAGGAGGTGAAGAAACAGTTGTGAAGTTCAACTGGAAATCTTTAGAAAGACAACTTGTCGACAGATTTATTCGAGGAAAACCTAGAATTACATCTTTGGTTAGTTCCCTGAATTTATGTTAGTTCCATGTTATCCATGTTGTGCAGAAAAGGATATAAATGATGTGGATTGAGAATTTATGGTTCTCTCAGCTATTTTTGCGTTTGATTATATAAATTCAGTTTCTGCTTTTCTAGGTTGAATTATTTGTGTTCAGCAAAGATATTTGTGATGGAGCTGTTTTTAAAGCGTTGAATCAAAAGATCCCTCAGGTACACTTAATAAGAAAAGTAGCTAATTTAGCTACTTTAATTGTGATAAGGAAGAACAAAACGAAATATATTTTCTGTTATGTATTCAGAGTTTCATAGAATCTGCTCTGTATGAATGATCTTATTTTCAAGATTTTGGTCATTTTTTCTAATGTCGTTATTTTTTCTAACATCCATGGTTTCTAATTCTGTTTGTAGATTAAACTTAGTCGACCAGTGAAAGATCAGATCTTGAGTGAACTGAACCAACTCACTGATGTTTGTGACGTTCTTAAATCTCTCCACAATGTCATTGGTTTCTTATCGTCTGCTGGAGGAAATCCAGGAATGCTTATCAGTGAATATATGAAATCAGCATTGAAAATTGATCCTAGAAACGGTTTAAAAAGTGGCAAGGTAGCTATGCTGTGTGTAAATAAAACGGATGACCTGCTAAATTTGTGAAAACTCTCTTGCTAAAATCTTCTTTATCAAACAAAACGTTTAACAATATTCTTGAAGGGTTTGTCCTTTGTCTGCAATCAAAAGAAGAAGAAAAAAGTAGGGAAATTTCGTTCGATACTAGTTTGTTAAAGCCCAGGTTTATGATGCTTGACCGAAATTAATTCTTTAAATTTGAAGCTCTGATATTTTAATTAGATATTAATATTTTTTATTCTCGCATTCCTTGGCCTTTTCTTTTTGGGAGGGCTTAAACCAACCATTTTTATTATTTGAGGGGCTTAAGTCCTAGAGCCGTAGTTCCGCGCGATCGTACAAATAAGGTCTTGTTGAATGTTGGATTAAGCCCTTGTCTTTATTGTGTGTTTCAAGGCTTTTGTCTGTAAAGGTAGTCTCTTTCTTTTGCTTATGAGTGTTTATCCTATTCCTCTGCCACAAAGGTGTAAAGAGGGAAAGCCATAAAAGTATGTTGCATTCTTTTAACATGTACTATAAGGGTTTCTGTAATTATATTTTAGGCAGAGCAGATTTGTCAGCTTCAACATGTTGTTGCGCTTTGGAAATTGTTATCATTAGAAAGAGCAAAAATATTGACTAGACGTAAACAGGTTTGTTCGGCCTAGATTATATTTTGGTACAAATCGTGTACGAATTCTTATGTGAAGGTATTAATTGCGCTAACAGATATAATCTTATACGTATATTTTGTTTTGGTACTAACAAAACCAATGTCAATCAAGAGCATATCAGTTAGGTAAACATAATGATTATTTTGCACGGGAGTCCTGCTTTTTACTTGTTTCAAATCAGCAAAATTTATCGTTAATCTTATAAAGCAACTACAGCTCATATTGACTACCATAATTACATCAATGAAAAATATTTCTTCTGATATATTCTTCGGATATATTCAGCCCTTTAAAACAATTTATGTTGATATGGAATTTAAGAACTGTATGGACTATAGTGCGTAACTGTAAAACATAAGGCAAAGGATGATATGGGAATATTGAAATCTTTGTGGTATTGCTATAGGAACCATTTGACGATGTAACAGATAAGATAAAGACAGCACTGACAAGGGAAATAAAGTTTGAATTAAGTCGTGGTTTACAGAAAATCAAAATTGATCGTTTCGTTGATGAATTGTTGCAACTTATTTTACTCTTTTTGAAAAATGCACAAGACGAACAGTTGCACTGGCCGTAAGTAAAACTATTTAGCTACATAACTATTTGTTGTGCTGCTTATTTAACATCTGCTACATGTCCTTTCTTTCATATCCCAACTTTTTACATCGTAAAGTTGGTCGATCGTTTTTATTGTTTGGACCAATGTCACTTGTTAGCGTTTCATTGAATAGTTTATTTCAAATTCTATATCATGGTAAAAATACACGCATGTTTGGAGAATACGATTTAATTTTCTGAATTCAAGGCGTTAACTGACCACTTTGTCTAACGTGAAAACTCTTGTTGTATACAACCATTTATATATACAAGGAAAACGATACTAAATTTATTTTACCACGTAAAACGTTTTCAAAATTGTAACAAACAAGTCATGATAGAAAATGTACAAACATTTGCAAATGTTTTGTATTTATTTTTCGGAAAAATGTTAAAAAGTGTGGAAACATGTCCTTTCACAAAGGAAAAGGGTAATACAAAATCATGAAAAAAAGTTTGAATTGTACAATCATCTGCTTTTTACATTTCCAAAATTTTTCAATCAAATTTTGTCATTTTATAAGTCAATGATGCTTATTTTAACTGTATCAACAGAAAGGTAGTTGTATTCATTAGAAAAAGCTTATGTTTATATAGCTCATACCACTAAGATTTCAATTTTTGTCCTTAACATATAGTTTAGCAGAGTACATCAATGCAAAGCTTGAACAAGATGGTTGTGAAATTATTAAAGATCTTGAGGAGAGTTTACCTGATGAAGTTACTGTTGCACATGCTGTTGAAGCTTGGAAGCTTGCATGTCAGAAAAGTGATGATCACAATTCAAAAATGTATTGATTTAGTCGACAATTTTTTTATTAATGACGATAAGTTGCTTGAAATTCTCTAACTTGATAATGCGCATTTAATTTTCAGAAAGATTTTTTGGAAGATATATAGGTACTTTTTAAATCAGTTTACAAAAATCTCGTTATAAAATTACATCAAAAACAGAAAACAGTTGTCATTTAATTAGAAAACATTTGAGAACATCAGTAAGTAGTTAAAAACAATATATCATAATTTCTATCTTCTTTAACCCAGCAGCAATGTGCATGTGTGACGTTTAAATACTGCATGAATGAAAATGTTCGTTATTCTAACCAATGTATCGTTAAAAAAAGTTTAAATCCATCACTGCCTCCAATATAAGTATTAAAGTTTTGATTTTTGGGAATGTGGTTTGCAATGTGATAAACCTGTATTATAAAGCTACAACATCAAAAGCCATATCATTTATGGCAGAATAATTTCCCTTGATCAATTTTGACTTTTAAATTCCCAGGTAAGACTTGTGGTTAAGAAAAAAACGCTATTGAGTGTTAGTTATGACAGCTGCTTATTTAACTTCCAACAATTCCTAGTGCTACCACAGTGTTGGGAATAAACAGTAGGGCCACTTCGCTGTGCAACTGGCTGCCGTATGCCATATCGTCAATTGTATTGGTCACACAATGCAATTTACTGGCTGCCAATATGGTAATCACATGCAAAATAAGATACGTGTGGCACGAAAAAATTCAATGGAGTGGCCCTACTGTATGTTCTATATACTGTGGTGCTACATATTGCGAAACTGTTGTACATATAAGCAGTTGTTGATGGCAACTATTTTGAGGTACGCAGTTTGATTAAACCAAATCAACAAATCTCCCTGGCATTTCTGTACAACACAGTATTGTATATTTTATCAGAATACGTGCAGCTGTAAGCCGTGTTCCAAGTTTCTATTAGTCAAACTATACAATTGACTATTAGCAGCAATTATGAATGCAGTGGCTGAGTGGCTGTAAAGACCTTATTTTTTATGCCGCGACCAATGACCACGTAAGTATTACGTTGTCTAGCCAACATGAGAACTTTAATACAATTGGCTGTGCCTGTCTAATACAGAGCCAATCAATTACTTTGCTTTGTTTATACATAACTCAAAAAGCAGTGGACGATATCATACGCGATAGTTTGGAAATAAGTGCACTTCATACGAGGAGTGTGTTTCAGATTTTTAACTTGTAGTTACTAATGTAATTAGAACATTTTCTTCGCTTGCAATTTTGCGCTCATGGAGCCTTACGCTGATGGGTCAAATCCTCCAAGCTTTCAAACAGACGAAGATGAGAATCCTAACAGAATACAATCTCAAGCAACAGCGTCTACATCATCCAATCCCAACATCGTTCACCATGATCTGTATAAAGATGTGGGTAAGTGTTTGATTATAATTTTGAGACACCAGTTTTTTTCAAATATCATTTCTTTCAAATTGTGTATTTACCTAAATCAATTATTGCGTTTTGGAATTTCCGGTTTCGATTTATGATTTTTATCGATCTGTGAAGGACCTCAGTACTTTTATGTTACAGAGATGCAACTCAAACCCAAACACAATTTATTAAGTTGCTGTGAAACTTTACACATGCTTACATTTATAGATGGTAATTATCTAGTAAAATTTTTAGTTTTGGTTTATTACTGTTTACGATTTATTGAGTTTTTTTATCGGTATTCAAGGTATGTCGTAGTTTGCATATGTATAATTGTCTTGATTTAAAAGAGAATTTTACCGTCAAGTAAATTCTTTAAAAACCATTGCAATAATTAGCTTTTTTAAAGAGTTATTGGGTCAAGGAACGCATTACCGTCAGTTGTTACGTAGGCAAGACCAAAACAATTTTTAGCGAAAAATTATTTATGTCTTCAGAAAGTTAATTCCTTTAGTGTTTTTCCAGTGAATGATCACGGAAATATTTGCATTACATAGGAATAGAAATCATGTGGCTTCGCTACTGTGTTTTTATCTGTGATAATATTCAGGACTAAACGATTTTTCAAACTCGATGTAGCTAACGTTTCTACAGCTTGGTGTTAGTTTTCATCACATATGACATTAATGTTGCCTTGGCTCAAACACCGTCGCTTATAAGCCGAACTGAACGCACACCGGTTCACTGGTTAAGCAGATACGTGGCACTTAATCTACAAGTAATCATGGTCCGCAAGAACCAATGTTTTGTCATTTCATGTCCAACTTTTAACATGATTATTTTTTATATGACACATTAAAACGAATCAAACTATGTACTGAACAAATATGATGAAATCATGCAGCATGAAATATTGAATATTATGCATAAAATAAAAAAGCTAAACTTAAAAAACTAATGTGATAATGTTTTGTCTAAAAAGGATGCCTGATGATGGCCAATTGTAAAACATAAAGAATTTATTTATTGGATTACTTTGAACCATTTTGATGATGGTTGAATCCTCGATCGGCTTGATATGTAAACAAATATGTATTCAAATAACTTGAGACCTTTTAACTCAACTTATCTAGTCACTCAACTTGTACTCAACTTTTCTTGAAACGAGTCTACCAACAGGGGGTGAGATTGAGAAATTGTGAAAGTAGCTAATGCGCTTGATGAATAATAAACTTTGCAAAAACTTCTGACAATTTCTTAAAATATTTACATCCAAATCGGCTTTGTTTTTCTTCTCAACTCTCAAGTGCTTAAAATTCAGACGGGGTGACCTTCCCTCGTATTTTTGTGCCAATTCGTATATAATATTTCCACAATTTCTTTAAAAGCACTTTAGATATTAAACATTTCAAGTGAACAACAATTTTCTTTAAAGTAAACATGTTTCGGCATGTTTATGACATCTTCAGACCTCAATGAACAAATACATCACATCAGCTGTATATTGAACTTGTAAATAATTTTAGATAATTTAGTAGTTCGATACCTCTTACTTAAATATATAAACATATAGCTGTCCTTCACTCTAATTTCAGTAGCGAACTTAGTTTTTAGTTGTTGGTAGCTCTATATTCACTAATCATTAGGTTATAAAAAGGTTGTTGCTACAATTCCTGCAAGTAATTCATAATGAAATCTCCAATTAAAATATTTCGGGTCAAGATGTGTGCTCTATTTTGAGTATGAAGATACTAATCTATAATTAACATAAATATGTGGCCTTTAAGAGGGTCAAAGATTGTTTTGAAACAAAGGGCTATTTTCTGGGTTTTTTTTAATTTCAATTGCCTTTTTATGATTCTCGAACATGATTTATTTTACCACAGTCTAAATGATCTTTTTAAAGCTTTATGAATTTAGTTTTTAAAGTGAAAAAGCAATTACCAGCACTAACGAGCTCCATAGCAGAGTCACTTGTAGCGCTTTGCGTACACTGTACCTTTGCAGGTGTGTGGTTTTCTACAATTTAGACGTGCCTTAATTTTTGCTGTCAAATATTGAACGTGTGTTTATTTTTTTGCCTCAAGTTACGAATTTTACACCGTGTACGCACGACATGTAGTAGGCTATCAAACACTTAGAGTTTAAATGGGTAATTCTTCAATTCATATTTATATATATTACAAATTAACAAGGCCTGGGCTAATTGCAAAGTAGAGAAAGCTTATCTTTATCTGCCGTTGATAAGATACATATTGCTCCTAATACTTTTATTAGGAAGAATATGAAGTTGTGTTAAAGATACTAAGTTAACTACTTATGCAAACTTTTGCAATTTTTACCGCTAAAGTCATGACGCAAGCGAAAATATAGTTCAAGAAATTTAACGGTGAAAGATCTTACTATTTTCAAACAATTCCACTTCTTAGATAGAGTGTCATTCAAATATCTTAAATTTTGCAACCAGATTTATAAAAAGGTAAAGACACAATGAAGTGATGCGCCTTATAATTGTCAGGTCTTCGTGTAGCTAGTTTCGTGTAGCAGCCTTTAGACGTCTTCAACTTCTTCACAACAGATATAATGTAGTACAGAAAATATTGAGCTTAATAAGATTTGGAACAAAAGCACGTTTGTAGAACTCACAGAAAATAATACTGCACATCTGCATAAGTAGAATACGTCATGCGCTGTATGAGTGACTACTAACACATGCAAACGATAGTGCTGGTAAAAATAACAGGCTTAAAGAAAACTTGCTAATTGTTTGTAGGTATTTGTGAGATGAAGTTCAATGAAGATGATCATGAGAATGAAAACGACAAAGGTCAGAAGCAAGGTCAAGGAAGGTACCACTACCCTTTTACTTATTAGAGTTCATTAGAATAATTTAGCAAACACGACGTTTCGTCTAAGACGTCGTGAAAATGGCGTGGCATGTGCTTTTTACTTCAGGTTCATTCTACGACGGCAGTCGTATTGACGACAACGATGTGAAAACATACCATTTGACGTTATATGATGCCTGAGACAAATTTTTGTATAAAAATAATTATATATCTTTGACCTTTGTATCTTAAAAGGTTATATAGGTCGACACATATATATTTAAGTACAAACTGCGAATGTTTTTGTTTCCTAAAATGTAAGAAACCAACAAATAAACATAGCGCGGCCCTCCTCAGATTACAGGGGTTTCCTCGAAGACAAAACAACCTTAGTCAAAACGACATATGTCGATGATTTTGTTTTTATACTGCAGTATATTTTGATGTCAAAAAATTAGCTTAAAATTAAACGATAGAAAGAAAGATCCAGCGGGAAATTGCTGAAATTGATAAAACTTGTTTCATACTATTTGACTAAATTTGACAACGTCTTAGACGAAACGTAGAATTTGCTAAATAATCGAGTCTTACAAATTTATTTACTGTAAATCATCCTTAAAGCTATTACATATTTCAAAACTAATTGATGATATTTACAAAAACAGTGACAAAGACACCACAATAGGTGTATAGTACATAACATGTTATAAAGATAATAATCAGTCCTTGGGCTTAATAAATTACATTTAAGTTAGTTCCATTTACAAACTATTTCTATGTATTGACATGATCAATTGCGTTTAACATGTCAAAGCAGAACTTCCCTGTTAGTTCATTAATTGAGTTGTCCTGCATTACATTAAGTAAATGAACAAAGTCTCTCCAGTAAAAGTTTCTCGAACTGTGTTTGTGTTGAAAAATTTTTGTCTTTTAAATGTCTTATTTTTATCAAACATTAATCTTAAAAAAACAAATTGAAACTTCGACTCTCATCACTTTCTCAAGCTTTGTTGTAAATTTCCTATTTTAATTTTAGAGAGGTGAAACAAGATCAACAAATACAAGATAAAGACATGATTACTGTTGTTTTTAACGCAGTTTCAGCGGAGGGCTTTGTAGAGGATAATGAAGAGGATTTCAAAGTTGTCATACATGGTGACCAACCAGTTTTTCGAGGATGGGAGAATGGATCAGGAATACCTGTTACGACAAAACGGTTTGTATAGCATGTTTTTATTGTAGATACTATTGTGATGTATCATAATCCAATCCAGTGTTAGTGAAAATATATTATTACTCATCAATTATAAATTCGCAACAGTTTCATAAAATAGCGTTATGAAATTTAAGACTTATGTTAAACAAGTGGGAAGTCTTTATCAAATAGGAACAAATATTAATTGTACAAATAAAGTGGGTAGGGCGTAGTTATATTCATTACTGGAAAGGAAACACCCTCTAAAATGTTTCTGAGCAATAGCAGTCTGTTTCATCTAAATTGACGCATTTCATATATTGATAAAGAATAAATCTTTTCTAATGGAGTAGATTTTTAGTTGTTTCGACATGTAAATATACTCAAGAATGAGCTGCAATAATTTATTTTGGCTTCACCTATAGATATTCCAATTAAGAAATAACAAAAATATGAAACTGTATTTATATACCTCCTTAAAAAACCAGAATAACCAATTGGTTTATCTCCAGCCGAAAATGATGGAGTCATATAATAAAATAAAAACACGATTTTCACTGGAATTAAATGAATGTGATATTGTTTTTAATTTTTTTTAATAGATTTGGTAAGAAACAGTGGTTGCTCCAAGCTGTTCTTCAGGTGCCATTAAAACATATAGAGAAGAAATGTGCTTATAAATATGCTTTGCTGTCTCGCGGTGAAGCAAATTATGAGTTGTTGGTGGAAGTGGAATCATTCTTTAATTTCTTATATTTTGGATATATAAATCGCTGTCTATACGTCCCGACAAAGTACCACAGGAAAAATAGTAAGTTTATTTTTATTGCACGTTATGTATGGTCATTACAAATAATATTAGTAAGCATTACAAAAAATGTTGAAATTTCATCATTGCCTTTTTAAGAAACTGATTTGTAGCTAAGAAATTATGCAGTTGAAGTATTTTCGTAAAAGTTAGTATTTTTTGAGATGAATCAAAACGGCGCTACTAGCTATGTATGAAAGTTATTTGGCATGAAACATAAATTGTTCTATTTTGCATAAATAATTAGATATATGCACACGGATGAAAATACATATATTTTTGTATGTTTGTTGGTTTTCTTGGTGTTTGTAGTGCTGAGACTTGACTATTTCTATCGGGCTTTAATCATTCAAATGCAGTTATGTTTCTGATGTGCATTTTCATAACTTCGTGGTGCAAGATTGGTTAACTATCATCACGTGTTTTGTTTTAGAAATTTATTACAAGTATGATGGATTTGTCTACAAGAACACTGGACTAAGTAGTAAATACTATGAGGTTGTACAAAAGGACAGAGAAGAATTCTTGCAACGGTTTTTTCCGCGCTGGATTGGGTTTTTCAACAGTTCTGAGAATATAGAATTGATGCAGCCAGATGAGGCGATGGAAAGGCTTCATCGTTTGTTCTTAGCGGTTACCGAGATGTGGATATCGAAAAATGGAGAAGTCTGGAAACAAGAATTTTCTAAGCCTGATTTTAAAAAGGTGTAAAATTTTGTGTTGAAATGTTTCTTCATGTAAAATATTTGCTAATCCTAATTAATGAAAAATGGTATATGATAAATGCTTTAATTGTATTTTGATGCCAAAATTTTCCTTAACTTATGTGAAATAAGACACTTGAAGCAAAAAGAACTTGTTAGTGATAATGGAAAAAAGTTTTCGGAGAGTTTTACTTTTTAAGTTATGTTTTTATCATATAAACTTTTTATGCATGCTCCTATTCATAATGATTTCAAACAAAATAGCTGTAGAAAGACTAAATAAAACTATTACCTGTGTTTTTCTGGCGTATATCAAAAGTCTTTTATTCCAAAACTCAAGTGATTACATTTACATTCCTTGTAGGTCGTTACTGATTTGTTGATGCCCAAGGTAGAATCAAATTGCAAAGTTTTGAAAAATGGAAGAGTAGGAAATAAATCAAATGATATATTTGAGGCTTTAGTTTCGTCTGCTATGATTGCATCTGTGTTTGGAAAATGCAAATTTACGATAGCGAAAGAAGAAGCCGAAGAAATTCTGCGGAGTCTCAAGTTTCCTGTAGATCAGTCTGTTTGTGTGAGATTTATGGAAACTATAAATGCATTTGATCAACAATTTTTAAGGTTCGTTTGTTGAGGTAGAAATATTTTGTAAAATGTAGTTGATGCAATTACCTACTGATTTCTGATTTCTATAAATATGAGAATTGTAGCTGTTATTTTAATCTCATTATTTTCCTTATTTCTGTCAAACAAAACATAAAAAACGTGTGAACTTTTCGTTTGCATGGTTAGCCATTGAAAAACATGTGTGGCTGTGTGCCATTACTCTTCCATGTTTCTGCTATTCATAAAGACAACAAATTATAATCACTTGAGACGTTTGAGATTTTTGCAGCTCTGTTAAGGGCAATTATGGGCCTCCAATAATGTTTCTGAAGCAAAAAGCCTCGCCATTTAAACCTAAAGCTACGTTTGCTTCCTAATAAAACATTAAGTTACTAGTTTGCATTAGCCTTTTTAGTTTTTAGCGCTACCAACGCTACAACTTTTTAAAGTCTGGCATAGTTCGAATAATGTTTTGTAGTCTAAAGCAATATGGCATGATTTAATCATGACTGAAAAGACATTATGACAACTTTTCTTTCATTTTTACTCTTAATTAAATGCAAAATATTTTTGAATTTTTTCCCAAATAAATAAGTAATGAACTTTTAAGTAAAAATCTTTGGCAATGCTGATTAAAGATCAGAGTTTAGACAATTCTTCTTCCAAACTAGTCTTTCAAAAGTTGTACTTCTTTGCTTTACAGTGCTTAAGTAAAATTCTACAGTATATTTTTCTTATTGAAATACAAAGACCATTTAACATGAATTATTAGCTTAATCACTAAAATTATTTTCTTAACGTCTTTCTATACATATTTAACTTTTTTTATTAAGAAAATAACATCACTGCAACATTGCAAGAAATACTTATTTTAGAGAATAGTGGCTTTTTTTTGGCATTTTGTGCTAAAATATGCTTATTTTTCTCTTTCTTTTTTATAGCTCTTTCATTCAAAGCATTTTTAAAATATTTTACCGATTCGTCAAAACAAGGTCATTGCTTGACTGGCTTAATGCCTTACCATTGCTTCATTTTCTTCGTAAAGAATGTGAACCATTTAAAGAAGTCCTCTATACATCAACGCCTGATTTTGAGCAATCAAGATGGTGGGGTTTGCAAGGCCTTGATTTCGGAGAAGTTAAAATTTCTATGGGAGAAAGGTTTGTTAGCTTTTTTTGGTAGCTGTTGCGCATGCACGGCTAACGACAATGTTACTGAAAAAGTGTCCGCGTGTCTGTCTGAGTCGGTGACAGTCGGATTTACGAGCAATGACGAAGAATGCCGTTTTTAGCCTTCGTCACTTTCTCCGGAAATTGTCGCAGATTTGTCATTTCATTCGCTCGTTCAATTGACAATCTATTGTGAGGTAAAGCTATGTGCATGTTGCGAATTATAGCAGTTTTATCATTCTAGTATTTAGCTTGCTATATTTTTGTCGAATTTTGTATCTCGATTGTTTATTTGTGCTTTGTCATCGAAATTTCACTGCAATTTCACAAAATTTATACTGCGTAAGTTCATCGTTTTTACGCTGTAGCGCAAAATACTCGCACGTTCAATAAATTACGCATGGGCACCTTTGTCATGTTTAAAATGTCAATAGCACTCGTGTGCTCGTGATAACTCAAGAACAACGCGACAAAGTTGAGTTCATTCTACTTTTAAGTGCGTTGTTTTGCTCGCAAGCTCAAAACATTTCAATGCCTTTCACGAAAGAGCTTTCTGATCCAAAATGTCCGTTTTGTAGGAATCGTAACTCTTCTACGACGAATCAAATAGATAGCAATTAGGGTGTTTTTAAGCATTGTAGTTGTAACTGTCTTTTGTTGACAGCAGATTTTTTTTAGTTTTTACAAAAAATTTTCTTTCAAAATTCGAAAGTCGAGTCGCAAAAAACAACAGACAGAAAAGTAATAGCGGGCAAGCGTCGTGGCGATTGCATATGCAAAAAAATCTCATGTCGCATTTGAATATCAGTTATCTAATGAACATTCAAAAATAAGTGTTTTAGATTAATTTTATTATTTTTTGAAATTTGATGTTGGATAGCTGGCGTGTATGAAGATTATTGCCAATGTTGAGTGCTCACATTACTTTAAACGAACGTCAATAATTGACATTGTAAATTATATTTTTTTGTTATTCAATCTCCGACAAATCGTCAAATTTTTCCTGACGGGTAGAGGGAGGGGTTTGTGGGTTATTTCCCCGACGGGGAGTTTAGGCGCCACCCCTGTTGAAAGATCCTAGAAAATATGTTTTTCAGTGGAAAAAAACCTTTAAATGTTGCGAGAGATCTCAATGACGTCACTTTCTTCACGTGAGTCTCGTGAGTCCAGTCACGTGACATTAGCAGGCACTGCTAAGTTAGAGCGTTGAAAAAGCAAAAGAGTTAAACAAATACATGGGTCGATTAACTAAATAACATTTTTAAATCGTAACCAAGTTTGACGTAATTATTGTTAAATATGCAGTCTTATTTGAACTACACTCATTAAATTTACTTCATTCACTAGCCGTGCACTTTAAAGGCTACCCACATGTACGCATTGCGTTCCTATTTTTAAAATTTTATAGTAAATAAAACCTGTTTCGCACAAAACCAAAGCTGGCTAGCAGGCTTAAAAATGTGTACGCAGTGGGTACATGTGGATAGCCTTGCATATAAAGGTATTTTAAATGATAAATATTTTAAACACGAAGAATATACGATGCCTTTATAAAACAAGTTATTTCTTAAGACTCTTCTCTTTTCAATAACAGAAACTGGTTCGAAAAAATAACAATAATAATTTTGTGTCAAAATTCCACATAATAAAATTACTATATCTTTCTACGATACGTTTTTTTCATGCAAAATATGCTTTAATTGTACTCACTAGTGAATAACGTTATTATTGTACTCGAGTGCTTACATCGTCCAAAATTTGCGGTAGCAACGATATAAATTCATAATCCAGGCGTATATTTTCTATCACTAACGATTAGCTTTGACGTATACTCAAATACTAAGTATAGGATTATGGAAAGAAGTCCGTGGACAGCGGCTAGCCACAAAACCCATGTTCCAGCGAATAAAGAAGAGTTGTTCATGTATGATCCCAAATCTATAATCTCTTCCCTCCCTCTTTCACACACACACACACACATACGCGCACGTTCTTTTATGATCAATGACACAGAAATACATAGCTCAACTTTTCAGTGATGTGACTTCCAGAAATACTGTCAGGAAAAACTTAATTCTACTTTTATGATAATCAAAATTGTAATAATTTTTCTATTGAATCTTAGCATTTGGTATATTAAATTGTTACAAAACATTGCAAAATAAGAAAAGTGCTACCAGGCTGTTGAAGACTTTCACTTTTTTTTTATTGCTACAAATTTATAAATATTGATCGTCTAAGTTAGAGAAATCTGGATGAAGACTGAAGTTTTAGTTAGAGTGGTTAGTTTTAAGGGAGCTCTATCTTTAAGTTCCTATCCGGTTCACCGATGTAGGGGGCCCTGGTTTTGTATGTGATTTAAAGTGGAAAGATGATTAGTCTATAGTAATCGTTCCAGTTATACTTTAGACTCATAGCTTGTTACACAGCACCCTGTATTTCATACTTATTGGACTAAATATCTACAATATATTCATACAGGATAATGTATTGTGATATATAATTAGATACAAAAAAGAGCTATTTACGCACGTTAAGAGTTTATTATATATGTGCGAATCAAAAAAAGTGTTGGGGTGTTTATTTTTATCGAAACTTCCTGTATTTTATACTATCTAGCTCTCATTACGTATGCTTCAAATTATTCTTTATATTAATGCTTATGAACGCTTCACTAAAAATGGTAGCTATTTGCACAGAGAAGCATGTTTGAATCAAGAAGATATTTGAATTATTTTAATGTTTTTATTTACGCATGCAAAGAAATCTTTTTTGATTTCGTTCAATTTGATTGACTGCAGCATCGTGCAACTTTTTACGATATCTCGACCGTGGTCCTAAAGTGTTTTTTTTACAATCTATTCAATTGCAAAGTGAAATTTAAATTTTTAAAAGTGATTGCAATTTGCTCAACAAGAAAGCAAATGGTATTCGAAGTGAATTTTATAAAAAAAACAATGCAATTTCAGTATAAACAAGCTGCATATCGCCCATTTTACAACGCGGATTTCGTCATTATATAATAAAAAATAAGCATGTTATTTACCGTCTTTTTTAGTCCGCATTAAAAAAAAATTTCACTCGGCCTCAAAAGTGTCCCTAAGGCTTTAGCTTCATGCAACTTTTGAGACTTCGTTTTCCGTGGGTACCTCCCAGCCAATAAATAGCATATATATTTTACTGTTTATTTGTAGTGACTTGGGTATACTGCCAAAAATAGAAAAAATGTTTCGTGTTGATCCTTTACTGAGGCGTACATACCTACTGCTATGTCCTCTAAAGATATTTGGTGACCTTCTGAAAGAAAAATATTTCACTTTGCCTGAGTTGTGTTTTACAATACGAAAGCTTATACTGGATGTAAACTTGCAAGATGTGGTGAGTTCATGCAATATTAATATATATGTTCATATAATTGGTGTGTGCTACAAAAGACAAAAAGTACTAAACTTCATTTATCAAAGTGTTGTTAAAGCCGAGTAAATTCAGGGTACACGTCAACAAGATTGCAATTTCTGGAATGACAGTGTACAACGTTTTTCCTCTCCGTAACTGGCTTTGATAAATCTATAAAAGTTTTACAGTGATTAACAAAGAAAAGTTTGACTAAACTAAAAGGAAATTGTGTGTAACTAAACACTTCGGAAAACATGCGAATCGAAATTATGTGCTGAAATTTGTCGTGCTATTTTGAATGGTGTTTATTTTATTGTAGAACTTGAAGAAAAAAAGCCTGGAAAATGATTTACGAGTGAACAACATATAGGCACCGATCTATTTACGTAAAAATTAATATAAAGAAATTAAATTCAATATTTGGAACGTTTCAAATATACTTGTGCCACGAGCACTTTTTTGTACAATAGTACAATAGCAAAAAGTTAAAGAGAACCTGCGACAATAGCAAAATCGCTATTAAACATTTTATCCATTGAGAAAATGATTGAATTTCTTTTTGTAGATTAAGCATCTTGAAGATTTCTTTGAACAGATGAGTGAAGTACTTTTTAGTTCCAGGTAAGTATAATTTGACTATAGTAAACACGAGCAAACTGAATTGTGACCAAAATTTGTGTATGCGCTATATGTGAGCTGAATCCATTCTAATAAAACAAACCCTTGTATTTTGAAAGCTCACTCACACTCAATAGAGCTTTAAAATCGACTCCTAACTTTTATCAAAAATAACTAATTTCACTCCACTGATTGATGAGATCAAGGAGTAGCTAAAAAATTGTTCTCCATATAAAAGATGATGGATAGTCTTTGTTATTTTCTTCGTCATCATAACAATAAGAGAATTTTTGCACGTTGTTCTCCAAAAATAATAATTATTGGTACAAATTTCAAAACAAAAATCCGTTAAGATAATTTTAATCGTAACTGTCAGCCAGCAATTTGTAAATATTGCTAAGTTTTCTATGCAAAGGCACATTGCCTTTGGAATTCCATTCAAATTGAAGTACAGAATACTTCCAAGTAAGCGATCGTTAAAATTCTGGGTTAGCTTAAGCGCCTAAAATTGTGAACTAGCAAATAAATGATGTGAAAAAGCATGTTTAAAAATATTTGCGAGTAAAAGCTTATAATTATAACCTCAACACTGTCGTAAACATGCACATTAGCATAGAAATGTAAAAAAATAATGTAACATGATTGCAAGTTCTCAAAAACTTGCTTAATAATAGCTATGTCTGTTTGTAGCAGTGTTTATAAGCATAACTTTGAGTGTTTTGTTAAAAAATCACACGGGCTACCAGGCTTAAAATTTGAATACATTTTCGCACAGTTTCAGCTTCGAATTTATTTTTCTAAAATGTTTTATTTTGGTTGTATACAGTTAGCAAAATATTTATGAGAAACAGGTAGCGAATTAAGGCGCTTTTCAACGTGATCTGCAGCAAGGTTTTGCAATGGGATTTTTGATTTGAAGTCAACTGCTGCTCTTTAATCCTAAATCCTTACTGAAACGATTAAAGATGTTTCTGACATAATCTTCTTTACAGCCCTACAATCTTTACAGAAAATAAATACGAAGAAACAAAAGCTTTGCTTTCTACGTTGGTGTGGATTGGAATGAGTTTAAAATGCGAATCTCATTTGCAACAAATTAAGTTTTTTTGTTGCCTGGCAAAATGTATCGCCAATGCTATTAATCTTCAAAAGAGAGGTATAATATTGGAAAAAAATGGTATACATCTATATTCGAAAAGCACGCCATTATCTAAATCAGATGTAAAGGACATGTGGAATTTTTTCGAAGAGATATTTGAACTTACAAAGAGTTATTTTTACTCGTCTTTGTCTATTAACCTGGAAGATTGTAAAAACTCTGAATGGCAAAAGGAATTACGTGTAAGTGTTTTTCAACAAAAGGTAGTGGTACTTTATGTACTACTTTTTATAGAGAATGATGTAAATAGTTTGTTTCTCCAAATTCCATTTCCTATTCTAAATGTCACCATGACCGTAGGAATTTTTTCTACGGTGCAGGCATTAGCTATTGTAATATTTTTTGGAAAAGTTCAGTCATGATCTTTCAGGTCTAAACGTTTTAACAAAATCACGATTAAATTATAAAGTTTTATTGACAACTTAATATATTTTTTACTTTCCATGCAGAGTTTCAACAAACAATATTTATGGAATTTATCTTGCTCATTTTATTAATTCATCACATTGGAAGACTACAAAGCTTATAATGTTAATATCAAATAGCACAAACTATTATAGATACATGCTTGTATAGCATAATCCTTTTTAGTAAAATCTAATCCTACAGTCTCAAAGCTGGGCCATAGAATGCTCTAGGCAGTGGAATAGACAAGGGGGGGGGGCATTTTTACCATTTGCAGTGGCATGATTCATGCATATATTCTAGACTTCATATATAAATATCTTAGGTGATGTTATTGTTTGTAAATTAGAGAGTTTTAGTTTGGCGTTAACGGCAAACAGTAAACTGCAAAAAGTCACGTGATCATGATTTTGCGGCTTGCGTTTCGGTTTGCGGTTCAGGTTTTAACGGCAAGAGGCCCTTCTTGCGGTAGGTGATTTATCCTCAAGCTTTTTAGTGCTTTTGATCCAGTCAAGTGAGGTTTATGGCTCAAAGTTATATTTTTATGCGAGTATGCAACATGAATATAAATTTTTCATCGAAAAACTTTCAACAAAACATGAAATTTAGCTCACGTAAACGCAAAACTAAAACTCTCTGTTATCACCATATAAATATTTACAGTAATTTTGATAGAGGTAAAATCAAGTATGTATTATACATCTAAAGTAATTGTAGCATGATTCAACTTTTAGCTCATATACTTGTTCTATTGAATGATATATTTAAAACACTTAGCTATTACTTTTTGTTAGATGTGGAATGAATTGCTATCATTTTCTGGTCCAGATCTCTTTCAAAATTCGTGGCGTGACGAATTCATGGCTAAGTTAATTGATCGAGTTAAAAAGGTAACTATTTGTTTTATTAGAATCTTTCTTAAGACTCTCATTTCCTCGATTCTGTTATTACTTGCAACGCAAGAGAAAACGTTCTTCTTAATGGTACATCTGTTAAAGAAAGTTTATATTTATGAGTTTGGATACAGTTTGCAATTGAAGAATGTTACTCTATGTTCCTTAGATTTATGAAATTCCATTAAAAAAAGCACATTAGTATTTAAAAAGTATTATCGATTATTTAACTACATCCTATAAATTGGCTAGGGGGTTTAAAAGGCTAATTTGAAATTTGTAAATTAATTGTTTTTGTCAATTCTGGCTTGCATGTCCTTATTTCATAGTCTCGCAGTTTTGGAAACGAGATGTTTTCCTTATGGCAGTGTCGTGCGCAAAGCTATAGTCATGAATTATCCGAGCTGTAGGTTTAGTATTTTGACGGGATATATCTATTTTCTGGATTATACCTCGAGAAAATTGAGAAATCGACATTTATTTCCATTACGTGATCTTTCTTAAATGTTATGAATAATTTCGGAGACACTGAGGATTGTGCAATTGTACTTAATTGTCTCCAAAGAGCAGGAGCATTATTTTCTAGTCCCTTTACATCTATTATTTGTTTGCGCAATTTTTATTTGTCAAACTTTCTCCATTGAGATAAGTTTGTCCCACCAGCAATGTATCTCGGCACTCACTTTCTACAAGCGGTTACTTTTATGACGTTCCCCGTCCATGCAAGCCCAGTCATTTAGCGGTAAAACGGAGCGCTTAAAATGGTACATTTTTGCAACTTTGACGTACTGCACAGCGCAAAACATTTGTTCGATTACATCAAAATTTTGGAATATGGCTTTTGACACAACGTATATTGGATAGTGTAAAAACAAGGTAAGGTTTATATGCACATCAAAGTGTATGGCATCAACTAATTGTTGCGTACGTCTGGCAAAAAATTTAAAATATTTAAAAATCTGAGCAATAAACAATTGTTCAAACATGTGTTTGCGTCAGGCTTGATAGTTGGTAGAGGCCAATATTTATATATATCCATGTTATAATCAGCAGAGAACAATTGATTTCAAAGGAACGTATAATACGCCACAACATGAATGTATTCGAATATCACCATCAATTTTATTGAGTTGGCTATACCACTGCATTTAAGTCATAAAATAGAATATAATAGCAAAACGTTTATAGGTAGTAATGTTTAAAATATTATTCTTCACCACACAAACAAACAACAAAAATTATTGTCATCAGTCGAAATGTATGTAAATCAAGTTCAAATGTCGATGCTAGCCTTAAATAAAACCTCCATAAATTAAAACACGAACGTATAACGAAAAATCTAACATGAATATTAATGTTATGTAGGTGTCACCTCTCCGTCAAATAGAGCTGCTTTTCCTGAAGGAGAAGAAAAAGCTTTGTGTTGTACTATCTACGTGTTTACGTGACGCTGCTTTTGAAGCCGTTGAGAAAGTTGTTATTGTAAGTTTTAATTCATTCTATTTTTTAAAGTCTCTTAAAAGTTTTTTTACTAGTTATTGGCAAATTGTAAGCCTTGTAACAGCTTAAAGGTGTCTCTTCAGTGTTACAGAGAGTTAAAAATGGTAACTGGTTTATGTTTTGATATTAAAAAGTACATGTTTTTGTAAATTAAGCAACAATATTTTCTTACTTTTGAATTATAAACCTTTGTTTTAAGGCACTGTGCATTTTAAATTCAGGCATACATCTTACAATGCAAAACTTCAAAACAAGTTCAAAAAACGTTTTGGTGTATACATGACCATGTGCAATGCAAATTTGGTGCAATTCATTTAATACAATAAAAACATAAAGTTAATTAAAATAAAGGACCGAATGTTTCATTTCCTAGTAGTGTAAAGATCCACTGTGTCTTTGAAATATCTTTGTAAAAATAAAACGTTCAACCTATGCAGTAGATTAGAAATTTTGTTTTACAACGCTAAAAACAATTTATCAAAATCAGTTATATGGTATTTTTATTGTGATATATTTAGACAAGTCACAGCGGAGAAGCTTTTGAATATTTAAGCCAAGAAAACTCAACAAAAGCAATGGAATTGCTTAGTGTTTTGCTTTACAAAGCCTGGCCTGATAAACTAAGAGAAGAAGGAGCTTCATTGAGTTCGAAGGAGAAGGAAAAGATTTTGCTTAATCATCTACTAAACTGGTCTGTATGGCCTGGTTTTTTTAAGCTCATCGGTAAGATTGCAATCAGTTGTGGAGTGTAACTGAGTCATTAATTAAGTTTCAAATCTCTTAGGAAAGCGTTCATAGATAAATTTTTTAAGTAGTTTTTTTTACTTCCGTTTTTTCATAAAAAAGCAACAATATTTTATTCAAAAGCATTATGAACTGCTCTTTGACACCCTTTCTTGCAACGGAAATTGTGAAATTACATAAACATTAACACAGCTAACCTGTTTATCAGGGACGTTCCTAGAACGTTTATTGAAGGAAGTGGGCTTATTCATATACTCAGTTGTGCCAGACTGATTGCTCTTCGAAGCAATTCACCTAAGGAAAAAAAAGCACTTTGCTTTCAATAGAAATTAACCCGGACATAATTGAATATATAAGCAACCTCCCTTCTTTATTAACGTTAACGGGGTAGCTCTCCTTCTAACGATGGTATAATATGAACATGCAAGCTCTCCAAAATGTAATTCCTCAATCAAAGAAATAAAAAAACATGTCCACACAATCATTTTAAGAAAACGTACAAAAATATTACAAGATTTGATGAAATTCATAACTAGCTACTATACAAAATAATTATTCAATTTGTAAAATTTTATATCATGCCTTACTATCAAAGTACTTTTAGCTAAAATTAAACATTTACAAAATGTCAGTGCAGCAAAGTATTGTCTCCTGCCCTTAATTTCATCAAATTAAAGTTTTAGAAAAATTTTTTCAATTTTTTACTACGAAAGAAAACTAGTAAAAAACGAAGAAACAAAACATCTTGAAATTACAAAATATGAATCAGAACAAGACGCAAAGTGAACAGTGAATTTTTGACTTTATTTCAAAGTCATTTTCAGGCAGAATGATATAAAAAACCATACATAAACATATATATTTAAAACGTGTGAATTAAATAAAGGAAATACGTAAGTCAAGCAATCATTAGAGATAATATACATATTATTAATCCTAACACGGTATTTATATGCACATGAAAAACATGTGACTAGGACGAGATTTGAACTCGCACGAGTCAGAAAACTGCTAACGGTGCGAGAATCTCTCGTCCATACGAAGTTTAAAATAGATTTCACTCGTCTTCAATCCCTGTGGGCTTCGTAGGTCAACAGGTAGAACGGCGGACTATTATTCGAAGGTGCGAGTTCAAATTTTGTCCAAGTCACATGTTTTTCACGCGCATATAAGTATCGTGTTATAATTAATATTATATGTATATGAAGTTCAACAATGGAATTTAAATGGTGTGATATTTACAAAAGCGGAACTAGAAGAAGTGTGATATTTCAAATGGATGAATTGAAAGCACAGACACGACTGGTGGAATGAGTTTATTGTAATTTAAGCGAAGAGTTGTAATTCTTTGCTAGCCTAAGTCCCGTGTTGAGAAAGGGTTTGTTATGTTTGATGAGAAGTGCTTTAAGAAAGGCAAGAATGTGGTAGTTGTTAGACTTGGTAGGGTGAAGTATTTTATAGTTGTTGAATACAACATTTTCTATAGGAGAAGGAGAAGACGTTCTCGGAGGTGGAGGAAGATCATTGAGTTGTGACAACTGGTTTTGTAGAGTGGCAAGGAATTGAATGTTTTTTCACTCAGAAATGTTTGCCAATCGTGCACTCGAGGATAGCCGGGTTACATGCTCTTTTAGACTAACAGACAGGCATTTTGTGCCACGCCAATGTACGTTTTACAGCCAGGGCATGTTATTTCTTACACAAGATTACTACAATTAAGTAAGTAAAAGGATTTTGTCCTTGTTGGAGACAAAATAAGAGAGTTTTTTAATGTCATTAATGGTATCAAATTTCACCAGTTGAGAAAGATATCTTTGTATTTTCTTAAAACAGGATTTTAAGAGGAAATCGCCACGCTTGCCAAGGTACTGATCAAAACCTCCAATATTCCATTTACTAGTTTTGATCGAAATTTCACATTCACAGTTGATACATTCAGGGGCGGATCCAGGGTGGTGCAACTGATGCGAGTGCATCAGTCATAAAATTGAATATTTCACAACATTATAACTTACAATCAATACGAGCAAAATGCCAGAAATATATCAGATTGGAACGTTTATAGTTTCTAAATGCTTTAAATACCTTAACACTGACAATATATTGACAACAGATGTACATTGATCATTGAGAAATATTGTTAAAAGCCTTCGTAGATTGTTTACATGTAAGTATCATATTGATTACAGCCGCATTATTAAAAAATGCGTCGCTAAATATGGCGTTTTTATGTGTCGACATTTTTGGCGAAAATTTGTTTCATCATCCAGCTACACTGAGCTGAATTTGTACTACTACGTCACGGTGGCTAGATAGTGAATCTCTACGTCACGGTGGGGAAAAAGTGCACCAGTTGGTGCAACAGTCCCGAGTCTCTTTGGCCGAGTGAACCACCTAAACGTCACGAATTTCATTGTTTTTCAGCCTACGTCACGGTGGGAAATCGCTGCTGACTGTTGCACTTAAGCCCACGAACACCAAAATTTCATTCTGACTGGTGCACTAGAGCCAGCGTTATAAATCTTCAAACCTTCAAAATTATAATTACATGACTATGGCATTTGGCTTATTTATATCTTGAAGTCATCATGGCTGAAAGTAGGCATATATACGATCTTGGCTCATTGATTCAAGACAGTAAAACCAGCGAGATTTCTTCTGTAAGAAAGGATTATGAAGAAAAAGTCTCTGCTGCCATTCCTACTAAAACAGACCTGTTTCGGAAAGGAAAGCTGGCGAGAGATCTTAACGCAGAGTTGCTTATCCCTAAGCATATGGGAAATAATTGGCGGGCTTTAAAGTAAGTAGCTTGAAGTGCTTACTGCTTACTATGCTTGACATTGTAATGCATAGCTATAGGTCTATACTTGTATTTCTGTAATGCTTATGGCTTACTCTCTTTAATGTTAGGAATATGATGGGAAGGGGCACATGGGGTGTTTATTCCCTGTTGCATTTATTTAAATTTTAAAGCATCCTGACCTGCATTAATGTATGAAATGGAAATTTACTGTATTGTATTTTACAATGTCAATTTTCAAACTTCATGTCCAATATTGTTGGCTCAATGAAATTTAGCCAGTAGTATAATGCAATGCTCTGGATTTATGCCATAACTAGTGTGCACATAATTATGCATGTTGTTGTGTCAAGTTTATAAATTGTCATGTAAGATAAGATCACAAAACATTTTATTCACTACTATGTTTGAATTTGGGAATCCTGCATATTTATACTGGAGATTTCTTCGATTAAAGTCACTGGTAGAAGTCTCTATGTACTTCCTGGAGAAATCTCCACTCTAATTGTGCTCACATGGATATTGTGATTTCAAAGTTACTTAATATACATAAAAATACAGGAGATAATAATTTAATATGACATTACTTCAGGATATTTCATAGATTTATAAATATTCCATGTAATATGTTGTAATATGTGCTCAATGTGACAGACAGAGAGGGCACATTTTTCATACATTTTGCTTGTTTATAAATACTAACTTTCTGAGCTATGCAATGTGTTGAATGTAAGAGCTATGCTGGACCAACCATGTTATTCATTAGATTTTTTCATTTTCATATTGCATGCCTAATATTGTCAATTCCCTGAAATTTAGCAAAGCAAACTGTAATTACATATTATTTCAGCCACAACAATTCCTTATTATTTCTTCCATCCCTAGCTTGATAATGACTTTCATATGAAGTTGAAATATTGCTTTGAATCTTCTCTGTTGCTGTTATAACTAAAATCTTTAGTTTACAAGATGATGTTTTTTTGAGTGTATGCTCTCATTTACAATCATGCACAGTGTGCCAAATTTCTAAATTTACCATAAAACATTATGATCACAAAAGGGTGGGTACACAGCAAAGCATTTCATTTACATAGATATGATGTTACTCTATTGTCTTTATATGATTATTATTATCTCAAAATTACCCACTATACATAAAGATATTAGAGCAACAGTTCTATATTGTAATTCTTTAACATATTTCTTTGTATATTACATCACCATATTTTATTTTTGCATATGTGCATATGTGTATCCTGATCCTTAAGTATAGAAGTCCTCACCATTGCTATTTGATTAAAGCTAGGAGGGCACATAGTATTAGCTATTAGGTACGTACTTATACTCCCCTTGAAAGCTGGTCTCATGAATTTGGTTGAGAAAGTATAGCACTGGCATTACCATGCTTAGATTCAATTATCTAAAATAATATTTATGGATTGTTAAAGGCAACCCAAAAAATTACACTTTAAGGCTTGATGAATGTTCCCCTAAAAGGCTTTTCTTTATCAACATAGAGTCAATAGTGATTTTATTCAATAGACTTTCTAATTTTTATTGCTTGTGTAGAACTAGATAGGTGATGGTAACTGCATGAACATTTCTTTGCTATATCTACGTATCTTTTTCTGCTGTTGGAGGAGTGATATTATCAATGAAAGAAGAAGAATAACATTTATCATTACTTGTTGCCTGCCTTTGGTACGATGATTACATCGTGAACATTTCTTCGCTATATCTACGTATCGTTTTCTGCTGTTGGACGAGTGGTATCAAGTGTGATTAATGGTCAAAAACTTGTGCTTCTTTTGTGAGATGTAAAGGTTTCTTTGCGTTTCACAAAAAATATGCCAAGCTTCTACCTTTTCAAAATCACTGGAAGAAGGTATGAAACTTGATAAATCTGATAGTAGTAATGAAAATGTTTAAAGGTTAGTGGAATTTTAGATTTTATATCATTGAAATTTGCGAAAAGTTTACAAACTAAGTAAAGCCAATTTTTTTTTAAATTCTGTTGTCAAAACGCAGGAAGTCGCATTTCCGACGGTCTAAAATATAAAATTTTCCGGGGGGCATCCTCCCAGACCCCCCTACAGAGCTAGCGCCTTTGGCGCTCGCAGTGGTGCATCAGTCACGAAAATTGCTGGATCCGCCCCTGGATACATTTCCCAATGGCATATTTCATTTTTTGGATATAAAAGTTTCGGTTGATGGAAATGACATTTACTGAAAAGACACCCCCACTGCATGGTCAGTACTCACACTTCTCCAGCTTCGAACCTTTTCATCGTAAAATTGCATGGGTAAAATCTCTTAACCACCTAGCCTTCAAAATTTGCAGCAAAAAACACTTTTTGTCAATCAAATTGAAATAATCAAATCATACATGTCTTGCATGAAATGCTTATCCTAATAGCGTAAAAAACTTTTGTTTAAAAAACTGAAATCTAAATACAATGATTCTATCCCCGTTAACAACTGCTCTTTAATGGATGATAATCTAGCTGAAATCAGCGTTCACATTCCTTATCTTTGCAAGCGTGGCGATTTCCTCTTAAAATCCTGTTTTAAGACAATACAAAGATATCTTTCTCAACCGTTGAAATTTGTTACCATTTATGACATTAAAAAACTCTCCTATTTTGTGTCCAATACGGACATACTTTCTTCACTTTCTTAATTGTAGTAATCTTGTGTAAGAAATAACCTGCCCTGGCTGTGGTAAAACCTACATTGGCGTGACAGAAAGATGTCTGTCTGTACGGCTGAAAGAGCATGCAAACCGGCTCTCCTCTAGTGCACGATTGGCCAGCATTTCTCTGAGTGCGAAAACGCTCAATTCTTTGCCACTCTACAAAACCTGTTCTCACAGAACCGGAGAACCGTTCTCCTATAGGAAACCTTGTTTTCAACAACTATAAAATACTTCACTCAACCAAATATAACAACTACCACATTCTTGCCTTTCTTGAAGCACATATCATCAAACATAACAAACCTTTTCTTGACACGGGACTTATGGCTAGCAAAGAATTACAACTCTTCTCTTAATTTACAACACACTCATTCCACCAGTCGGGACTGTGGCTCCAATTCATCCATTTTAAATATGACACATCTTCCAATTCTGTTGTTGTAATTAAATATCACACTATTTATTTTCCATTGCTTGACTTCTGCATTTCAATCATTTAATTTACGCGTTGTAAATATATATGTGTATGTATGGCTTTGAATATCATTCTGTCTGAGGATGACTTTGAAATAAAGTTAAAAATTCACAGTTCACTTCTCGTCTTGTTTTGATTCATATTTTGTAATCTCAAGATGTTTTTTATATTTTGTTTCCCACTACATCTGGACATTGTTTTTGGTATAAAGAAAGCTACCGTCCTGTTTTTTCCGTGTCATTTTAGCAATTTGACAGAATAAAGTTTCCCCTTCAAAAAACGTATTAATAAAACAAAGTGTTCGTCGTGGTAACAAATTTAAATATTGCTTTAAAAAGTGCAATTTCCACAGCGAATTGCCTAAAACCCAAGAAAAATAAAAAAAAAACATAGAAAGAAACTGAGAAAAATTCAAACTCGGGTTTTTCTTTAGTTTTCAAGCCATTGACCATGGAAATTGCCCTTTCAAAGCAAAAACGTAATAAAACCGAAGTCCTCGTTCTGCAGTTTGAAAAATTTAACTTTTTTTTATCGTCCCAGGCCTATAAAACAGAAAAAACCTGAAAGTAAAATAGTTCACCCTAACGAATATCTACTTAGAAGTTTGCTCTTTGTACGTTTAGGCAGTAATTCTGAAAGCAAAGAACTGATAAAGGCTGGCGCTTGTGGAAATATGATTACTCGAGCACAGTTGTATCTAGTTAGTTTAATAAAGTCTGTACGTGATGGTACAGTTACAGTTAAAGTGCTAGAGTTGCTGATGAGGAATTCGGCCCAGTTTTTGAAGCTTGCCGAGTCTTATGGAGAAATTGAACAAAATTATCCGACTATTGAGTTCTGGTTTCAAGAAAGAGTATCAGAGCTGACTGAATTCAAAAACTTACATGAGCAGCTCATGCATTTTATGAAATTAACTAAACACTTCACATCAGGTAAGTTGCCTGTAAGCTGAAATACTTAGAATAATGGCTCTTAGTAATATCAATCCGACCCTTTTAGTACTCACTGTATCTTATTAAATAATCAAGATGTGGTAACATTATACTGCTTAATTGAATTACAATGTTTATGTCCATTGCTGTAGTTTAATTTATGATTAATATGCGCACATTATTTATGCAAATTTTATCTTTAATTATTTTATTCGCGGAAATAATATTTAATTATATCTACATTGATCACCATGATAACTTCTTTGTCATTTTCGTTCATACATTGATAAAATGTTTTCTTTCAGTTGATGAAGAGTTTTCTAACCTTCGAGAAAAGGTTGCTAAAGATTATGATGAGCTACCCTTATGTCAAATTGTCAAAAAAAACCAAAACGGGGCGTTAGATTTTTCGTTTTTTGAAACGAACACGAGCACTCGACTGAAGATATCCAAAATTATGAAGATAGAAAAAAGTAGAATTTTTTGGTTGTTGTGGAAGAATTACGGTGAGAAAGACGAGAATGAAGAAGACGATGTTGGTATCAACCTGATTGCAGAAAAAGTTGGTAAAATAGAAGAGAAACTCGAGACTGTGAATAAAAATTTTTTTGATGGTGAAATGAAACTGAAAGAAACCGACAAGATTTTGAGTTCGTTTAAAATGTGCTACGATTCTTTGGAAGAAGAGTTTCGAATGCTTTCAAATCACTTTGGTTATCCTGAAAAGAATGATGTTGACGAAAATCTAAAAAGTACATTGAATAAACTGAAGAAATACAAAGAACTGTTCGAACTAGAACAGTGTGCTGGGGTGATACTGAAATTACGACACAATTATGTTTTAACAGGAGATTTTTCTGAGGTTGAAAATATTGCACAGGTATGATATATATAAGATTTGTATGACATTATTACTGATAGCCAATGATTCGTCCTAAGTGGACTATTTTGAAAGGTTTTAGATGAAGTAACATTCTATATTTATGGTGCATTAACACCAACACTTTTATTACTTGTTTGAAAAGTTTTTAAGTTAAATAAGACAGACAAATTTTCCACTAGATTTCCTTTTGTTCAAGTTTGGAAAAATGCAAGAACTTTCTAAAAATATTGTCTTTCTACAGGGTATGCTTATAGGAGAGTTTTCTTGTCTTTGTATAATTAATAAATAATCTTAGGATTTATTATTTTGTGTGATTTACAATTCAATACATGTGTATATGACATTCAAAAAAAAAAGATGGAGCTGTTTTACAAGTGCCGAGCCTTAAAGTTACACAAACGTTTGAATGATATTTTCCTCAGGTCACTGCTTTCTTGCATCGTGCAAGGTTTTCCAAATATGGATTACAGTAAACGGTACTTTTCGGGGGCACCATATATTTTCTGTTCAACTATAAATCACAAAATTAAAAAACACATAGATAGGATGATAAATAAGACTAAAAATTTGCTTTGAGAATGAGAAAAAGTCAACTTTTACTGATGATTAGTTTACTTGATGCAGTAATAAGCAAGTAATAATTCCTCACAATGCAACCAAATTGTACAGAGCTTGTATCAGGTCACTTGTTTTTTACATAAATTTTAGAAATGCATCTTTTGGACTTTAGTAAATTTTTATGCAAGAGTAGGCAATATTTTAAAAAGAATCATTAGTTAATTGCATACAAATCCCTCCATCGCATAACGAAAACATGAATGCACACGACTAAAATTGTTTTGTTTTTCTTAGATTATATCTTCTGAGACTTCCAGCGATATGTGCGTCAACGATATAAATGATAAACTTTTAAGCGTAGAGAGTTGTTTAAAGGAAATTAATAGTCACAGGAAAAGTTGTTTAAAAGTGTTTGCCGAAAGTGTCGAACTGGTTCTTTGGGTGAGAAAATTTACAAAAGGTACACAAATTTTATTTCTTCTAAATGATTTGATATCATTAAGAATCGGATCGTCTTAACTGGTTTAATTATTGTGCCACATATGAAAGTTCTAAAATTTTTACCACTATTTAGATGAAAAAGAGTTAAAGGTATTTATTGATCTGGCAATGATATCAGCTGGGGAAAGTGATTTAGAAATCGACCGTATTTCTTGTATGCATACAAGCTGTTTGGGATTTAGCTCCTTGATATTTGGCTATAGGGAAGAGCATGGTTTTCGTGAACTGATGGATCTTTGCAAACGTCTCTGGCAAGTCACTGATGCTAATCCAACTATTGACAAAAAGCTAGTAAGTGCTGTTGTTTGTTTGAACTGCATGGCATGGAAGACAAAATGAATATCTCCAAATTAATATTTTTTGAAAATGATTAACTTAATTTTATTGCGGCATCCTTTGACTTATTTGACCTCATCTATAAGCCGAGCTGAATAGATCTCATGATCATGGAAACATGAACACAGCAGTATTTAGAGAGAGTATGAAACGAATCAACTCCGTGGCACTATAACTAAAACTCTAAGTATAAAATGCGTAAGTTCTGGTAGCTAAGTTTATGTTGATACAATACACTGTTTGATATGATACGTTCACCTTAACAAGAATGATTTAAGAACAGAAGACTTCAACTATTTTTATATTATTAATAAATTGAAGAAAGCTATCAGAAATAACAGGATAGTATAAAATTTTCTGTCTACGACAATAATAAATAGCTTTGCTTCTTAGACAATACCTTTGAAATTTCTCCGTCCTCAATTCCTCACGACGATATATTAAACAACAAATAGCCAAATCTTACGAGCGTTCGGTATCTTTTGTATTACACAATGTTCTTCAAAATCACCTCGGTCAAGCTGCATGTGTCTGCTGCTTATAAATATATGTCTATATAAAGTTTGACGTAATGTTTTTTTACAATTATGGCATAATTGCTTTTACAATATATGACGTAATGTAACTAAAATTAGATTACATGTTTGTAAATGTCGATCGTCCAGGTTGGTATAGTCCTGAGAAGGACTGATTTTGTTGTTGTTGACTGACGTTTCGACAACCTTAGCGGCAGTCTTCTTCAGAGTCACTTCATTTTGACTGTGAAGATGACTACCGCTAAGTTTGTCGAAACGTCAGTCAACAACAAGAAAAACAGTCCTTCTCAGGATTATACCAACCAGGACGATCGACATTTTTCAAACATGTAACGATACTCCCGGGTTCAAACCATTTACTTTAAAATTAGATTGCAACTATAAAATAACAATAAGTCAACATGATAAAGCCACTTAATAAGTCTGACGTTGTCTTAAACGTCGCAGATAAAAAATATTTGACTTGCTCTTGCATTAAATGAGCAACTTACTAAATTATAGTGCTAAACTCTAAATTACATCTATTGTTAAATTTAAGGAAACAACCCAAAAAAATCTTTTTTGGTTGAAGCAGATCAAGGAGTCACATGGCTCAGTTGCTATGACAACAATGGTCCAAGTAGAAGCAATCAATTCATGTGGTATTTATTACATCGCTGACAAGAAAAAACTAAATGAAGCTACGAAAACAAGTGTAAAACCTGAAGAGGTCGTTGTTCTTGTTGTTCCGGAAGATGCCGATAGGAATCGAGAGGAAAAAATCTACAGTTTGGATGAAATTAAGGATATTCAAAGCAAGTTAATGTTAATTGCAGGAAAGGCGGAAAGTGGAAAGGAAGAAGTAGACCAATTCAATGAGGTTATTTGCTTTGTCGAATTTATTTGGGAGTATACATTTCTTCCAAAGCATTGTAAATGGTTCTTGTGAATGGATTTGCTTTATGGAAAACACAAAATTTTATATGGCCAGGTCCCATGTTTTGCCCTTTGTCGTCTAATGACATCGTGAAATAATAAAAGATTCGTTTTGTGCATGATAATTAGAGTTTTCTAGATGACCAAATGAAATATATATATATATATATATATTATTATGGATAATATTCCTGGATAAAAGAGCGCTCAATATTCTATATATTAGAAGAGCGTAAGATAATGAACTAAAATAAAATGGACAATTGTTTGCTGTCGTACTCAGAGTTTCACGCCGTAGGGCGATCTTCAGGCAACTGACAGATAATATTTTATTTGCTGACTATATACATCGACTAAAAGGTGTTAAGTTACATGACGGCATGCACTAAACATATCGGAACGTTTATTTAAAATGTTCTTTTTACGTCCTTTCAGGATAAGTAGCCTTTCTTCAAGGCAAAGACGGCAGGTTCTTTGGTTTTTGTTCGGAGGTGGAAGTTGTTTGATGAAGTCCCATTCCGATATGTTTAGTGCATGCCGTCATGTAACTTAACACCTTTTAGTCGATGTATATAGTCAGCAAATAAAATATTATCTGTCAGTTGCCTGAAGATCGCCCTACGGCGTGAAACTCTGAGTAGCGACAGCAAACAATTGTCCATTTTATTTTAGTTCATTTTATATATATATATATATTTGAAAATTGGTAACCCAGGCATATTATGATAATGATAAGGATTCTCTGGATTTGTTTTAAGTTTTTATTAAGCTTTCAGCTGTGCAATATATTATTTACAAGTTTGGGCGTTTGGAGGTCAATATTAGGATGGTGTATAAGCGTCATTGTTTGTGTGTTGTCGTTTGTTTGTTTGTTGTTTTGTTTTTTTGGTTGTGAATAGATGATGGGGATGTCAATATGTCTGTTAATTGTGTTGTTGTCTTTGCTGTACCATGCCTCTTTGAATTCTCGTGCGTGTTTTGTCTGTGCGCGTCCAAGAAGTTGTGTTTTTGTCCAGTCAAATGTGTGGTTGGTATCGTAGGTATGTTCTGCTGGTAGTGATTTTGGGTCGCGTCGTTTGATGGCATTCTTGTGTTCAGTGAGTCTTGTTTCAATTTTCTTGGACGTTTGTCCTATGTACTGTTTGCGGTATACTTGTGTGTTTAGTGTACCGTCATCTGTTCTCGTTAGTAGGATGTCGAGGAAGGTAAGTTGTTTGTCGTGTTCTTCGTCTTTAGTAAAGGTAATGTTCTTTGTGGTATTGTTTATGGTGTGTAGGATTTGTTCAGTTTTGTCTTTCTTGACTATGGCAAAGATGTCGTCGACATATCTTTTCCATAGTTTGATGTTTCACAAACACACAAACTCAAATCATACTTCACTAAACATAAAGACCGAACAACGACATTCGACACAACCAACGCGGTCTACATGATACCATGTAAAGATTGCTTTAAATAGTACATAGACAAACGTCCAAGAAATTGAAACAAGAACTCCACTGAATATCAAACGACGCGACTAAAAAATACCAAGCAGAACATACGATACCAACCACATTGACTGGACAACACAACTCTTGGACGCTTAGAAACACGCACGAGAATTAAAGAGGCATGGTAAGACAACAACACAATTAACAGATATTGTCATCCCATCTATTCACAACTAAAGACAAAACAAAACAACAACAATAACACAACGACTAAAATAAAACACTCAATTTCATTAACGTAATCGATACACTAAACCATGACAACGCATCTTATACCATCCAATAATATCAACTCAACTACTAACCAACAATCAGACGCTCCAAACGCCACAAAATCTTTAATATATATATTGTCACATATTTGATGAAGGCTCAAGCACAAAAGCTTAATAAAACTTAAAACAAATCAGAAAATCATTATCATATATATATATATATATATATATATACATAAAAGATAAAAGTTTGTCCGGATTTTAAGTGATTTTTATTGAGCTTTCGACTCGTTCCTTCGAGCCTTCATCAGAATGAGGATATTTATTTACACGTGCTTTTAGCTTGTTGACGTTTAGAGCTTCTAATTGTATTAGTGGGTGGATTAATGTGATTGGATGGGGTGAAATGCGTTGCCATGGGTTTTGGTGTATTGTGAATATGATTGGTGTTAGTAATATTAGAGTTTAGTGTTTTAGTTTTGGTGTTGTTTGTAGTTTTTTTGTTCTTTTTCTTTAGTTGTGAGTATATGATGGGTATGTCGACATGTCTGTTTATTGTGTCGTTGTCTTTAATGTACCAAGCTTCTTTAAATTCGCGTGCGTGTTTAGTCTGTGCGCGTCCGAGTACTTTAGTTTCTGTCCAGTCGAATGTGTGGTTGTTTCCGTGGGTATGTTCTGCCGGTAGTGAGTTCGGATCTCGTCGTTTTATGGCGTTTTTGTGTTCTGTGAGTCTTGTTTCAATTTTCTTAGATGTTTGTCCTATGTATTGCTTTGAACAGTCTTTACATGGTATCATGTAGATCGCGTCAGTTGTATCATGAATTGTTGTTTTGTCTTTATGTTTGGGAAACATGATTTCAGTTTTTGTGTAGGTTTGTGGGCGACGTTAATATTAAATGGTCGAAGAAATCTGGCAGTCATTTCTGATGTTCCGTTTATGTATGGTAATGTGACGATTTTTACTGTTTCGTCCGGTTTTTTGTTGCTTTTGTCGGTTTGTGTTTTGTTTTGCATTTTGTATATAGTTTTGTTTATGAAGTTTCTAGGTAATTGTTTTTAATAAATGTGGAGTATAAGTAGTTGCGTTCTGTTTTTTTGGCTTCTTCAGTATTACAATGTGTGTTTATCCTGTTGAAAAGTGTTCGAATGCAGCTTATTTTGTGTTGTGTTGGATGATTGCTGTTGAAATCGAGTATTTGGTCTGTGTGGGTGGTTTTGCGGTATACTTGTGTGTTTAGTGTACCGTCATCTGTTCTGGTTAGTAGGATGTCAAGGAAGATAAGTTGTTTGTCGTGCTCTTCGTCTTTAGTGAAGGTAATGTTCTTTGTCGTATTGTTTATGGTGTGTAGGATTTGTTCAGTTTTGTCTTTCTTGACTATGGCAAAGTTGTCGTCGACATATCTTTTCCAAAGTCTGATGTTTGTGTTGTTTGTGACTGATTGTGTTTCGAGGTGTTGCATGACAGCTTCTGCGAGGAAAGTGGATAGTGGTGATCCTATTGGTGTGCCTGAAATTTGTCTGTAGTATATGTTTTGGAAGGTGAATTCAGTGGAGAGGCAAAGGTTGAGTAAGTCTACGATGTCATTTTTGTCTAGTTGTGTTGTAGCTTGCCAAGTTTTGTCGTTTGTGAGTAGTTCGTTTGTAAATTGTTTGGCGATGTCTAGTGGTATGGATGTGAAGAGTGATGTCAAGTCGTAGGATATCATGATTTCGTCTGGTCGTAGTTTAATATTTTCAATACAGGCGAGGAAAGTGGTGACATTTCTGATGGTGTGAGGTGAATTTTTGACTAATAGATACAGAATGCTATAAAGATATTTTGAAAGTTCATACGTAGGTGATCCTGGAAGCGATACGATAGGTCGAAGTGGGTTGTTTGCTTTGTGGATTTTTGGTAGTCCGTAGAATTTGGCGGTGGATGCGTCATTGGGTCGGATTCTTCTGTAGTCGTTTTCGTTTAATTTCTTTTTGTCTTTTAGTTGTTTTAGTTTCTGGTTGATGCGGTTGGTGGTCGTTTTGCTGGGGTCTGTGTGGAGAAGTTAGTAGGTGGTGGTGTCTTGTAGGAGGGTTTTGGCTTTGTCGATGTATTCTGATCTGTCCATGATAACTGTTTTGCGTCCTTTGTCAGCTCGTAAAATGATTATTTGGTCGTCGTTTTGTAGGTTTTTAATTGCTCGTAGTTCTTCGTAGTTTAGGGTGACAGGTGGTTTGTGGCAGAGGTTATTTGTGATTTTGTGACGAATGTAAGCTCGTAAATTAAGCGTAAGCTCAATAAAATAATTTTTTAAAACAGTTCGGGGAAACTTTCATTTTTTATGTTTATATTTATATACAATATGTTCGTGCTCATTTCAAAGCCTTTACAAAATCTTAGTGACTTACAAAAAAGAACAAAAAAATATTTTCATAAAGTCTATTTCATTTAGAGTAGAAGGATACATGCATGAAAAGGAGTGTAAGTTTTGCTGTAGAACACTCTTTTCTGCGATGTATAAGAACAGCAATAACATGACGGTAACATTTTGCCTGTGATTTCTTATAAACTTCATTTTTATTTTAACTGCGGCATTAAAGCAATAGATAACGATTGTCAACATTGCTACTTTGTTCTTTTGTTCCTTAACGGTAAGACTTTATTTCGATATTATGAAGTGCTACAAACACAAGACGGTGATTTATATGGGGGATGGTTGCTTTTTGTTCACCTCCTTATGTCGAACTAGATTTGTTATTATTCATGCTTCTTTTAATGCATTTTGATTTAGGTTTTTGAACAAATTCAGAGACTAAATAATCTTTACTTACAACTTTGTGAAGTGGGCGAAATCAGTTATCTCACCTGGAAATCCGATTTTCGGTGCAGTAAACAAAAACAAAAAAGAGAAAATCGTCTCTATAATATCAGAGAATGCTGTGAAAAAATGGAAAAAGATTTAAAAAAATGGAAACTTACCATGAGTACGAAGAGACAAAAATGTTACTCTTTAAATCATTTTACTATGAAGCAGATTTTAACCTTACGAAAAGAACTCTTCAAGGCGTGTGTTGGTGAAACTGCAGTCAATGAACTTCCAAGGCAAATATTTGTGCTTCTTCAAACAGTTAAGAATGACATTGATCCAATCATACTTGCAGAGGCACTTATGATACAAGAAAATTCTTTGTATCAAAAAGGCGAGGATGTTCCTGGGTCATGTCCGACACAAAGGCAAAATTCATTTGAAGTGCTTACTTCTGCTAAAGAGATTATAGAGTCTGAGGGTTATGATGAAGATTACATACTAGCTGCTTTGCAAGTTTGTGGTCGAAAAGCAACAGACGATAGTCTTGTTGAATGGGTTTTTGATTGTAACGAAGATAAAGACACCATCTTCGCGTTATCACAAAAAGCAAAAGAAAATCCCAATCTTTCTGATCTTGTTACGAAAATGTTTAGCACAGACTCTCACACTGAACATGACATTACTCTTCCCACCAGGTAAAGCTCATTTATATAAAATCTCAGTAGTTCAAATAAAAAAAAAGATGTTTACTAGTTTTCCAAAACATTGCAACATTTGTAATCATGAAAATATTTAGTTGTTTTTTTTACTGTTTGATATTGGTTTTTTTAAATAAACAGTACAATAGTTTTCGAAGTGCTGTCTTATCCGCTGGTTCAAGCCTTAATCTATGACTTTTGAATGAAGTAAAAATCAAACTATGCTAAATACTAAAGTTTGAAACATGTTGTTTGTCAAATTTAGAAAAAATGATAAAGAAGAATCTTTCCAAATCAATAACGAGGACACAAAATATTTATCTTTGTGAAACATCAAACTATGGAAAAGATATGTCGACGACATCTTTGCCATAGTCAAGAAAGACAAAACTGAACAAATCCTACACACCATAAACAATACCACAAAGAACATTACCTTTACTAAAGACGAAGAACACGACAAACAACTTACCTTCCTCGACATCCTACTAACGAGAACAGATGACGGTACACTAAACACACAAGTATACCGCAAAAACACACACAGACCAAATACTCAACTTTAATAGCAATCACCCAACACAACACAAAATTAGTTGCATACAAACTCTCTTTAACAGGATTAAAACACACTGCAATACAGAAGAAGCCAAGAAGAATGAACGCAACTACTTATACTCTACATTCATAAACAACAATTACCCACGAAACTTTATCAACAAAGTATTAAACAAAATACACAACAAACCACAAACTGAAAAACCTAACGAAGATACAGACGAACCAGTAAAAATAGTGACATTACCATATATAAACGGAACATCAGAAATGACATCAAGACTACTCCGACCATTCAAAATAAACATCGCACATAAACCAACACACAAACTCAAATCATACTTCACTAAACCTAAAGACCGAACAACGACATTCGACACAACCAACGCGGTCTACATGATACCATGTAAAGATTGCCCCAAACAGTACATAGGACAAACGTCCAAGAAAATTGAAACAAGACTCACTGAACACAAGAATGCCATCAAACGACGCGACCCAAAATCACTACCAGCAGAACATACCTACGATACCAACCACACATTTGACTGGACAAAAACACAACTTCTTGGACGCGCACAGACAAAACACGCACGAGAATTCAAAGAGGCATGGTACAGCAAAGACAATAACACAATTAACAGACATATTGACATCCCCATCATCTATTCACAACTAAAGACAAAACCAAAACAACAAACTAATAACACAACGACTAAAATAAAACACTCGAATTTCATTAACGTAATCGATACACCCGAAACCATGACAACGCATCTTATACCATCCAATAATATCAACTCAACTACTGTTTGATATTGGTTTTTTTAAATAAACAGTACAATAGTTTTCGAAGTGCTGTCTTATCCGCTGGTTCAAGCCTTAATCTATGACTTTTGAATGAAGTAAAAATCAAACTATGCTAAATACTAAGGTTTGAAACATGTTGTTTGTCAAATTTAGAAAAAATGATAAAGCAGAATCTTTCCACATCAATAATGAGGACACAAAATACTTATCTTTGGACAATTTAGCTGCTTTGCTGGAAAAGATTTCTGAAAAAGGTTTGATTTTCTACAATCAAAAACTAATCATTTAGTTATATCTAAATGAAGCAAGGGGAAAGATTTCATTATGCCAGGGCACCAGCACTTAATTATCATTTGGATATTAACATTCTTAAAGGCTAATTATATTAATTAAATAAAAGTAGGTTTAGTAATTCATTTTTATCTTGAGTTAGAAAAATATGACACCAGTGTTTGCCATTTATTTAGCCTTAGGTTGTTTTAAATTATCATGTTCGGTTGAAAAGTAGAATACCATCATCTTTATCATGAGTTTACTGCAATTTCATTGCATCAATGTTCAAGAAAATCAATTTTTTAAGACAGATGACGTACTTATTTTACTAAACGTATGTTATTCAAACAAACGCATTACGTTTTATAACACACTTCTACTAGATATGTACGAATTAAGTGTCTTTTAGTCAACTGTACAAAGACAGTCTTTTTTAGTCTTTTGCTTCATTCTTTTCATTCCATGTCCTTATCGTTTTCACTGTAACGTAGCGTTTTCAGACAAAGGAGAATTTTCTCCTTTCGCAAAAAGTGATCTTGTCGAAGAAATCTTAAAGCATGTGCGCATTTAATCGTAAAAAATGATGAAATTGTTAATGAGGCAGCTTTCTCTTTGACAAATAATTATAATTATTATGCTGAAATATGTGTGCAAAGATTTGTTTTCTCTTTATTAATAATTTAAATATTTATACAGAACGTAGTCGAGTAGATCGCAATATTCCAACAGTTTTCAAAGAAGGAGAACCAAATCTATTGCTTGTCTCGAAAGGTATTTTCTTATCGTCATGATCGCAACAGCATTTTTCTTAATGACATATCTAAGTAAAAAAATATATGTAATTTTTATTGCTGGGAACATTTCACTTTTCTTGCAATAAAAAGAGTTTGAAGGATTATCTACAATTGAATATTTTTAAACCATGCAGGTGAAGTTTTTGGTTGCGTGTTGTCTCTTTTCATGGGATGTGAAAATGTAACGTTACCAAGTGACGAAGAGGTGGTTGTTTGTGACCAGAGCACGACATCAGAAGAGGTAAAATCTTATTGTAGTTTTACTTTGCATTCGTCAAATTTTTATAAGCAGTGTGACTTTCTGGACTCTTTAAAAATGCAACTTTTACAGCAACACAGTTTGGTAGATTAAAACGTCTGTCAAAAAATTTATCGCTCAATGATAAATTCAAAACCTTTGCATAACAATGCTGCTGCATGGTAATGAATTTCAGAAGAATAAAATTTTTCCAATTGAATTGCTTTTCAACTAATAAAAAATGTAATAAATCCATGACTAAGCTGTTGAAGAGTATTTTGACTAACTCCAGATCCTTCACTTGTAACACAGTCTTCTGAAATCAGACTTTTCCCTTTACTTTTTGTTTAAGTTTGTTTTCTAAGGAGTAAATGCGATAAATGTTTAAGATATATATAAGAAAGAGAATTCTGGTCAACATTCGACGTATATCAACACAGGATGGTGTTAAACGTGTGCTTATTTTAGCTCATAAATGTTTAAAAAATTAGAGCTTCAAATTAAATGTTTTTTTTTTATAGATTGAGCTACTTTGGCGACGAGCTGTAGGTGATAATACTGGTCGATTGTTTTGTCTTGTTAATGCAGATCTTTTGGACTTTGACGTCAGTCAGGAAGCATTACGTTTACTTGAATCGTTGACTCAAGGACAACAAAGTAAGTTTGACTAGCATTAATCTACATTATTTGTTTTTATCAGTTTATCTCATTACAATATATCAACATTATCTAATAATGTCGGAGAATAACAGTCCACTTAAAAGTGATTTTCTTTCAAAGCACTGTTTTACACGAAGTCATCTACAATGCAAAAAGTTTTCAGCAATGAGCTTTGCACATCATAACATGTTTTTTATCAAACTCTTTCGTAAAGCTTTAATATTTATGAACATAAGTAGCCTAGCCTGTTTCAATTAAGTGAAATTTCTTTATATGTCATTGTAAAGGTTTTATGACAATGTGTTGTAATGTATGTAACAGATGATCAATTAAAAAACACATAATGAAACCATGCCAATTGGTTTTATGGGAAAACGTGTGATCAAAAGTTCTACATGTTGTCTTATAAATTGTTTTGTTTTAAGTCTTGCCTTTACTTCTTTATATTTTTTAGAATATCGTTTGGTGGTGGTATGCAGCATAGAAAACGACAAATCAAATATAGTGAAAACATTAGATCATTATCGACGCTCACTTCCTCCACTAAAGTCATTGGATTGTATCCAAAGATATCTGAAAGAAAAATTTGTATATCAACCTAATCTTAATGACCACGTTTGCACAGCAGCAGCTATTGTAGATCGAGAAAAGTATGTATTATTAACAGGTCAATTCATTGTAATTACTATCAGGTATGTTTTTTTCTAAGAAATGTGTAATTAAAGTCGAAAAAGATTCTCATTTAGATTTGATGCCTTGTAGCTTTATGTTTTGCCTTGTCTTGTAAAACTTTTACAGGGAATAAACATAATTAAATAACTTTTTAGGTTACTTGTGCGTTTTATCAAGTCATCAAGAGCAGGCATGGGAAAAAGTTTGATTGTAAAACGTCTCACTAAACAATTAGAAAGTCATTTAAACAACAAAAGGAAACATTCTGGAAACACCAAATCACCATTATGCTGTACTATCCCAGTCCATGGTGTGTGTGTTAACGAAAATGAGATCACTCGCAACTTTTTTTCACATATGTCAGAAGGAGATGCTCCTGTTTCCAGAATTTTTCATCTAGATATTTCTCAATCAGTAAGTTCTACACTTAAAATCAAGTGCATGAAAACCATGTATGAAAAAGTTACTAATTGCAATAAACATGTTTTCAATGAAGATCTTATCTCAGCTCTTTCTTGTGTCTCTGCAACTTGTGGAAAGATAGAAATTAGCGAAAAAACAAATCTGTCTATATGAAATTTGTTTAGGTATCAAAAGGACTTGATGACATTCTGTTTAAACTATTGATTCTCGGATCAGTCAAAGATAACGATGGAAACATATGGCGAAGGAAAACAACGGATTTGTATGTTGTTGAACACACAACCGACGAGGCATTTGTGATGCTAACATCTGAAAATTCTTCAATAACTCAAATTCAGGTAAACATTCATATTTTTTACTTAAAATCTATTTTCACAAAGCACTTTTGAATATCTACTAAAGGCCTGTTCATATAAGTCCAGTTAGTGATACATCCCACTGAGCGAGCCAAATATACCTCGCTTTCATATGAAAAATTTAATCCCGCTTATCGAGACGAAATAGCTAAACATCACTTTCCTAAATTCTGCGAGTTAAAAATTAACATGGCGCATCATAGACCGGAAGTTTTAGTATTTTATGGGTTTTTGCCGTTTATATACTGTGTTTTTATATTGAATACTAATGAGATCTTCAAATAATGAATTAAACTTTAAATCATACCATTACTGCAGCGTATAATTCGTTTATTTTGTCTTAAATCCCAGCTCCACTCCATTGGTCGCCATGTTTTTAATATGTTTGTAGATGTAGATCGTCCAGGTTGGTATAGTAAAAGACATTTTGACTCTGAAGATGACTACCGCTAAGTTTGTTGAAACGTCAGGCAACAACAACAAAAACAGTCCTACTCAAGACTATACCAACCTGGACGATCTACATCTACAAACATGTAACGATACTCCAGGGTTCAAACCACTTACTTTATGCTTATAATATCATAATTTCATTTCGGTAAGCAGGCTAGCGAGTTCATAGGGAAAAATTTCACCCCGCCTACCTATGGTCTCGTCTCCTGCAGCCGCGATCTTGGCAACCGGACCAGCCTGCTTTCTCATATGAACACGACGTAAATATTAATAATAAATGTATTGCAAAGCAAGATCATAGGTAGGCGAGATGCCTCGCTTACCAGGCTCATATGAACGGCCCTAAGGCAGGTTTCACTCCATTTGCTAATATGTCAAATGTACATAAAACTGAAATGGCAAGCAAATATTTGATACAAGTTGCATCGTTGCAAACGCACACGTCTGCTACAAAACTCAACTCAGTGTTCTTTCATTACTGATTTCCATTTACGAATACATATTTATTATTTACCGTCAAAAGCCTCGAGAACTTTTTCCGTTAAATCTCATAAACGGTAAATTATGTTTTAATTTTAATTTTTCTCTAAGGCAACAGTTATACTGGACTGTGTACTCAGATTTAAAAACGACGACAATGAAAACAATTAAAACTTTATTTAGTCATTTTTTTGAAGGAATATTTTCAGATTTATCTATTTAAAGCAGGCCAGAAACTAACTTTGTAGAATAAATGAAACGAAACAATACGAAATGAGGCGAAACAAAACAAAGCAAACCAACAGTCTTCAGATATATATCGTAAAATTTTCCTTTGTGATGCATATCAGATCAAAAGAATGGCCATGCGATTCTGCCCATGCTTTTGATTTTAAAGAGTAAATAGCTTGGTGTATTTAAAGTGCCCAACTATGTCATAATTATCGATATGATCTCTTTGAATTTAATTTGCTTAGTCATTGAAACATGAAAATGAAATTAGTTATAATAATCATTCAGCTACTAATCACGAAAGTCCTTTAAAACTTAGAATTCACAAAATCGACAGTCAAGCGGCAAGTATTCGTTTATGAAGTTTTTACCAAGCATCCATTGTCTTTCACCAAGGGAAACATTAAGAAATTTGCAATTACGAAGAGATGGTAAGAATGAACGTTTCACATATACATTACTTTGTTGGAAGGCTCAGGCTCATATACTATTGGTATTTATATGAAAACGAGTAATTGTGTTGATAGAATATTAAGAGAGAGAAAATAGCTATAACTGATAAGAGTAAAAAATGAAAATATTTTTTTCATTTAGTTTGTTAAATTTACGTTTTATTAATTGAATCGGGTTAGCATTTTTTAAGGTTACAATAGATAATCGTTCTTTCAATACTTTTAAAGACTTTTTGTTTCTACTTCACTAAAATGTTTGAAAAATATTTAGGAGATACGAGCTTCGACAAAGAGGAATTCAAAAGTGATGAATATCAACGAGCACTTCAATATTTATTGCATGTATCCACTGGTGCGAACTTGGACAATTTTTCATACATCAATGATCCTCGTGTTGCTGTAAACGATCCAAATAAAGCGTTGACTATTTTAATCCAGTAAGTAAATGTGACTAAGAAATAACATTTGTAAAAAGCGAATGTGGTACGTATTTAATCATACATATTTTGTCTCCAATATTAAAATATTTTGATTTTTCTTGCATTTGAGGTTTTTAATTCATAATGCAATGTAGTTTTTTTGTTTCATTTACTTTTTTGATACTACATTCATAGCCATATGGATTTTCATTTTATTCAGATACTGTGGAATACGCGATCCATCATGGGCCGAAATTCATCACTTTGTAAACTTTTTAAATGTTCAATTACGTGATTGTGAGAAAAGTGTTTTCTGCCACACTAAATTGGTTGGGGATGTGTTGCAAGGCTTTAAAACATTTGTTGTTTGCTTTATGATACAAATGTCGAGGGTAAGTTTCATATTTTAGCATGCTATTTAAAATTGATGTAAAACACATTACTATTTGATTTGTGGAATTGTGTTTGCTTGACCGAGTGAAATAATTCTTAGGATAAAGTCAGAAACAGTAATTTTAGTAACTTTTGCTTTAAAATCAAAAAGAGACAATTAACTGTGACTGGAATCCAAGGAATTTACTGATGTTTTGTTTAAGATTTATTAAAAACAGACTTCCACAGTCTAAATATGTTTTCATTTTGTATGTAATTATCTTAAAAAATGCATTTAACTGAATCGTCTGCCAATTTTAGTCGAGCGTCTTTTAGTTTCTTAATATTTTTGTTCAAGGACTTTGCTACAAGATCTTTAATTGAAACTTCTGAAAAAGAGAATGACGATCTACAACGCTTCCAAATTCGCCGATGTTGGGAAAAAAGGTAAATTTTTCTTAGCTCATTAATAAATGTGAATGTACTGCGCACTGCCCACACATATGATTGATCAAAATCACACTATGCATCTGCTCACCAAACGCTATATCTTCACGGCACGTTTTATTGAAAACATTCCACCATTAAACTTATATTGAGTAGATGCTTTAGATGATTTGTTGTTGTTAACGACGTATGGATTTCTTTTAGTCCTCATCCGTATATTTTCTTCCATCATGATCATAACAGCATGACATTTTTGGGATTCTTGTTGAATGAAAACGGGGATTTGGTGCAACCTGGAAGTAAAATTGTTTTAAAACATGGCTTGATGCCAAAAATTTTAAGAGGACAATTAAAGGTCCAAGGGGTAGATTTTGATGTAAACTACGAAAGCAGTGGACGGTTTGTTTATTATTATTATATTTATACAAATAATTATATACAATCTTGTTTGCGTAGCTAGTATTTAGTTGTGACCTAGCTTAATTTGTTTATTATACATGTTTTGTATGAAAAAATTACCATTTTCATTAGATTTTTTATACCAAAAACATGTTTTGTTCAACAAACAAGTAATTATATTTATGTTTTTTCTATTTTTGTTAAAAGCATTTTTATGCTCATTTTCAGTTACTATCACTAACTTTCATAGCAACATAAATTACTATTATGTAATTTATGTTTTTTTAGAGAAGCACGAATTAAGGACTTATGTAAAGTCATGGGAATTAATCATCCTTTTGATCCTGATCCAACATATGAGCTTACAACTGACAACATGAAGAAAATCTTGGCTATTCACATGCGATTTCGGTAAATTTAGTGCAGTGAATGTTTTTCGATTTCGGTAATCACTAAATTTATTTTCAAAACAGCTAAACCATCCTTTGCCATTTTCTTGTTTGTCTTGCCAAACAAAACTGTCATTGTATTGTCACTCATACTGAAATAAATAATCACAAACCTTTCATTACTAATGGATGTAGATGTGGTATTCCTGTCATTGTGATGGGGGAGACCGGTTGCGGTAAAACAAGTTTGATACGGTTTATGTGCCAGCTACAAGCCGGACGTAATGGATCAGAAAACCTAATCCTCATGAAGGTTACCAAATTTCATTAATCAACGACCGCCGACCAATCTTTTTGACTGTTAGTTCTGCCAAAAGTTCCATGCACACAATATTGTTGTTTGAAATTATTATAAAAGCTTCATGTTTTTATCGAAATCTTTATACTTTTTTAGGAAAAGCATGGTGATTACTCATGCCCCAACAAATAGAATACTCTAGCCTCTGTAGTTAATTTAGAATCAATAAAAAGCAATTTTTCTATAAATCTATATGTTTTCATGTTTGCTGAAGTTCTTCAAAGCAGGGCAGTGCTGTAATTTATCGATACAATGTTCCATTGTGCTTAAATAGGTTCATGGTGGAACAAGCTACAAGGAAATAGAAAAGAATGTCGCCGAAGCAGAAAAATTGGCTTTACGTAACCAAAAGATAAATGTTAACACAATTTTGTTCTTTGATGAAGCAAATACAACCGATGCAATCGATCTGATAAAAGAGATAATGGTTGATCGGCGAGTGAAGGGTCGATATATCGATCCAACGTTGACTGGACTTCATTTTATTGCAGCGTGTAATCCGTACAGGAAGTTAGTTCAAAATTTTAAATTTGTTTCGTTTTTTGAATAATATTGCTTGTGAATTTGTGAACAATTTATAAAGTTACTACTTTATTTCATTTAAGACACACTGACGAGATGATTAAAAAATTGGAATCAGCTGGTCTGGGTTACCATGTTTCTGCCGACGAGACTGAAGATAAACTAGGTATGGCATCGAATTATACGCGTAACAAAGCATTGTTTATCATGTTTCATAGAAAGCGCCTTTAATCTTTGTTTTTATTTACAAGTTTTGAAGATGAAATATTTATAATTTTGTAATTGAGTTAATCGCATTTTTGCCATAAGTATAAAAATAATAAAAAACACAAACGTTTTTTTATTGTGTGATATTTATCTTTCCTAGGCTCCATTCCTCTTCGCCAGCTCGTGTATCGTGTCCATCCTTTGCCTGAAAGTATGAGACCTCTTGTTTGGGATTTTGGTCAGCTCTCAGATGACACTGAAAAACTGTACACCAAACAGATAGTAGAGCGCTATGTAACCGTTCCTTCAGTTGTAAGTTTGAATGTTCCATTTCTTGTTATGAATACGGAGCGGTTTAAATACATGCACTCAAATGAGTAATTACCTAGTAATGAGCAAAATTAAAAATATTCTTCTATTGAGTGATAACATTCACGACACATGAATGTTATAAATTATAATAATTACAGCAGACTGAAAACGATGTGAAACTGTTTGATTTCTTGATTATTAGTTTTAAAGAAAAAAAAAGATTTACAAAATCAAATTTTTAGTTGCGAGTGTTTAACAGCAATAAGCCTGTCCATTTTTTTAATTTGCTTGCAATTTAAGACATCTTCTTTATCAAACGAGAAAATAAATGGAACTGATGCTCAAGTCTCATGTATTGCTAAAATTTTGTCAGCCTCCCAAGACTTCATGCGTGAACAAAAGGTTAGATGTATTGCATTTTGAAATGCAATTTAATCATCAAATCATTTAAGAATCCTGTTAATATTTCATTTCCTTTACGATTAGAATGAATGCAGTTTTGTCAGTCTTCGGGATGTTGAAAGATCAATGACAGTTATCAACTGGTTTTACAATAATTATGATTTAATGAGGGATAATATTCTGCACTCTAACGAACATCTACATGTACAAAAAAAACCTTATGATTCCAGTGATAGTAAAGAAGATGAAGAAGAGGAAGATGAAGACCTCCTTGTAAGATTAATTTTTCAGGTGTACATAATTAAATGTTCTCACGTATTTCTTATAGCTATAGCAATTAATCAATGATTGAATTATTACTAACTGCATATTTGAGCAATTTAATAACAACAACACGCATGTTTAAAACTTTCATTTTAGTTCTATACATGAATAAGCTTAACTTAATCATTCTGCATTTGCTGTAAACAATGACAGTTTTTTTGCAACGAACGCTCCTCGAAAAGCTCTGCTACAATGCCACTTAAACAGTTATAAGGATTGCATATAATCTTAAATAAAGATGTAGCCTATATAAACATGATATGATAAGTGTGACTCTTTAGGCACTTGTCATCTTACCATTATTTACTCCAACTATTCTAGCGTACATTTTGTTACTTAGGGTATCTCAGTAGATTTTTCAGACATTCAGCTAAAATATAGATTCGTGTCAGTAAATCATCTCGTGTTGATAATGTGTCATATTATCAGCTCACAATGTGATTATTCCTTTTCCTTTAGCCTTTGAATCGTATTGTATTTTCCATCGTCCAAGGTATTGGTGTTTGTTACTATGCACGACTAAATGAAAGACATGCGTATTGCCGGTATATCAGCAGGTATTTTGACAATTCATGCCCACTTCCTGGCGGTGATAAAATGATGAAGGATGAAATAGTAAAGTAAGAGTTTTGAAATTTTGTTATTTTGACTGTTGAATAGTTTGATAAATTACAATCATCCAGGGACGAAATCAGAACGCTAATTGGAGAGGGGGTGTGTGAATATTAATGTATTCAGCTCTGCTCTGCATGCTGAATTCTTTTGAAATTGAAGTTGATTCTTTTCATTATTTAAAATTTGAACATGTACTTAAAATGTGTTGTTTGCAATACCTTGCATGGAGAAAAACACAAACTTACCCGATACGTTTCCAATCGGGGATATTGGTTAATAACGAAATTCTGTCTTTTTACAAAGGTGTCAGCGAGCGTTTTTGTACAATGTGAAACTCGACCAGAATATTGCAAGAAATAATGCGCTTTGTGAAAATGTATTTATGATGGCGATATGTGCAGAACTACGACTCCCACTGTTTGTAGTCGGTAAACCAGGCAGCTCAAAGTCTCTAGCAAAAGATGTAATTTCAAGTAACATGCAAGGTGGCAATTCTAGTAGTGAACTGTTTAAGAAGTTAAAACAGGTAAGAATAAACATTTAAAGCTTTTGCCTAGCAATAAAGAAACAGAAATAATCGATAACATGGTGCAATGCATCATTAAAACGTTAACTTATTTATTTGAACGAACGAAAAATGCTTAGTTATCGTTTCGTTCCTATTTAAGGCTTAGTGATGCTTATTGAATTTCTAAGTATTGGATTCCACCTTTTGTCTTAAGTCATTAATTCATGTAATTTAACTTTTGCAAGTATCTATGATTTTCCATTAGTTCAAATGAATATTCAAAGTTCTATTGATATATCGCACATGCATGGTATTTAAACTCTATTTTTGTTTAATGCAGGGAAAAGGCATACTTGATGAGTCTGTTTTTCGATGGCCTGATCTATCTCTTTCCTCCAAGCCATCTAAACACCTGAAAACATTTAGTATAATTGCTTTATAAATGAACGAAACTGTAATTCTCAAAAGAGAAAGAAGCTTTATTGAAATAACGGAAAATATGAAAGCTAAATTCTCGAAAGCATACGAAGTCAAAAACACTAAAACGTGAAATTTCCGCAAGACTTTAAACATTTAGAAAAATCGCTGATCTTGATTTAAGTTCCCATTCATTTTCACAGAAATGCAGTCCAAATCAATTTAGGCTAAAAAAATCGTCTTTCTTTTCAGGCATGCTCAAAACTCTCACGACAGCAATTTTAATGTCCGCGTTTTAATGGCCTCATCCACACATGTGTATAGACCAATCAGGGCACGCGTTTTACATATGTTATTTTATAACATGCTTTATTGCACATATATAGCATTAGCTTTAAATTTGGAACATTTTGCACAATATCAAAATAGTGTCTTGTGAATGTTTCTGAACGCAATTGCTAGTTTTTTTTTTAAGGATGTTGCCCTTAAAGTATAGGATACCTATATTGAAAGAGTTTTATTGAGAGTTTTAACTAATCAGATAAAAAATTTTTTCTGCATTCATATCTATTTAGTAGTAATTAAAAATAGAAAATAATAAATAATACTTATTCTAAAATACTGTTAGATTCATATTCTGATTGATCTTCTTTGTGCGACACTTAAATAGTGCTCATTTTCATTATCGTTTTTTTGAAATATCTAACATCTAGATTCACATGCAATCGTATCAATGCAGTCCCTTGTCTACACCTGATGGCATCATTTCCATTTTCAAACAATGTTCCCAACTTCAGAAAGACAAAGATTTGAGCAAGTTTGTCTCCGTAGTTGTGTTAGACGAGATTGGTTTAGCTGAAGATTCACCATTGATGCCACTGAAGACACTTCATCCATTACTTGAAGACGGTACAGCTACTTCGGAAGAATATGGAAAAGAGCTTGATCATAACCATGTAGGATTTATTGGTTTATCTAACTGGGCGTTGGACCCTGCCAAAATGAATCGTGGAATAATGTTAACTAGAGGAACACCAAGCGAAATTGAACTTCTGGATATTGCTAGGTTTGTAGCAAAGACAATTTTGAGCTCTGGCGTGCATTTTGCAGATATCTCCTGCTAATACAATGCTTAAATTAATGAAACTCATAGTTACATACATGATCTTGAAATATGATCTCTTAAAACATGGTCTAAAAATTCACTAATGCATGATGTAACGCTTGCTATATTGTGGAAACCAACAAACATTTAGTTATAAGGATCAAAGAACACACGACCTACGAAAAAAACCTACACATTCATATAATTATCTACAAAATTCTGAATGCAAATCTAAATACACTTCTTCTTCTTCACCATCATATAAAAACTGCCAGCTCTCGAGCTCCATTCACCCTCAAATAGGAAGAAGAATTATACATACAGAAACTCAAATCTGACCGGAATAAACAAGTGCAATATTTAAAACTATTTTCAAACTGTAACTTCATAATTTTATCCTCAATACTCACATCTTGTCACTACTCCCTAACCTTTTGTAAAAAATCGATATCAATATATTCATTGAGAATCATCATATATTTGATATGTTATGCATTATAAATAATAAAACCATTATCACTAAAGACGACTTACAGTTACATTTAAGTCGAAATATTTATGTGATTAAAAATATAGAACTGAAAAATACTGTTGTTTATCAAAATGTTTATCAAGTATCGTGCTACTAAGATCATATTATCACTTTTTAACATTTGGACGATTTGAAATTTTTTCAGTTTATATTTTCTCAAAGAAAAATCACATTTTCTATGAAGCGAAAAAAATGCTACAAATAATTTACATATTTTCTCATTTTAGGGGTATATGCTCATGGGATGAGGATAAGGATATTGACGAAATCATGAAAAAGTTGTGTGATGGATATTTTGATTTGTATGAAAAGCAAAAAGAATCAAGAACTTTAAAAAACGCTCAAAAGGACGAATTCTTTGGTCTCAGAGATTTTTACAGGTATGAACAAATACAAATGTGTTTTTACCCAATCTGTTTTAAAAAAATTCAAAAACTAACATTTTGTACTTACAAATTTTTAACTTCTAATTTCAAACAAATGAAGGCTCGAGGATCATATTGAGCAAGGACCATATCAAAATCTGTTGATTATGAGCATCGAACATGAGATCTTTGATAATATTGAGTTTAAAAGCCCGCCATAAAAGTGTTAAAGAATCACATTTCATATTAAGTTCATGATATGCTTTGTTTTTTGTATCATGTTTTGAATTCAGTTTAATACACAACAGTCTCCAGTCTCCAATTCTTTCCTGAAATAGGGAAGGCGGGAGAGCTGGACGGGAGGCCATAGCTAGGTCCCTCACTGCCCAATAGGAAAATAAAATTATAATTTGCCAAAATTTGAACTTGTAGCATTTTGTCGAATGAGCACTATTATTGATTTACAGGTCGATTGAATAGTGCGTAGACATTCGATAATATATACGACTAAAATTAGAGTGTTTCACGTAACTGCTAGATGCGGAAATGAAGTCAACAGACAAAACGTTTACGGAGCTCATGGAAAACGTATAATTTGAACAAGTTGCATTGAATGATTTTCCACTTTATCAATGAAATGAAAAATCGCGTGTGAGAAAGATAATGCCTGATTTATGCTCCTCAGCTGTACTTTTTGTAATCAATAAATTATTAGAATTGTTAAGGGTAAGTCGGGTGTTTAGGGTTTAGGTCGAGTTCATTATTTATTCAAACGAGTAATCCAAGATTGTTCCTTAGATAAGGTCGAACTTCAATCACAGTTTTAGCTATATTTGAAAATTGCAACAATAATGAACAGACATCTAAGAAACTGAAACAGTAAAGAATGCTCTGTGCGTTGATTTGAAGTCCTTGTGCCAAACAAATTTAAATCATTTGCAATTTAAGCCTTTGCCCTCTGTGATCTCTCTTCTGTAAGAATCACTGCATTCAATATGGTTCTCTTTTAACAGTCTTGTAAAGATGGTAAATGAATCAGCGAAAGTTACTAAGAAAAGCGCTCGGATTGATGATACTGAATTAAAGCATTGTATTCTGAGAAATTTTAGTGGCTTAGACGATGTTGATCCAGTTGAGATATTTAGTCGGCAATTCCGAGGACTTGAGCATATAAAGGTAAAGTACTACTCATGAAAGAAAAAATTTCTTTAGGTGAACAAATATTATAAATAAATCATGAAAATTTGCGTTGAACAACTGTTTATTTATTTATTTTTAATTCATTGTACTGCATGTAAATTTTTATGCTGTACAAAACCTACCTATAGAAATTTGCTGATTCGAATTGTTAACATTTCAATAAGTGTTGTGCTAAGCCCACTTGAGCATTTTGCTTTTAAAATTTATGTTGAATTTTCAAGAGCAGAAAGGCAATTTTATGATATTTAATGCATGCACATACTTGTCAATTTTTCTTGTCCTCAAAAGCTGAGAGGGCAAGAAGCTATTTAATATAATAAGAAATTCGCGTTGTAGAATGGCTGATGGCCCAATGTAACTTGATGTTGAGACTGAATTTGGATTGTTTCTGCAAACTTTGCTTCGTCTGGATAGTAAAATTCACTCTTGCTATGATTACTTTCATCTGAATACACTTTGCCTACTCGTTCAACAATTTAGGTACATCGCTTTTAAAAGCTGTCCTTTTAGGCAGCCAAGCAAATTGCTGGAAATAAAAAAATATCGCTTTGGACCACTAACTAAAAAATTTTAACAATTAATTAATTTCATCAGTTCTACTTTTCTCGCATTTGAACTACAAGAAATCTGCATGAATTAACGACGGCATAAAATATGTCATCTTGTACAGAAAAATTTGAAGATCAAACAGATATTAATTATTTTTGCAATTGTGTTTAGAATCCTTCAACGGAATGTCTTCCCATAAATCTTCTTCAAAACAGTTTGAGAAGAACAGAGAAAAGAAGGTATTTGAAATATATACATCAATTGTTCATCAATTGGTCATAACGGATAGCTAGGCTATTATAAAAATTCTAACATCCTTGCGTGTTACAATTTCAGAGAAAGTCGCTACTTGCTAGTGTTAACGGAAAATTACGCAGCATTGAGATTACTTCAAAGTAAAGATTTTCGTGAGTATGAGCCGGAAGTGATTTTTGGCAGCAGTTTTCCAAGAGACCAACAATACACACAGGTATTTATAATTAGAATTTGTGCTTCTTATAGAGTTAAAGTGCTCTTAAGACGTCGTGCCTGTTTACATTTTGCTGGCAGAAAGATTTGGTTCCTTCAAACAAGTCTAGCTAAACGGCTCAACCTTCTTTGGGATTAGTCTGCCTGCTAGCTACTAGCAAAACGTAAACAAGACAAGTCATCCATAATTAAAATTTTGTCACACACACATTTATTTTCCAATGAAAATGCTGTTGCTATTTTAAAAGTACAAGTATCCAAACGCCTATTAGTTAATGTAACACAATCAGGTTATTCATGACCGTTCCTTTTCCATTCACTCTTAAATTTTAAGATGTTATTAAATTAAACTTTACGCATCTTTTGTGAATGTTATTGAAGTGTCAACCATTTTTCCATGTTAATATGCAGACTGTAGTTATGCACTTAGTGTGAAAATTAAAGTTAACCGATTATTGTATGTCAACATTGAAAATGATATGATTAAATAAATAGAGGTCTCACCTAAATAAGCAAACAGATACAAAATCAATCTTAGTTATGAGATGTCCTGAAAGACAAATATTACATTCAAAAAGCTATACTTTTATATAGCCTCTTTTTATTTTTCCATCTATTGTAGATTTGTCGAAATATAAACCGTATTAAAGTCTGCATGGAAACAGGAAGAATGGTGATTTTACTTAACTTGGAAAGTCTGTATGAAAGTCTTTATGATGCTTTAAACCAGGTTGGTACAATTAATGTTATAACGGTTGATGATGAAGTTATAAAAAAAGAAATATAGGAGAATTAATTCAAAAAACAGCAGCACTTCTACAAAAATAGTAAACTGAAGTTTTGTGTTTTGAGACACACTGCACAACTAAAATGGACTTGTACACTTTTTGCCTTCCAGCAAACAAACATAAACATTCAATAATACGTTGCGATAACTACATCAATGAAACTTTCGATAGATCTTTTGAACGTACTGAATTTTAATCATTAACATTTGCAAAAGTTCAATTAGATTAACATGGATGGCTAAAATAAAAGGTGAACTTCATTATCATTTTTAAGAAATTCATTACGCATCAGTATTTAGTGAAGATTTAATTCGAACAAAAGAGACCCTAAATATTCTTTTCTTAATTTAGTGATGCGTTATGAATTTCTTTGAACGTTAGTCATCAACTCATTCAACTAACTTTCACAAACGTTGATGATTTTCCTTTAGTTCCAACCAATAATCCGAAGTTTTATTATTGTAGCTATTGCACCGTGTTTGTGAATGGTTATTTTTGTTTAATGCAAAGCAAAGAGTGTACTTAACTCAACTATATATTTTATACACATATTGTCTTTTTATGATTAGCTGATTTTGTAATTGATCCTTTAGATTAAATGTTTCAACATTTCTCTGACATTTATCAAAAATATTTTACATCATTATTTTGTAGTATTACTTGTTTCTCGATCAACAAAAGTATGTCGATCTTGGCCTAGGAAACCATCGAGTCAAGTGCCGTGTTGCTGACAATTTCAAGTAAGTAATTCCTAATTTCCTTATTGAAGTCAGTTTTAGTTTTTACTTTTAACTTTTGATGAATGTTTTTTTACAGTCTTATGTTGAGTGAAAAATCTTCACACCATTTATATACGCACGCGCATTATTTCATAATAGAGTGATTTAGCAAACACGACGTTTCGTCTAAGACGTCGTCAAACTTTCGCAAGGGATCTGGGTCTAGGACACCACCACGTCGTAAAGTATTTGTGATTTAGAAGACTTTGCCAAAGAAGAGTATGAAACAAGTTTCATATCCTTTTCGGCATTTTCCTGCTGGATCGTTTTTTCCGACCTTACTAAACTAATTTTTTGATATCAAAAATATACTGCAGTTTACTTATTTCAAAAAATTATAAGTAAAAGAAAATTCATCGACATATGCAGTAGCGTGGTGGTGCAATTTTTACTGCGGGCGCCAAAGCAAATTTCGCGCCTCCTTCACCTTCGAACTAACGAAATTTGCAGTACATGCCACAGTATTATGGAGTCTCGATACGTTATGTTAGCCTTTGCATTTTGATTACACTCTTCCGATGACTGCGCTACCAGAAAATTAAAAATAGGTACGCGAATAACGTAAATGACTAATATTTAACTAACTATATGAGAAATCACTAGAGAAGTCTGACGGTCATTTGTTTGTAAGGATAACCAAAATATTATAGATCATTTATTAACAAAAATGATAAATTGTTCTCTAAATACCACAAACTAAAAGTCCGTCTTCTTAGTTTATCAGCTCGCGCTCTACGGAGGACTGACTTAAACGACTGAAACAAATCGGACGTCTGTTTGAGAGACAGGATTCAGTCAATGATTCAATTGACCTGCTAAGTAGGTCACTATAACAAGAGTAGCGACGTCTTCAAGAAATCTCAAAAATTTTAACAAAAAGTTATATATTTTTCCCGCTTTAACAGAAAATCTTATCTTTCCCGCTTTAACAGAATTTTATACAATTATATTTTTATTTTTAATCCTACGGGAACTCTTGAATTGTAGATGATTGATGTTCAGTATTAATACTAACCTTTAGTATACCTGTATGATATTTTGAGATGTTTATTTCAACTATTGCCAGTAAAATTTTACGAATTTCCTTAATTTTATACTTTCGAATATTTACCGTAACGCATCATCGTCATGTAGTCGTATCAATTCGTGAATTGCCGTCCTAGTACATTGACATGTCGACATTTTTTAGTATAACATTGTGGTTAGCCTTTGAGCAGGCTACCCACAAAAAATATTATTCAGCTTGGATTAATAATAAGATGCAATGCCAGTAACTTTTCCTGTCTGTGGGAGAAAGCCAGGAAAATAGATTGAAATAGGTAAAAAACTATACATTTTTAGGCCTTGTTGCGCCCCCTAAGAGTACATCAAATTTGGCCCTGTATTTTGTCTACGGTCATTGTGACATTTGACAAGTCAGGTGTTGTTGCCACATAAGAAACATCAAGAATGCTGTTCAATCGATTTATTCTTTAACAGACTGTAAAACGACCCCCCTTAAAAGGTTTCATTTTGATCAGTCTTCCTTTTTCCCCAAAGTTATCTTAATTAACTGTATCTTATAACTGTGGAAATAACTGTCCTGCTTCAATTCATTTTCTAGCCCAAATTTAAAATTTCGTGACTCATATTCAATTCTGCGCCGCCAAAAATCAACAGCTGGTGGGCCTTGGCCCCCTGGCCCCTCCTGCCACCAAGCCACTGGACATATGGCTTTGTGATTAAAATTGTTTTGACTCCGATGAAACCCCCGAAATTAGAGCAGACCCAGCGTTGTTTATTTGTTTGTTATTTTTGCTTTAGGAAACAAAATATTCGCAGTTTTTTTCTTAAATGAATATATGTAGGCCTATATTAAGCAATTACTGGATAAGGTTGAGCATGATATCAAGAATTATTCAGACTGATGTCATTTTTATCTGCCGAAGAAAAGCTGAGAATCAAGCTTTCACTTTTGTTACAGCTAAATGGGCTATATACTGTATAGCATGAATGTCGCAATAGGAAAACTAATTCAAAAAAAGTGAAAAATAGTAAACTGAAAATTTTTGTGTTTTGTTTATGTCTTCTGAGAGTCAGAGATTGTCAGTAACATAAATACATAAAGAAATACAAATGGTAAAAGAATGGTTGAAGTAGGAACCAGTGTCTATCATTGTAGCTTTTATATTCAACTTAACTATCAATGTTTCTGTAAAAGGTGTGACGTTTTCAAGTTAGTTCAAGCATGGAACATATTTTTAAGTTGTCTGTGCTCTAAAGCTTGTTGTAAACGAGCCACTTCTTTCATTGCCAAGTTTCATATTAAATAATATAAATTTTTTACTACTTTTTTACATTTTCAAAGATCGCTTTGTCTTTAGACTAATAGTGATTGCTGAAAAAAATGACGTTTACCAACGCTTTCCAATCCCCTTAATCAATCGTCTGGAAAAACATTTGCTAGTAATGTCAACTGGCTTGACTCAACATCAAAACTATTTAGTTAAAGAGCTTAAAAATTGGATCATACGTTTCTCCACACTGAAGACCGAAAATTCATCACAAGAAAGGTATGTTGCATGATATGAAAAGATATTCCTGTCAAATAAAGTACGTATGAGTACCTTCTTAGATGTCATTGAAATTCATTTTTTCGACATTAACTATCACTTCGTCTGAAATTTACGATTTCCATAAAATTATGTTACAGCTCATATTGATGCGTATTGAAAAAAAATTTCCACTTTCAATAAACGTAATCGTATACAGAAACGCAAAGATGTCGATAAATATTATTTACAACTTAAATGAAGAGTATTTTAGTTGCATGAGCGGTATCATTAATTGTTAAGACAAGTAAAAATTCACATCAACACTTTTATTATAATTTTTCATTCTTTAAGGTGGTCAACTTGAATTGAGCGTTTATCCCGAATGCTTCAGCGCTGTTTGTCTTTCTATGCTACAAATATTTAATTATATGAGCATTATTATATTAAAAACAAATAAGTTTTTGTATGAGAAATTTGGTATCTTGAGCGAAATACATCTTGTATTTGTCATTTAAAAAAAAACGACATTCCATGTCAGGAAATAGTTATTGTTAAGATCAAATTTCTAATGCTTACATGCATGAATTGATTTGCTAATAAATTATACAGATCGAAAATTGCCATGAAATGTTGACATAAATGTGCACAGTTAAATTTTGTTTTGTTTTACTTCCCATCTCGTTATGTAATTATATAACAAAGTTGCATTTTATTATGTAGTTTATTTCGACCAGGTGATTGTTTTGTTGGCTATCACAGCGATACAGCAGCAACTGTCGTACTTCAAAACTACATCAAGGATTACTCTGATTCTAAAGTAAGATTTAATATGAAGTCACTAATGAATCTAATTATATAAAATGCAGTAAAATAAAAATGATTTTCTTAAGAAAATTGATGAAATTAATGAACGAAACAAAAGTTCGAATTTGTCTCAACATTCACCAATCAAATAATCTTTTATGCCAAAAGCTTCTCAAGTATACACTTGCGACGATGCACTCTTTTGCTTTGTCTACGCATGCACGCCATAGAAACGTTCATGGGTATCAATGCTCTTCAAATTAAAATAACAGTGCTGTACTAACCAAATTGTCAGGGTCGAAATAACATTATGAAATTTGACCTAATTACTTTCATATTCTTCTCGATGCAAATGCACATCAAATGCACTCATAACATCAAAAGTGTCAGTTCAAAATATTTGGGTGCCCAGGATTCATTTTTGAAATACTTCACTTAGTCCTGATCAAGATATAACTGCTGTTCTTCCAAATGTTTTGAAGTAGCCGATTTTTGACAGCCCATAAGCTGTGTTTGTCTGAAACAAAACATTTTGTACTATTTATGGCGGTTGATTATGATTTGTATTCACTTCCCATTTATCCATCTGTAATTAATGATTGGTGAATATCACAGAAATTATGTTTAGGTACTTGAAGTTTCAAAGAAAACTCTTTTACAATGTGCATCTCCTGATGCAATTGCCAGACTCACAGTATCACAGTTGAAACACGATGCTTGTGAAATTCATGAAGAGTATTACAAAAACCAACAACATGGTACTTTAAAGAATTATTTGGTTGATTGTTTTCAAACAAAAGACAATACTACGGCCTGTGGTTATCTTGTTCAGGTTAGACGTTACTTTTCATTTTACAATTGAATTTTACATGTATTCTTTTGAGAAAAGTATGAATAAATATTTTTGTTGAAATATTTACAGGTAACAACATACTCACGACTCTTGTCGGAGAAAAATGCTTTGAGAATAGCAGATGAAGCTGGTTTCCCAGGCTGGAAATCTCGATGTATTCGACTCCAAGAATTTCAAACGGAGCAACAGTTTGTCAAAACTTTGGAGTAAGTTATAGTAATTTTTAAATACTTATTTTTAAAGATCTTCTACTTGGAGATAACTTAAAAATGTTTATGATTTCAAAATTTCTGCTGTATTTTCCATAAAGATATTGACGAAAAATATTAAAGTACGTATATAAAAAGTAAGAAGAAGCCATTCAAGTTATCGTTGTAATGATGAGTGGCTTTAAGTTATTGCAAACTTAGACATTCTACATTTGTTAGAAACTTTTTTGTCAAACTTGGAGGAGAGAAAGGACTTCTATTGGTTCAATGCGATGACAGAGAGAGAAACTTCAATCTTATTGCATGTAGTCGTTATCTCCTTGATCAAACTCGACGCAAGATTTTGGAAATGTTCAAAGAATACACAAATCCTATTCACATTATATTTATCATCCAGTTGCCAAAAATTTCTGGTGGCTGCCATCATTTTGTTGAGTTTCAAGGTGGAAAATGGCAATGTGTCCATATTGACGAGCTTCTTGAGACAAATGAACAATTGCCGCAACTTGAACAACTTGTTAATCATTCTGTTAGTGATCTTTTTAACTTAAATGAAAGCAATGCACAGGTAAGTCAATTATGGCAATATTTAATGAAAATGCTGTGTTTGATTTTAAAAATATTAACAAATGACATAAAACTTAAATGATTAAACATTTTAATATTTCATATTTGCTTGAATTGAGGTGATCATCTCTATATCTCGCTATAAAAACTAAACAGAGGTACGGCTTGTCAAATTTCCCTATAATGCTCTGTTGCAATGGTGTCATACATTTAGAGAGAAACGATAACATTTAAGCGAAATTATTTATGGCCTTTTTGAATGGACGATCATTTATTATGTTTTTATCTGATGTATTTCAACAACGCATCAATGCAATAAACAATTTTATTAAACTTATTTAGCATTATGACTTACAGGGTGTCCATTTAAGAATGGGCGCACACAAATTAAGTACGCATTCACTAAAATTATTGTGTGCAATAATGTAATTAGCATTCACAATAGTTACAAGAAATTTTCAGTTCTGCGCCACTTGGACTTTATATAGTGTGTATTATATTACTAAAAGCAAAACAAATTGAAAGTAGCTACTGTCATACACTGAACTTCATCATAAATTTATAAGGCAAAAGCTTTGTGTAATCAAAGCGATATTAAATGAGTTATCAGAGCTTTAATGAGTTGTTAAATTATGTTAATGAGTTATTGTTTCGCTAGGATAGGAATAAATTATTGATTATATAAACGTTGGCAAGTTGAGTGTGTCGTTACAACAACCAAAAAAACGTAATCATACTTTCCAAAAGTTGCAGAGAACAATGACAAAGCGTGTGATTAAATTAACAAGGCAGAACAAGTAGCTATTGCAGACTAAAATATTTTATGCATGCAGATTTCGTTTTCACACATTCATAATTATTTGTGTGTGATCTGTTTGTTTGGGACATCCTGTGGTAATTTTTAATGACTTCCATTCATTAACAAAATAGAAAATAGAGGAGAATTTGGGCGGAAAAAAAAGACGCCTGACACTCCTGTTGAAGAAATACTTGCAGTCTGCAGCTTCTAGAGTTTTTGACGAATCAATTGAAGATTTGAGAACCACAAAGCGAATTGAGATATTACAGAAATGCTTTGTTGAAACAGGTTTGAAAATTTTTAACTTTTTTTTTTGAGAAACTAAATTATACATCCAATAATAAAATGAAGATTCATCTCTTGTTCTAGACCTATCAACAATTCTTATTTTACGGATTCATCAATTGCTGCTTGAGCGTGATAAGGAATGTTCATCTGACCAAAAACTCTGGGTTCAAGAAGAAGCGTTGTCTCAAAGACATCTACAGGAGACTGGCACATTTAGAAAAGCTTTATGTAAAAAGATATCGTCAATTGTTTCTCCTATTTTGTCGGAAGTTATCGCTTACTGTGATCGCAATCACAACCTTAACTTGCTTCTCGAAGCAAATGTTTGGACTAGAAAGTTATGGCTTGAAATGTTAAAGGAGGATAGCATCACCACAATGACTTATGAATCATTTATTTCCCCTGTATCTGGTAGGATAAGAGAACGAGCAACTGTGTTGAGCATTGGAGTTGGACATCGTTTTGAAGGAAAGTTTCCATTCTCCTGGATAATTAAAGATATTGTTCAAGATCTATTGTTGAAAGTTGGCGGTATGTATTTATAAGTATACCTTATGTTTTACCAGCTATTTGATTGGTTACGAAAGGCAAACCGTTTTTTTACTATAGTGATGACAAAGATCACTATATCAATAGAGAAAAACATGGAGAAAATTTTTGATTGCCGCTAACATTTTTTCTGTTTTCAGCTTATAGTTTTTTTAAAATGGACAATTTTGGTTTTGAATATCAGGCAGATTTGATTTAGTGCAAAATATTTTTGCCGAAATGTTTTTTTGTAAATATTAGGTAGACGGTGGGAATACATTTATGTGACTGGTAAAAGAAGAATTATTAGCTTAAGCCGAACACTTAAACATTTTATTTAACCATTTTATTTTAAACTGGAAAAATATTTTCTTAAATCTGTTTTTAACTTTGCGTTCTTGAGATACAGTTTAATATTTGAATTGAAGCGTTTCAAAAGAAATTACTTTCTTAATATTCCATCTTTATCTAAAATGTAAATTTTATGTTGCTGAACAGAAAAACGCAACCAAGTATAACATAAATGATAATTACAAAATAGGTCCTCTTTCATATGGCTAGAATCACCGTTAAATATTTTTTGTATTATGTGTGATCATCCAGTTTGTGATATTTTCAGAAAATATCTTGTTGTAATTGTCTAGTTGTAATTGTTATTTTTTGTTAAATATTACAAACTGGAAGTCTAAAAATAAAACAAACAATTGTGGCTAAAACTAATTTTTCTTCACATCACACGTTAGTCTTTGCACTTTTTTTACATTTTAGGAGATATCACAAAGAGATTGGAGTCATTAAGAAGCATTTTTGATGCTTCTCCTTTGGGAATATTGATCAAATTGGCATTTGAAGAGCCAGATGTCAAGGAGGAGGCAGCGAAAAATTATTTGAATGACTTTTTACATATGATGTATAAACCAGTCGTGAAAAATGAACTGAAGGTTAGTTAACATAATATGGTTAGGCAATGCATTCAAAGCATGTTGAATGGGCAACGTACGTGTTAACTACTACTAGTTGTAAATCTACATTTATTGAGGTACACGTTTGAATAAATATTATATTTTTGTATTACTAGTTGATATACGACGCAGTACTTGCAACGTCTAGGCAAATACACAAAACTTTTCATGAAGACGATAAATTTCACCTGGACATTCCTCTCATTCATTTTGCCTATTCCATGATTCAAGAACGTTTGCTGAATTTCTCTGAAATTGTTCATGCATTTCCTCAACTGGTAGAAAAACTTATGGAGTCTCCATCACGTATTAATGAAACGGAAATGGTAAGTCACAACGTAAGTTACTTGTCAATATGTAGAAGATTGTTGCCATAGAAGCATAGACTTGATGTAATTTTATACTTCTTCCCAGAAATTTTTGTTTTATCAATGCACTGTTTTGCAAACTCAATACTTCATTTGTACTTTCTTATACAAGTATTCAGAAAGTAGCATTTCAAGAAAGAAATTCGTATAATTGTAAACTTTCTCCCACCATTTTAGTGCCTGGATGCTATAGCTCTTCATTGTTGTCTAGAAGAACTAGAACCAAATTTAAATGATTTAAAAAATCTTCATAAGCGCAAGATGTGGTGTAATCAAGTTCAATGTCTACATCCAATTATTCAGGATATGAAAACGTTACTTACAGAAAGTGGGAAGTCAAACAATGTTGCTGCTCGTTTGTCAAAAAAATCTTCCCAGATTTTGGAAGGTTGTTGGTAAGTGCCCAATTAACATTAATCAAATAAAATGTGTTTATTTGTAATAAGCAAAAAATTGTGTTTATAAATCATGCATGTGAGAAAATGAAAAGGAGTGGAAACATATAGTTCGTGATATCGTAACAATAATTGAGTAAACTGGCATAACATGTTTGATTTTGTAATTTTTGTTTACACAAAAATCTTTGATTGATGTGATTTTAATTTTTTCGGAAATGTTATCGACTGATTCCCACTATGAAAACTGTTCAAGATCATTAGCTCATTATGAACTCAATCTTTCAAACATTAATTGGCAATACTAATTTTTCATTAAAAGTTACATTCTTTTCTTACGTGTGTCATTTAAAGGAACATGTTTACACGTTTGGATGTTGTGCGTATGTTTATTGAACACACTTGTCCACCTGAGGAGTTAAATCATACTGATGATGGTTCCAATGCTTTAAAATTATGGAAGGTAAAGTTTTCATTAAAATAAACAAATACCATTTTGTTGATTGATTATTTCTGTGGAATAGAACGCTTTTCAAATGCAATTTTTGTAAATCTGTTACACCATCTTGTAAGGTTGTATTACATTTACAAAGATTATAAAAACAGTGTAACCCCAGCATCCAATACACACTTGAACCTTCCATGAACATTTAACAAACATATATATACAATGGTATTTTGTAAACGATTGATTTGCAAAGGCCCGTGTACTTGAAAAAGACGTGGATGTTTTTCAAATACAGACGTTGGCGAACTGCTCATTACCATCATAATTTTTTTCTGTTTATCTAGGAATTGGGTGAAAGTCCTGTCTTTACTTCACTTCATACCATAGATGTTATTGATGAATTTTTGAAAGAATGCAGTGAAGAATTACAAAAACGAGAAATAAAGTGAGTATATAGATGACAAAACACGATGTAAAATACTTTCACGTTTAGTGTATTGTGATTTTTCAATAAGAGCTTTTGATTTTATGAAAATTACAATCTACAAAAACGGCTAACATTGCGCTTACCTTTCCACGTAAAGTCAATATTTTATGAGACAATACAACTTTGAAATGTCAATCTGCATAGCTATACTAATGTTTTATTAATTTGAAAACTCTATTTCATCCTATCTAACACAGTGAACATTTTTTCCTTTTGCATACCGTCATGTGCGATCCGTATTACTTTAGAAATATGAAGCATTTTGCGAGTTTCTACAGAGTTATATAGAAAGTTTGAGAGAAACGAGAAATAGCGTGGCATGCATAAGCACGAGCATGAACTGCGAGTATTTCCAAGCAATTTCGAGTTTCCCCGAAACTTCCACAAATGTTTGTGTAACTCAACAGAAACAAATAAATGTTTTCAATTTCTTTGATAAAATAGCCTTTTGAAAAAATACTAAAAAGAACAATTTATTCACGCACATACAACCTACAAGACATATACGAGAGTGAAATTCCATATAGTGTTTCTATAGAGTTAGAGAAACACGGTTTTTTGAGCATTCAAAATAGTTGTTAGACTATTTCCTAACAAATTATATAGAGGCTAATATGCAACCTTAGTTATATGTTGATTTCTGTTGTACTTAAAAATAATAATGATCATCTTAGAATTCTCAAAATAAATATTAGAGCCCAACAAATAATTATGAACATAGTCGTAAACAATTCGGTTTTGCAAAATTTGTTAAAATAGTGACGTTTCGTCTTGACTCAAGACATCTTCAGACTAATAAGGAAGTTAACAAGAATTATAAATATATAGAGAGTTATTTACATAGTTTGAGGTATCAGACTACTGTGGCTGTGTAAGTGTGATATGATGTTATATTAGGGTGAGGTGTTGAGACTAGAAAAGCTTAAGAGGGATGGAACTGCCTTGGGTGTTAAGTTAAGGTTTTAGTTTGGAGATGGGGAGGCTTTCGTGGATCATGAGGTCAAATGTGTCGGAGCAGGATGAGATGATTTTAAAATCGTCTGGCGAGGCAAGGTGGTTGGAGGAGTTAGTATGAGAAAGAATACTTGACATTAATGGGTGTGGTTTGACCCACATACAACGCGGAAGAACATCGACACGTGTATAAATAAACAACACAAGATCTCAGAGACTTGGGAATTTTATCGTTAACGGAAAAAAATGAAGAGATTCGTGTGGGGGGGACGACATACGAATCTGACAATGGGATGAGGGAAAGCAGCGTTCTAGAGACGATTGATTTGTGTGCGGATTTGTAAGGAGTGGCAGACGGTGAATGGGAGACAGAAATACCCTATTTTCTTTTGGAAACTAAGAACAGGTAGTTTCTGTTTGAATTTTGTGTCAAGGAAACGATAGACAATGTGCTCAAACATATTAGTTGGATAGCAATTGAGTTTGAATAGTTTTCTGGTGGTTTCAATTTGAGCATGAAAAGTCTCATAGGGTGACCAAGATTCGTATGTAATTTCAATTATGGCTTCATTAAAATGCTCAATTAAACACATCATTCAGCTTATGGAAGACTATTCAGAGTTTCGGATTTCAACATTTGTCAATTTATGGCTTCCATAAGTGATTCGAAACTTTGCCAGGCGAGTACAGGTTTGCTTGCAACGAAATGGTGGACATTTGGAACACATCTTGGGAAAGCCATAAATTGACTAAAAATTGACAAAAATAGCCGAAACTCTTGTGAAGAGTCTTCCATAAACTGAATGATGTGTGGTTGTAATTTGAAATAAATAGTTTTTTAATTAAAGCCATAATTGAAATTTTCATGGGTACGAATCTTTTTGGGTCACCCTGTACTTAGAGCAGAGGTTGAAATAGTGGTGTAATAGGCCAGACGTTAAGTTGCGTTTGTAAGAAAGTGGGATAAAGCTGTGAAAGTTTGTGAAAAGACCGGTGAATGTTGGTTTACGATATACAGTGGTCGTGAATTTGTCGTTTGAGTGGTAAATGTCAATGTCTAAAAACGGTATTTGTCCATTATTTTCCGTCTCAGAGGTGAAAGTGATGTTGGGGTATTGATGGTTGATGTAGTCTAAAAAGAGAGGAGCGTGATCAAGTGATTTAAAAAGGAGGAAGCAGTCATCGACATATCGTCTGTAGAGAATAGGTTTGAATTTGTGGGGGCAGTTTTTCTGCCAGTTCATGAAAAGACATGAATATGTTGGCAAAAAGGAGGCCAGGGGGACTACCCATAGAAACACCAACAAATTGGTGGAATAAGCGGTCGTTAAACATACAGTGGCAATTTTTTACAGATAACGTCAGTAGATTACTAAATTCAGTGCGGGCGAGTCCATTAAATTGTTTATGGATAGTAAAAAGAAGATCACAGATGATATTGAGTGTTTCATGAAGGGGAATGTTGGAGAAAAGAGAAGTTACGTCAAAACTAGCCATAACAACTTTGTTAGAGTTGATGTTAGTGTTAAGTATTTCTTGTACGAAAGAGAATGCGTCCTTTATCATAAGAGAGTTTGTGGAGATGGGTGTAAGCAACGGAATGAAAAATTTAGCTAGTTTATATGAGTAGTGATTTATAGAAGATAGAATGGGTCGTAAGGGAATGGTTGGTTTGGGAATTTTTGGAAGTCCATATAGTATATCTATATGTGAGCCAGTCGGATAGAGTTTATTGTAAGATTGTTTATCAATTTATTTCGTTTTCTTGAGTTGTTTGAGTAATGATTTCACCTGGTGTTGTTTATTTATACACGTGTCGATGCTGTTCCGCGTCGTATGTGTGTCAAACCACACGCCTGTCGGAATCTCGGAACAATTGAGGATCTCTCCTTTGACTGGAAAACGCTATACTAACCCATTAATGTCAAGTATTCTTTCTCATACTAACTCCTCCAACCACCTTGCTTCGCTAGACAATTTTAAAATCATCTCATCCTGCTCCGACACATTTGACCTCATGATCCACAAAAGCTTCCTCATCTCCAAACTAAAACCTTTACTTAACACCCAAGGCAGCTTTATTCCTATTAAGCTTTTCTAGTCTCAACACCTCACCCTAACAATACATCACATCAAACTTACACAACCACAGTAATCTGATACCTCAAACTATGTAAATAACTCTATATATATCTATAATTCTTGTTAACTTTCATATTAGTCTGAAGATGTCTTGAGTCAAGACAAAACGTCACTATTTTGATAAATTTCATAAAAACAAATTGTTTATGACTATGTTCAAAATTATTTGTTGGGCTCTAATATTTATTTTGAGAATCCGTTTTCCGCCTGGCACTTCATTGGCAACAATATTGATTATCTTAGATTTGATGCTGTATGCGCCATTTGTATAACGTCACTCCATGATCCAGTTCAGCTACCATGTGGTCACGTGTATTGCAAACTTTGCATAACCAGGTGTCTTGACAATCATAAAGTCTGTCCTGTATGTAGATACGATGTTAGCTATGATTTTCAGGTGAAAATTGATCCAACGATTAGGTAATCATTGTGTTTTGAAACTGTTTCTATATTAGCAACTACTTTTAGACTTCCTTTTTAATCAAGCCAATTAGTTGAATTAATATGTGCATGCATTTCTACAGTTGTTAAATTCGATTTTATGCGGTGATTTTATAAAGATCAAAAGTTACGATTTTCACCAATTTTCCCATTTTTTCTACGAGCTATTTCACGACATATGTTAAGCACACACAAGTAAAACAGCGTGTTCTAGCAATATTTTTATGTAATAGAAAGGACATAAAAAGAGGAAAAGGCTGTGTTGCTGCAGCGGGCAAAATTAAGTTAATCACTCTAAGAACTGAAAAGTTAAAAAAATATCAATACAAGTCTGTCCTACTAAAGAAACAGACTAACAAAGAAAAATGTTGAGCAAACTTTTTGCGTTAAACTGGGCTTGAGACTTTCTCTAAATTGTTTCTTTGTTGATCTTATTTTGATGGTTCCTGATGTTTTGACAATATTTTGATTCTGTATGCAAAACGGAGAAGTATGTAAAATAAGATATCATTCCTACCACTTATGTGGCTATGCTTAGTAAACCGTTATAGCAGGTAAATGGTCATAAGTGAAGACAAGCGATTCATCGTGGTGAGCAAAAGGATTTAGAGCTCGATTCAGAAATTTCAAATAAATGCAGCTTGTAATATATATACCCTTTATAATCGCGCAATTCAATGTATATATTAGGTGTAAGCCATACACATTTAAAAAACGAGTTTTGCGCTTATAGTCCCACCGTCGCAGTCTTTAAATAACCATCCAGATTTAACCGTCAATCTGACAAAATAGAAAATATTGCTGAATAGTAGAATTAAACTTTTGACTTGTTGTTGTGCAGAAAGGGAAAGTACTCACACGAGTATATTGAAAAATACTTAATCAACATGCCCTTAAGATATGTAGTGCTAGTTTTTCGCTACTTGTAAAAAAGCAAACTAACTTGTACCTATATTTTGCTCATTTATTTTTATCCGTCAATCGTTAGTTATAACTTGCCATGCTTCGTCAATTTCAACATTTTGCTAACACCATCATTATAAAAATTTTACCTTAACCAATAATAACTATGAACGGTAAAATGCACTGGAACTGGTCATTATTAACTACTTGTTTACTTTGCTGTGGCCAAAATATGTCTATCTTGTTATTTACCTTCCATATTTATATGGCAAACGTCACTTTTGATAAAAGCGCCGTAAGACACGAAACAAAAAAGTTTTTCGAGTAAAACCAAAGAAGTGACAGCTAACTCTTAGCTAAACAAAAAAAAACAGCCAGCAAGAGAAAGACAAAAAATTTTCTTTATAAATCAAATATTGTGATACAGTGTAAAGTTTTAATTTACTTCTCTTTTTTGTCTTTATCGAGAAATATGGTAGCTTTGCTTTATTTCAAAGTACAAACCCTGTACATGCGTATGCTTCATCTGACCAATATTTCTCATTAAATAATTTACAGTTGTGTACATATCACATAGATGTATAAAATAGCATGCCATTATATAGGAGTGCACTTTCCTAATTGAAATTCTGAAAGAAATTGTGTACATTCAACCAAAAGAGCTCTACATCAGAAATTATGACATCTTCCCTCTATAATTAAAAGCTTTTTTATGTGTTATTTAGGCTTTCTTTGGAAGAATGGAAAAGCTTTCGTAATCGCTTCAAATCCTTTTTCATGAATGTTGTCTCTGTCTATTGCTTTGGTGATGATTTACCACAAAAAGAACTTTTGCGAAAGTTCATGTATTATGTGATTAAAGATGGAAACGTAACTGAAGATTTCACTCATTTTGATGGTCACGGCATTGATGTTACTCCAGTTATAAGATCATACATTTTACAGCAACTTCTTTCAATCAAAAAGAGGTATGTATACATGCTACTGAATTAAATAAAAAGAGGACCGTTGAAAGGACAACAAAAGTAGACAGTACAATTACGAGTACCGAAATGAAATATTTTAAATTTGGTTATTAGAATTGCTATCAAGAATAGTGTTAAGTTGTCATTGAAAAATGCAATGTGTTCATTTTATAGAGAAAGTGAAGCTGATGAGTGTTTAGAAGAGTATCTCAGTGATGCTAAAGGCTTGTCAACCAGCAAGGAACATTTGATGAACGTTTGCATGTTGTTTGTTCATTGTATCGAGGTAAATAACGCCTTTATAAAATTCCTGAAAAATTTATGAAATGAAGCTTTTTCCTTTTTGTCGTGCAATGATACTTCAAATATCTACATAGCTTAATTCGAAAATTGTTTGGTTGTCAGAAGATTGTGTTACTGAAAGATGATTTCATTCTATAAATTGGTCGTATGGTTTTCCTTTAGGATTCTATAATTGGTGAATTATTACGAAAAAAACAAACAAAAGAAAAAGGAAAAATTCTTGAAATTAAAAAGCTGCACGAAATCCTTGATCGAACTCTGAAGAATTTTCAAAAATGGGAAACCCTGGACATTGACAGTCTTAAAGATATTGCTGCAATACGGGCTGCATTAACTGAACTTTCTACATTTATTAATGACGATCTTTCCGACAACTTAAACAGCAATTCTCAACTTAGGAATTGCTTTGAAGCTGCTAAACATTTGTCTCGCGAAGAAAAGCTATCTGCTTTACACTTATTCCTACTAAAACAGTTAATCCATAATGATCCAAACGGTTTTGATGGAGTGAAAGAAAGGTGTAAAAACACAGAATTGAAATGGATTTTGCCTCCACAAATTGAGGTGACGATTTGTTAACTTTTTTGTACTTATTTGATTTCTTAAATTCTTAAAACTAAATTCTGTCCTTGACGAGTCAAATACTTGTTTCATAAACATTTAATTGTCATTCATGGTTTGCTGAGATTAAAATTGACTTTTTCTGTCTTGTGGTTTCATATAGAAGCATGAAAAAACACTGGACAGTTTTATAGTTCATGACGATGATTATTATACTGTGCGAAAAGCTATTGGCAAAGGAATAATGACATCAAACTATGAAGAAATGCAGTTGACCTTAAAGGTTAGATAATTTTTCTCATTACACTGCAAACGCCCTCTTCAAACGTCGCATTTTCAGCTCTGAATGCACTAAAAACAAAGAAAATGCGATAAATTCCTAATTTGCTTTTGTTATAAATACATTCGGCTTATGTAAGTAGTCTTTTAAAGCCGATTTTAAGAGTGAGGGAGCCATACGTCTTACCAAAAAAATTATGTGCATTTTCCTTTAGAACATTAGTTGCGAATATAAAATTGAGAACTTGCAGTTGTATGTGTTATAAAATAAATGCTAATTAAGTGTACATGTTTCTGGATGTAGATCCTTCATGTTTTTAGAGTACCGAGAAGGACTGTTGATGTTGATTAACATTTCGACAAACTTCGCGGTAGTCATCTTTACAGTCAAGTTTAGAAGAGGACCACCGCTAAGGTTGTTGAAACGTCAGTCAGCATTAATACCCACTGATCTTCTCAGAACAATCCTAACCTAGACGATATACATCTAGAAACATGTAACGACACTTCTAGTCTTAGTCCATAAACTTTATATGCTATATGTTTTAATTAAGCATGCAGACCCTTTACTTTAAGTCAAGCTAGTCACTTACTTGTTGTGGTTAGCATTTCATTTAGGTTGCCTAACCTTACAGAAAAATATGCATTTGATTTTCCTAGTTTGCAACTGTTTTCTTTAAATTTAGAACATGAAGTCACAAATCCTCAAATTTCTAATAATATAAAGTATGCTGGGTGAAAAAAGTTTTTAAACATATTTTAATATATCTCTTTCACGAATGGTGCTGGAATCTCTACTGAAGTAAAAACGTTTTAGTTTTCTTCCCTTACTAAATTCTTCACCTTTTCGTATCATGCTTATAGTAATATGGAAATCTTTATGGAAACTCTGTTGTGGCAAAATGCAGTTTTAAATCAAATTAGAAAAAAGACATTATAAGTTAAAGTTCTCGATTTAAATTTTTCAGAAAATGACCTGTGATGCTCCAAATCAGTTTTTTTATATTTTACTCGCATTTTATGGCGAAGTTAAAATGAAATTTTCTTCTGGAAGCAAAACAGATCGCATCTCCTTAGAGGTAAATTTGTTTTTAGTTTCTGATGGATGGTGTTTTCAAACAGAATCTTAGTTGTATTTTTTTCCTTTGACTTACAATTTAAATATGTGCGTGTTAAAATTTCTTGTTACAGAGAACCAGAGATTGTTCACGAAGCATTTTTTACGTTAAATATTATAGAGATTGTGTCATGTTCATGTCAATGATGCATTTAACTTTGATTTTAGATGGTGAATAAGAAACTTGGAGAATGTGTAACTGAACATAAGGTTGTAGCAACTTTTCCTGCAGAAAAAATATTTATATGATTTTACAATTTCCCATGAATGTAATGCACACACAACATTAGAAAGCTCTAAAGTTTGAATTGATTTGAATTTTTTTAAGCACACTCCTTTTTAAACGCAGTCCAAAAATGTTAAAAATTCATCTTAAATAAATCTAGATGTAATTTTTACAAAGTTTTCAATAAGTTGCTTAAAGATGAGCTCATTTCGAACAAAATTTTTGCTTGACAACCAAGCAGTATATTTTTATCTGTTGCAGCTACCTCTTGCAAAGAATCTCTTAGAAAATTTCAACAAAAGTCCTTATGAGCAACTACTTCAGCTACACAGTGGACAAACTTTAAATGATAGACATTTAAATGAAATCTTGATTCATTTCCTTGTTGTTTTGAGTTGTTTTCCAAATAACCAACTTTTGGCTCCATTGTCAAACCTTGCTTTCAATCCAGGATCAATGAGGGTATGTGTTTGCAATTATTGATCTTTATATTCTACCGTTATAGTTGCTTATTAGCTAACAAAATAAACGTATTTTGTATTACCATTTATATATTACAGAAAGCTGCTTGCATGAGCAGCAAATAAAACAGTTTTAGAAACAAACGATTGAGTGTGCATTTGTCGATCGTCTTTAATAAAAAATGAGAAATCTACAAGTACTTTTTTAAACGTTAAACTCTTCTACTTGACTTGGGATAAAATTCATTGTGCATTTGGTATTTTACATCGTGTCGTCTTAAAAATCCATTTGTAATTCTTACTACATCAGACTGCATTTATTTATTTGTTGACTTTTTCTTTCTAAGAATGCGTATATTCCCACTATGCCTCACGATGATGGTCCCAAGGTCATGGATGTTAGCTATGGTACGTCGTATAGTAAGTAATAGACATTTTGCATAAAATTCTTGAATAATTAACCTTTTGTGTTGGTTTGCACTGCATTTTCCAGAGAGCAATAACGCACATCATCACGTCATAACAGTGGTAAGTCAATTTTAATAACCATTCGTATAATTTGTCTTTAATGTTTTTCTAAAGCATTTTAAATGCTGCAATGTTTTTTTTGAATTGATATAGTGTGGAGAGTACGAAGAAACGTATAATTCCCTAAATTCGGGTGCTGCAATCGAAGAGGAAAATTCTCAGTTAGTAGTCAAAAATGGAGAGGCATCATTATGCCAACGCCAAACCAACCCTATACGTTTTCTATTTATACCATTCTTTATTAAATTGACAAATATGAAAACTTAGTTTTTCAATATATTAAGATAATACAATAATTTACAGTTCAAATATCTCCTTTAGTGCGCATCGAAGTAGTACTGGGCACATTTTAGGACGTGTTCAAAACCAACCAACAAGTGCAGAAAGAAATTTGAACTCTTTATCATGTTCTGTTTTACGTTGTTTGACACATGTGGCTATGTTGTTGGGAACAACTCCAGACCAAATTCAGGTAGTTACAAGTGTATGAAAATGAATTAAATAGTTATTAGGTAAAAGTTATCCACTTTTATTTTAATTAAAGTTTTTTAGAAGTCTGGTTTTAACTTTCTCAAAATACACCAAAAAAAACACTTTGCTGCATACATCCTTTTTTATACTTTATCGTCTGCTAACAACACTAGGATAAGTCACTTAGTAAAATGAAAAATATAGCTTTGAGTGCAATTACAGATAAACAAGCACAAGTGAGTTTTTCAAAGAATGCAACGAAATAATGTGAGTCCATGGACGAGCATTATTTGAAGTGTTAAAAACTAAAATTACTTAATAATAAAATACTTCGTGATATTTCTCCACTATACTGTCTGACTCTTTCTCGCTTTATTACTTTCTGTCGTTCCAGAATATCCTCGTTACACCGCTCATATGTTAAAAAGCATTCACCTTAAAAACAGTACTTTGTTTCTATTCTTTGCATTCTTTTGTAACTCTTTAGTTTCAAACTATTGCTCAGCAACTTTACATTTCTATAGTGCATTTACAAAACATAACGCTTAAAATGTTAAAACTTTTTTCTCAGATTAAATAAGGAAAAATTTGTAAGTTTGTAGCTTCTGATAAATTTCTGAATGATAATTGGGGGGGGGGAATTACATATGCATGTTAAATTCAGCATAAAAATTGATTTCAAAGAAAACTAACACGGCAGAACATTATAGTATTAGTATTGCCCAATCATCAACCTAACTAAGTCATTGAGTTTTTTTATTTACACATAAAAGTTCTGTTGATCGAAAACAATGTTATAACATTGCTACTATAAATAATTTTTCTGTAATTTTAAGAATATTTCAGCTATTGTCATACCACCTGTTGATGATATCATTCAATTCATAAAAGACCATATAAAAAATGATCTACGTTGTATTGCAAGATTTGTTGGTACAAATGTCGATGAAGCTGCTGTGATCATTCATCTGATTTTTGTAGAAATTGTAAAAAATAATCATGGTTTGTACCTTTTTCATATCAATTCATATATAACCAGTTTAAATTTCGATAAAAGCATGAAAAGCTGATTCACTATACAAAACAATTTGTAGTGGTGTTAAAACAAACAGCTATGTAAAACAAAAAATATTCCTTCACAGAATATTTTCATGTTTTACATGAAACAAAAATAAAAATATTACATCACGACAACAACCAAAGCATAATTTTAAAAGATGTAATATCCGATAAAGTAAAATTCAACAAGCAACAAAGTCAACAACAAAAACAGTCCTTCTCAGGACTATACCAACCTGGATGATCTACATTTACAAACATGTAAAGACTCTCCCCGGTTCAAACCATTTACTTTAAAGTAACATTATAAATAACTTTTGATCAAAATTGCAATATCTACAATCAAAATATTCTAAATTGAAGTATGTCAAAGTAACCATGGCAAACCTTTATAAACAAACTGAAAGAAAATCATTTTGTAATTGTGTCACTGTTTGAAAATTTGTTTTTAATTACTTATTCTTTTGGGGTATTCGTGTTTTAGAAAGTTATTCTCAACTACTAAAGAAATATCAACCAATAATCACCAGCTAAAATATTTTTCAAATAAGATCATTTTTATACTTGTTTGTACGTTTCATTTGAAGTAAAATACAGCTATAACTCTACTCAATATATTTTTTCGCTACATTTGTTGTCATTAGGAAACATCTATTTCTCTCAAACTGATTGGTCAAGTAAAGAAACAAGACAAACGTGGGAAAATGCGTTTATGAAAACTTATTTGAACCCTGTTCTATCAGTAAGTTCATGTGGTTTTTATTTTTTCTCAAATACCTAATATGATACGAAAATTTTAAAAATACCTACTTTATACATAATTTTATAAAGTCTGGTACTGTCATTTCTTGTTTGTGCAGTTGTTGCTGTTTTTATTTTACCATCACATTTTGGGATAGTTCTTTCGATGAAAACTTTTGGATGATTATAAGGAGAGAGAAAAATTTATGGACTTGCTCTTACTTTTACGTAGCTACTTAGGATGAAAGTTTTTCTTCTACAAAAACACGTAAATTTAACATATACCAATATGCAACGTACAGGCAATTTAAGTCATTGCCTATGCATTGGATAAGCAATGTAATTTAGCACGCCAGTTTTTAAAGAATGCAAACTCATTGAATACGTTTTGTCGTGCACACAATCAAATGACGATCATCTAAAGCTTATTTTTGCTGGGTTTTTTTATCATAGTTTTTACAAGTGTACAAAGCTTTCTCTTTTGAAATTTTGTAGTGTTATTTCTAAGCATTTTTGTTTTTCAATTGGAATTTTTTTATTTTCGTCTTCCTTTTTAAATTTTATCAAACTGTTTCTCGGTGTACTGTAAAATGACTTTGTGATTATCATTCCCTGAATGCATATTTATGCAATATTCATTATTTGTGATGTAAAATATATTTTCTTTTTAAGGTTGTTTCTGAGTTGTTAAGAGATGGCTTAAGCAAAATGATCAGTGATGAAAGACTGGGTAAAAAGAATCTAGTGGTTTTGAATTGTTTTTATGATTTTAATCTCGCAAATAATCTTCTATATACACAGATACACACGGATATTATAGTAACTATTTAGAAAACAAAAATCCCATTGAAAAAGCAATACATTTTTTAATAATTTCATGGCGAATTAATATAAACATAACTTTGAAGTAGCTTATCCATCCATGATGGTGGTTAGATGCATTTTTGTTTCGCGAACATACCTAATATACATACCTTATTATTCAAAACATCTTTCTTCCTTTTTTCCAGGAAATAACGAGCTCTTGAAATTAATCTATGAATTAGATGAACCAAACTCTATTGTTGTTAAGACATTCGATCCTTCATGTCCTGCATTGTGGAGAAATCGCAAGAAAATCACCATTGAACATTTGTTCTTCAAATACCAAGAATATTCTCATGGTGTCAAAGTGCCAACAGACAAGTGTGAAGTACTTGATGAATTTCTCAAAAAGGTCTCTTTCAGTTTTCTGTAATTACTACAAAAAATGTCAGATATAAAATTTGCAAAATCTGCTAATCTTTAACACAATTTTTTGTTAATTTGTTTAGCTATATTGAATATTTTAACTTCGAAACAGTTTTGAAACAGAATTATTCGTAATGGTGCTCGAATTACTAGATTATCAAAAAGTTGTTTATGTTGCTGGACTGCAAAAATTATGAAACACATGACAAAAAAATTTCGTTTATAAAAAGGGTTTTTATACAAGAGAGAACAAATGAAGTAATTTATAAAAAGGCTAGAGAATTTTTCTTTCGCTAAAAATACTGATTTTTTCAAAGTTATTTCTTTAAATACGTTGTTATGCATTGCACATCAGTTTTAAATTTTTTTTTCCTAATTTCAGGAATGTCATCTTCGTGCATTGCAATATCTTCCCAAAATTATAAAGCTGCAACGATTTCTTTTTGAAAAGTTTCATCGTCGCTTAGATCGAAACGATGCTGAAAAATACACCATTGGAGACTTATATAAAAAAGGTAACGCTACAAAATTTTTTTGCCTAAAAAATGGTTGAACTTATTCTGTCATAGCCATTACTTGTTAACTTGTTTGTGTTGCTGGTAAACGTTTCAGCAATTAAAAAGTAGTCAACTTTCCCTAAAAATCACTTAAATTTCTGGATATCAGTTGTTCATGTACAGGACTTCATATAATTAAAAGTGTTAATGATCAACTAGTATAGACAGTACATTTTGGATAAGTCGGGAACAGTAAACACAATGGAAAGTCGTAGAAACGTAAAATTTTCTTATAGTGAAGATTGCCTCACATCTCAATAAACTTATTAACCACCTAAAATCTTGTCGAAAAGTAAAAAATTCTTTACATAAAATGATTTTGTATGACTTTTAGTGTTTTTTTCAAGAAAGGTTTTATTCTTATTTTGTTTTTGTTTTTCTTTATAGAGCCTGATTTAAAGAAGCATCTCTCTTCCTTAATTGATGATTTCAGAAAGGCTTGGAAAATCATCAGAATATCACTTGTACAAAACAGTGAGTCCATATCGTCCAAAGCAAACTATTTAATATACTTAATGAAAAATTTGTTGTCTTTCGTGTCATGCATGAGCAATTGAGTAATATTGATTAAAAAATCTTTTTTATCCAATTGCATGTATTAAAACCACATTCATTAACTTAAGTTAAACATGCCTGACTGTTGGTGATAGGTCGTTACGGAATTTCGAAAGAGCTAAGCGAGAAAGAAGTTACTAGTGCCACACCAATTTCTATGTTGTTGCCTTCGTGGAAAGGATTTGGAAAGTGTTCTTTAGCACTGACAAATTACCTGGTGTCTTTACATAACGATTTTATTGGTCGATGTAAGAGTTTGTTGAATGACGACGAGAAAAAGTAAGACGAACTTACTAAGATTTTTTTTACTGTTTTTGACCGTGAAGAACTTCATTCAGTTGAACGTCGTGAAACAGGTCATTTTTACTTGTAAGAGCTGATTATATAAGTTATTTCAAGACACGTTTTTAAAAAAATGACGACTGACATCGAGTATTTTAGCAAAACACAAGACAATAGACACTCCTGATGATGACGTGTAGCACTTGTCGAAATGTTTATATTAAATAATGTTTACTTTATACGGAGTGTGTAGTGTCTTGTGTTATACTAAAACACATTTTCATTTCCTAATGCTTGATAGACATTTTTTTACTCATACTTTACTCTTTTCTCTTCAATGACTTCATCTTTACGTATTTAAAGTTCAGAGGAGTTGTCACTTTCAAATGTTACTAAAGGGCATTTGGTTGCCTATGATACAGAGAGAGATTTTCTACCGATGGTCCTGGCTCACTGTGATTATTCAGTTAAAGTTGCTGAAGAAACTGAGGAAACTGCTGTAAAATTTAACTGGAAATCTTTAGAAAGGCAACTTGTAGACAGATTTATTCGGCGAAAACCTAGGATTGCATGTTCGGTCAGTTGCCTTAATTTTATCTTATTTTTTATCATGTATAAAACAGATATGAATGAATTGGATTGAAAATATTTTATTTTCTTTAAATAACTAATTGAAACGTTTCTGTAAACAGTGTCGGTGTTAAATCTTAAACGCCATGTCTTTTTTAGTTTGATTTATTTGTCTTCAGTAAAGATATTTGTGATGGAGCTGTTTTTAAAGCTTTAAGTAGAAAAATACCTCAGGTAAAATAATAGAACTAATTAAAATATGTTATGGAAAACAATCAAATTTGACAGCTCTTTTTATAAATTGCTATATTAACGTAGGCCTTAAATAAACTTTTTTATTTCCATCGATAATACAGTAATTATTTTTGTAGCTAAATAATGCTTGTTTATTTTAATGAATAGATCAAGCAAAATCAATTGCTCAAATATCCATATGATTGTTTATTCTATGTGATGTATCATAACACATAAAATATGAAACATTTTAGTTTGAAAACACGCAAATCGCATCGGGTGTTTTGTCTCTTTTTGCTCTACATGCTTTTTTCAAGGTTAAAAAAATTTTTTTCTGTATAGGTTACGCTAACTCAATCAACAAAAGATCACATCTTAAGTGAACTAAATCGACTGACTGATGTTTGTGATGTTCTTAAATCTCTCCACGATGTCATTGGTTTTTTATCGTCTGCTGGAGGAGATCCCGTAATGTTTATTAGTGAATATATGCAATCAGCATTAAAACTTGATCCTAAGAAGATTTTAAAGAGTGGAAAGGTATACCGCTGTACCATAAAAAAGCACTAAACGTCATTTGCTAGTTTGTTTTCTCCTTTTCCTTATGCCCAAAGATATATATGTTATTTATTTACCGGCTGGGAGATCCGTACGGACCGACCTAAACGGTAAATAACATATTTATTTTTTGATTTTCATTATGAAGAAACTCGCGCTATAAAATGGCAGATGACCCGATGCACTTGATGTTGCGACTAAAATTGGATTGTTTTCTACAAACTTCCCTTCGTGTGGATAGTAAAATGCACTCTTTCATCGCTTTCAATTCATTTTTAAAAATTTACATTTCACTTTGCAAACAAAAACACTACGAAACAAAATGTTTTTTGCCCTATAGGCAAAAATCGTAAAAATCCGCCCCTCAGACAGCTAATCAAATTATTGGAAGTGAAAAAATGTTGCTTTGAAACGATAAATAAAGAAAATAAACTTTTTGTTTTGTGTTTGACTTGTGATTATAACAAACAAAACTTTGTAATGTTGCACCATGTGCTACAAGTGTTTCAATAAGTTTATTTTAGGCAGAACAGTTTTGTCAGCTTCAACATGTTGTTGCGCTTTGGAAATTGTTATCATTAGAAAGAGCAAGAATCTTAACTGAAAATAATCAGGTCAGTTCTACTTTGATTAAAAATTAGCGATAAATTATATATAATTTATAATATGTCAAGGTCACAGTGACAAATTGTATCTGTTTAAATTCAATATTACCTGTATCAGTACAAATGTAAATTAAGAACATTTTATTTTGCTGAAAATTACTGATTTCGCCGTATACAAGAGTCCTTTTTATCAAGACTTACTTCAAATAAATATGTGATAATTTATTAAGCTGACATTGTTAATTTTTACCATACATAAAGGAAAAAAGACTGAAGTTAATGACATTATTTTAACTTTATCTCTATTTTTAATGTCCAACATGTATTTGCAAATAATTGATGTTGATGAGGAGGTAATGGCTATGTGGACTATATATGGTGCTTGATAGTGCTGAAGAACTGAAAAACTGACACGGACTTATTTATATTTATCTTACATCTCATTCATAGGATCCATTTGATGATGTAACAGATAATATAAAGACGGCTTTGGGCAAACAGACAATGGGCGACTTCTGTCGTGGTTTACACAAAATCAAAATTGATCGTTTTGTTGATGAGTTGTTGCATCTTATTTTACTCTTTTTGAAAAATGCACAAGGAAAACAGTTACACCATCCGTAAGTATTCTGGTTGTTCAAGTTGTGTGTTCTCTTAACTTGTTAACAAAATGTCTTTCATATCCAAACATTTTACATCGCACTGTTGGTTGATAATTTTCATTCCTAATTGAGCCAGTATTTTATCTCAAAGAAAAGGCTATCATTGTTTGAATTTTTGTTCTTAAAATCTATTTCAAACTTATTGCAAAAGTTTTATACCAGATAAAAACTTCTGTTATTTGTACGCTGTTGTCAAAACCTTGCAACTTGTCTCAAATGTGTTATAGTTCAAGTGAAAGAAATTAAATTAAAAGTGCGAAAAACATAATGTCGGGAAATTTTTGATAAATTTCTATTCTTCTGTTAAAAAGTGAAAAGATATATAGTACGTCATAAAGAAAAGAAGTAACTCAAAATAGTGAAATTTTTCAATGTTTATATTGATCTTTTTTTTTCCAATGTTTTTTGGCATACTTTTTGCAATTGAACAAAATATAAATTGAATTTTTTTAAATTTAAGAAGCATAATTGTTATGCTACTTAAAGTTTTAAAAATGATAGAATAAAGGAACTTTTTTGATATTTAGCGTGAAACATTATCACTTATGAAATTTTCGAAATTTCGCAAAACTGATTTTTGTTTGAAGTTATTTACAGAATCGTGCCACGTTCTTTTTTGACCAAGTTAGCAGCGGTGAAACTAGAACTTTTAATGGAGGGGGGTTATGTATTCATGTATATTCAGCTCCGCCCAGCTGATTTCTTTTCAAATTTTATTTGTTAACAGACCGAATCAATAAAGCAGAGCTGGATATATGAATATTTACCGCCTTATTTAACATTCTCATTTCGTCTCTGTAAGTTAGCTTTACACTACCCAGTTTTCTTCTGGCCCAATTCATTCCTTCCCTTAATCTTGAAACTCAAGTTTCCCCCCTGAAAATTCGTGTCGTTAAGATTTGCAATTATTATTTTCGATAAAGCTTAGCTGAGTACATCAACAGGAAGCTTGAACAAGATGGTTGTACTCTTATTGAAGATCTTAGAGAGAACTTACCAGATGAAGTTACTGTGGCACATGCTGTTGATGCTTGGAGGCTTGCATATGAGAAAAGTGACTACCACTCAAACTATTCTTGATTATGTCCCCAATGGAAGATGGATTCTTTATATTAAGCTAATAAATTGCACTTAAAATCTCATTCACATTCATATTAAACTAGGGTGCATCATTGAACAATAGTTAATACAATAGAAAGAAGCACAAGCAAATGTAATACGCATGTGTAGTTTATCTCCTAAAATGAAAATGTTTAATTCATTACTACTTGACGACCAATTCTGTAACAATCAATCTTTTTGCACTAATACATATTTCAAACTGTAAAAACTTTTTGATCTTTTTCTGTTTTTTTCGTATGAAAAACCTTACTGTTGACAAAAGTGTTTTTAAAATCTCTATCTTTTAAGGATAAATGGCTTAAACTTAGATTGCATAAGTTTGTTCTTCATTTTTTGTAAACATTAAAGTAGCATTAACGTCGACACAATGAAAATAAAAAATATGTAACTAAATAATTCAAGTAGTCAAAGTTAATTCATTGACGAAGGAATTAAATATTTTTTAATTCACTGAAGCATTTATACATTAGTGCGTAACAAATACTATCAAATTTAAAGGATTTTTATCTCTTTTGCTCATGCTGCTGTAGAACAATAACGTAAAGCAATAAAGCTCAATTGTTGAAAAAATTCATAATGTAAGGAATGGATGTAAAAAAGATAGGAATAAAGAAATTATGTGTAATTTTTTTCATGCTAAAAAATATTTAATGAATTTTCTCAAAACATTTTATTGGCCAGTTTTTCTATATTTTTGTAAAATTTTGTTATGCATCGTATACCAGTCCTTTGTTTCATTTTTGTATTTGCAGGAAAGTCATCTTCGTGCAATGCAATATCTTCCGAATATCATAGAACTTAAACGTTTTCTTTTTGAAAAGTTTCATCGTTGCTTAGATCGAAGCGAAGCTGAAAAGTTCACCGTTGACCACCTATATAAAAGAGGTACAGCTACACACTGCGTTAGTTTATAAAAACGGTTGAAAAGGCGTCAACTTTGGCTCAAAAATATGCGTAGTTTGTAATTTGTAACGCAAATGAATGCTATAGTCAGTAGGGACGCCAGCCGCCTTTTGCTCCTAAAATGTACTTTTTTGTGTTCACTCACTGGTACAAAAATAAATCGGTTCAATTTTCTAATGAATGAATAATAACTTTGCTAAAAAATTTGCAATAAAACAGTGAAAGACCGGGTGATTTTGCCATTGGCTATATGTGTATATATCAAGTATGCAAAACAAGTGCTCACGTGTCTCCAAAATCGAGGTCATCGCCATTTCACAATCGATACAAGTCAATATACTAAAAAAACTCCAAAAATAATAACTACGTTCGTCACAGTATGTAACAATAGACTCTGCCTCGGTCACATACGTCTCACAGCTGACTCTCTCAACTATAACTGCCTTTTTCTTGACGTCATTTACAAATGTTCAGAGCATGCTAGATAGTAACTAACAATGAGTGATGTCTATCTGTTTCCGACACTTATGTTATCAATATTAAGAAGAAGAAACAGATCTTCGATGTTGCAAGGGACAGACGACTATAGTGTCGATGCTTGAATACTATTTCAAATTGCATGTTGCAGTACAGACACTAAATATTAGATACGTCAAGAATATAAAGTGGGATGAAATTTAAATCTTAGGAACTTAAAGATGTCGTTGTGCATGCGCATTGTCTCGTATGCTGACTAATCAATTTATCAACCAAAATCGTCGAAAAATGAAAGTTGCTTCATCCAATGTGATTTTATGATTGTTTTAGTAAACTTTGATTAGCAAATAAAATCGTTGTTCATAATTTATTTATCATCTTTCATCCTTTTTAGCCCGGAAGAAAAACATCATGTCAAGGCTTTAATAAATAGCTTCATTCTGGCTTAGAAAATCATGAGAATATCACTTGTGAAAGAAGGTGAGTCCTAAAATAAAAGTTAAGGTCGCTATACAGTGCATGTGCAATTTAAAAGCTTAATTTACTTTATCGACTGATGAGTTGTCTTCAGTCGTTTCAAGGGATGAGCAATATTGGTTTACAATTCATTTTTTTATTCAATGTTGACAATTGTCTGCTGTAAAAAACTAAAATGACACTTTTTGCTAATAAGCTTGATCTTACTTGTCATAACTAAACTTTCATGTGTCCTACTTATTAGGTTGTTAAGTTGTATCAAAAGAGCTGAGCGACTTGCGCACTTGAAGGCCTATGACCCAGAGAGTGATTTTTTACCAATGGTCTTGGCTCGCTGTGACTATTCACTAAAATTTGGTGAAGGAACTGAAGAAACTGTTGTAAAGTTCAACTGGAAATCTTTAGAAAGACAACTTGTAGACAGACTTATTCGGGGAAAACCTAGAATTACATCTTTGGTTAGTTCCCTGAATTTTTTCTTGTTATCCATGTTGTACAGAAAGGGATATAAATGAATAGGATTGAGAATTTATGGTCCTGTCAGCTATTTCTGCGTTTAATTACATAAATTAATTTTCTGCTTTTCTAGGTTAAATTATTTGTGTTCAGCAAAGATATTTGTGATGGAGCTGTTTTCAAAGCTTTGAATCAAAAGATCCCTCAGGTACAGTTGATAAGAAAAGTAGCTAATTTAGCTGCTTTACTTATGATAAGGAAAAACAAAACGAAATATATTTTCGGTGATGTATTCAGAATTACCTAGGAATTCTTACTTGAAGGTATTAATTGCGCTGACAGATATAATGCTATACGTATGTTTTGCTTTTAGACGAATAAAATAAATGTCAATTAAGAGCATTTCAGTCTGATTATTTTGCACATGAGTCCTGCTTTTTACTTGTTTCTGTTAAACAGGCGATACTTTATCGTTATCTAGATAAAGCAAATATAGCTAATTTTGACTACCATTATTACATCAATAAAAAACATGTCTACTGATATGCAGCCCTTTAAATTAGTTTATGTTGATATGGACTGTATAAGAACTGTATAGACTATATGGTGCGTAACAGTAAAATATCAAGCAAAAATTGATATGGGAATATTGAAATCTTTGTGGTATTGCTATAGGAACCATTTGACGATATAACAGATAAGATAAAGACAGTATTGAACAAAGATATGAAATTTGAATTAAGTCGTGGTTTACAGAAAATCAACATTGATCGTTTTGTTGACGAATTGTTACAACGTTTTGTGCTTCTTAAACGTACAACATATCCTTTCATATCCCAACTTTTTACCTCGTAAAGTTGGTCGACCGTTATCAAACCCTGATCGTATCATGAAAAAGTGTATGGGTTAATGTTACTTGTTTGCGTTTCATTAAGTAGCTAGTTTATTTCCAACTCTATAGCATTTTGAAAACACACGCATGTTTGGAGAACACGATTTAGTTACAGAAATTTTTCTAAATACAAGAGGTTCTACTGACAACCTTGTCTATCGTGATGGAAACTCGTGTTGTTGTTCAAAACACATTCATGTATAAAAAAACGATGCTAAATTTATTTAAAAAGTAAAATTGATAAAATTGTAAAATACAAGTCATAATGAAATATGTGCGAATATCTGCAAATGTTTTGTAAAAATTTAATTCTTGGAAAAATGTTAAATGTCATGGTAGCATGTCTTACACAAATGGAAAGGTTATTACAAAATCATGAAAAAAGTTCAAAGTTTACAATCATCTAACTTCTTCATTTCGAGAAAACTTATCTAACTGTATCAATAGAAAGCTAGTTGTATTCAATAGAAAAAGTTTGTTTATATAGTTCATACCACTAAGATTTTAATTTTCGTTTTTAACATATTTTTTAGCTGAGTACGTCAATGCAAAGCTTGATATTTTATACAATCGCAATTGTGGTTGTCAAATCCGGGTGGGCGAAAAAAATTTTATTTCATGAACCCGCGTCTTTTCGCTGACTTTGACAACCAAAATCTGCCATGTTTTTGACCACGCGGCCGCGCGCTAATGATTTATAGTAATTTGGTTGACATTTTCCTCCAGGTCTTATAGAACTCAATTGATCACACCCATTCCGTGTCCGATCTCCGATCATTATTTCTCATTATAAATCAAAGAAAAATTGTAGCTTCCACTTTGGATCAGGGTCCTCTATTCCTAAGAGTTGGGACAACCGTTCTGGGGCAAGCGCGGAGCCGCCATTTTGGTTCCTATTTGCAATGCGAAACTATAATAATACTATTGGAACTTGGGCTTATATGCAAAAGAAGAAAGCAATTTAAGCTTATTCCATGGTGGTATCAAATATATTAGGAGCAATAGCAAGCTCTTTGCGTTTTTTTAACGATTTGTGTTAGACCTGATTTAATTTCTTGGTTTGAGCTTTGTTTGCGGCTTACTAGTTCGTGCTTCAAATTTATCCTGACCCATTGTAAGAAGTATTTTTCAAATGTGAACGTGTTTTTTCGGCTTATGTTCCGACTCTGTAACAAATTTTCAAGATCTTTAAGCTTCGTGGCAAGCGACAATGCTATCCTGGCATCAGTGTTATCAAATAGTTGGACAAGAATTTGTTCGAAACTTCGAATCATAGTAATCATGCAGTTTTAGTTCTGAGAGATTTGTGTTCAAGATTTGTTCCAATTTAATGGTAGTGAGTGGTTTATGCCCCCCCAATTTGATCCAAGCATGACATTTTTTATTCTGAAAGATCACAAAATTTTCTGGCTTAGCAAAAAATGACAGACTTTTTTACTTTTTAGTTATTGAAATATGCAATGATTTGACCAAGATGCATTTGACCTTAAACGTTTTATTCATTTATATTAAGTTATTTCGCGTTTAACACTTTATAAATTATTAAAGCTTATTTCTAATAAAGTTTGCTAGGGATTCTGCTGAAAATTTTGGTGAAGCATTTCTTTAAAATGAATTTATTATTTCTATAACATGAAACATTTCCTTTGTTGAAAAACAGTCCGTTTGCTATAAGTGCTACTGTTTGTAGTCTTTTATACAGCATATGAGTCTGATCCAATCTTTAATTTAGCAAAGAGTTAAATTTATTGGTTGAGGAATGACAAGACTTCTGTATGTGTTTATTGATCAAGCATGTGTGTATTAGAGGGGGCTCAGCCCCGTTTGTTCAAATTCTATGCCTTGTATTGCCAGTGAAATATATACATGAAAAAGCCAGCAATATTTTAATATATATGAGAAAGGCAGCAATATTTTATTATATGAGAAAGGCAGCAACAGTTTGTATAAACATTAAAGAGCCTAAATAGCTGAAATTATGGAGATATGTCTCTGATCTTATAAACCAAAACCTACAATTAAAATACCACTGACAAGTCTAGAAGAGAAGTAATGTTCTACTTTGAGCGACAGAAGCAGGGTACATTTGTACAATTCATTACCAAAAATATATTGTATTCGGCTGTTTCAGTGACTATCCTAATTATAATTACTTTATTTTTAAATGATGAACTAAAAATGCAAAATACAACATGGAAAATCATAAGAGTTTCTGTGAATTGGTGTAGTTGTTTGTTTTAGTGTGGAAGTGGCTGAGAATTGAGAGGTTCGTAGATTGACCAATTTCAGAACATAACGAGAAATTATCTTTCGATTAAAAACAAGCTTTGGAGTAAGAAAACTATTGAAACTGCATCAGCTCGAACTTTGAAATGTTATTTGGCCCAAAAATGGTTCTCTACTTGAGTCAGTTAATTTAAACTTATATCAAAAGCAGTTCAGCACAACAATCACCATACGCAATCAAATTTCGTAAGTTCGACGTAAAGGCATTTCTTTCGTTTTTTTCGTAATCCTCGATTCTGGCGATATGTAATGAAATTTAGTAGCCGTCAACAATCAGTTAGTACTTATCCATAAAAAAACGCAATATTATCTCAAAATACTGTATTACTAGCAACAATTGCTATATAAACACTAGCTCAAATTTCAAAGCTAGGAACCAAAATAGCGGAAATTGATCAGGTGATGAATATTGCCCAATCAATGTAAGCTAAACGGATAACAATAGATGTCCCAACTCTTACAAATAGAGGGCTCTGCTTTGGATTGATTTTGCTCGCATGTTTTAAATGCCGAGGACGGTTCTGGGAAAATCACAATTTCCTTGTATTCATATCTGTCGGCAGTTGAACTGAGTAAACATACATGATTAAGATGTTCTGATTCAATCTTTATGGAAAATTAAAATAAAACGAAGGAAACGCATTCAGAAAGCGAAAAAGCGGATGACAACGCCGCCGATTTAAGCGACGAACGCACTTCTATTGCAAATGCATCGCTGAATGCTTAATCTAATTCAAGCAGCAGTAGCAGCAGTAGCAGCAGTAGCAGTAGTAGAAGTAACATCCAGCAAATTGTATATCCGGGAGAGGGTAAGATTTCGACTTAGAATTTGTCACAATTATACATGTTATCATAGACTCCATCCTTGAAATTATCTTTAACGCAAATAGCACTTCAATAAGTAAAGTAAAACCGAAAGTGCAAATTCCAAAAACGAAAACGCTCGATCGAACAATTAGAACAGCGATAATTTGTTCCATCAACCCATAAGTTTTGAGATTCCGTGCTATTTTAGTGTAGATTCGTTTTTTGCTCATGATTTTATGAATTTATATAAAACAGTTCCTGCTTTCCTAAAAGAAACAGCACTATAATCTTGTGTGTTCAAAACCGGAAGTATAATTTTGCTCAAAATGTGCAGTTTATATTAGCCACATTCCAAATGCACAGCTCCATATTTTTTTGAATCAGCTTGTACAAGAGTAAGCAATCATTTAAAGAGCAGTGATGGAACCACAAGTGCTGCAGTCCTTTCACATAATCGTCCCTTGACACTTTTAGAGATGACCAAGAATAAAGATATTTTACCTCAATCTGACCAGGTAAACGTGCATGATTATAAAACGTACATCATACACAGACAAGGTCATATGCAGGTCATGAAATCTGCCGTAATAACAATTTTTTGCACCTTACAACAGAACACTGATGCAATCGACGAGGAAATAAATCATGAGAATGAAAACCGCAAAGGTCAAAAGCAAGGTCAAAGAAGGTACCACTTGCCTTTTATTTATTAGAGCTCATAAGAGTGATTTAACAAACACGACGTTTCGTCTAAGACGCCGTGAAAATGGCGTGGCATGTGCTTTTTACTTCCGGTTCATTCTACGACGGCAGACGTGTTGACGACAACGATGTGAAAACATACCTTGTGACGTTATATGATATCTGAGACAAACTTAATTTTTGGATAAAAATAAAGATATATCTTTGATATTTGTATCTTAAAAGGTTATATAGGCCTACATATATATATCTAAGTAAAAATTGCGAATGTTTTGTTTCCTAAAACGTAAGAAACCAGCAAAAAACATAGCGGGGCCTACTCAAACTTCAGGGGTTTTCTCGAAGTCAAGACAACTTTAGTCAAAAGGACGTATGTCGATGATTTTGTATTTATACTGCAGTATATTTTGATGTCAAAAAATTAGCTTAAAATTAAAACGATAGAAAGAACGATCCAGCGGGAAGTTGCTGAAATTGATGAAACTTGTTTCATACTATTCTTTGACTAAATTTGACAACATCTTAAACGAAACGTAGTGTTTGCCAAATAATCAAGTCTTACAATTTTATTTACTGTAAATCATCCCTCAAGCTACTACATATTGCGCAACAAATTGATGATATTTACAAAAACAATGACTAAGACACCACAATAGGTGTATAGTACATAACATGTTATAAGGATAATAATCAGTCCTTGGGTTTAATAAGTTACGTTGAAGTTACTTCCGCTTACAGACTATTTCTATGTATTGACATGATCAAATGCGTTTAGCATGTCAAAGCAGAACTTCCCTGTTAGTTCATTAATTGAGTTGTCCTGCATTACATTAAGTAAATGAACAAAGTCTCTCCAGTAAAAGTTTCTTTCAGTAAAAGTTTCTCCATGCAGTAAAGCTAAATGTCTATTATTTTAAGTATGTGTTCTCCTCACACACAAAATAAAAAACCTAATTAGCTTTAGAGAGCCTATTCCCGATGATCTAAAAGCCATGGTGCTTCTCAAATTTAGTTTCAAGGAATTTAATTCCGTTATGGAGTGTATCTAACTGTCGCGGGTCGCAGGTTAAATGTCGCGTGTCACGGCTAAAATGTCGCAGGTATAAAAAAACACTTTTTTACATTGAAAAGTTTGAAAGTCGATGTTAAATTCTTTATTTCTATGTATGCTCACTTGAATGTGCTCTATGAATCAACGTTCTCTGTTGTCAACATTAAAATATGTCACCATATAAATGTGTTAAATTTAAACTTTAAAGTACTTTATTGTTGTAATCATGCATAGTTATATACTTACCAACCGTCGACATTTCAAGAAATTACTCGTGTACAACTGTTAACTTGACACTCAAAGCATTACCATACGTAATGTTTGGTAATTGTATTGGAAATTGAATTATTGGAAGAAATACGTAATTCTGTCGAATTGCTGGAAACCTGGTCCGGATTACTCTTTTCTTCTTCTTGAAAGCACTGGTAGACGTTTTCAGTTTAAATGGTTGTCAAAGTTTAAATGGTTGGCTTACTCTCCTTTGGCTAAAGGTGTTTTTTGCGTCCCTTATGTTCTTTTTGGTGGTTAAAGCACGCATAATGCAAGTAAGCTTCAACGATTGATGATCAGTGCAGCAACATGTTGACAAATCTAATATTCACGCAACTGCAACCCTTCGTGCTTCTTAGTTTACGCAACCCTCCAAGCAAGAGGCTTGGTATCGATGTGTAGTTGAATTCTGCCTGACAAGAATTTAGCATTTAGAGGTCATCATGATGATGCTCACCATTACCTCGGTGAAAAAGATCCGACTAATCCAGGCAACTTCATCGAGATATTAAAGTATAGCGCTCGATGTGGTAACCTGATGGACGTGCTTTTTGAAAACTGCCCTTCTAACCGAACCTATAGGTCATAATTTATTAAAAATGAAATAATTAATATATTTGGCGACTTAATAACTGAAAAAATTGTGGATATTAAAGAAGCGAAATTTTTAACCATTTTTGTAGATGAAGCCACTGATTCTATAAATGTAGAACAAATGGCGATTGTTTTGCGATTCGTGCACAAAAACTTTAAAGTGAGGAAAGAATTCCTCGGTTTTATTCCTTAAATGAACAGCCCTTCCGGTGAAGCTCTGTCCGCTGAGATAAAAAATTTCATTCAAAAGGTCCGCTTAAGTATGGAACAATATCGTGGCCTGGGTTATGATGAAGCGGGAAATATGGCAGGCAAATTTTCTGGGATTGCTGCCCGAATTTTACGAATATACGAAAAAGCAGTTTACTTTCATTGTGGTTTACATATCTTAAATCTATGTGTTGCGTCTGCTTGTGGAATAGACATATTGCGTGAAATGATGAATAATGTCCGTATGGTGTCCGACTTCTTAAGGTGGCTCCGTAGTTAAAAAATCGCCATTTCCAAAAGCTTATTTTATCATTACAGAATTATTGGAATGCCATGATTTTTGGGGGGCAGAAACAAAACACTTAAACAAATTAACCATAAAAAATTGGTATATATTCATACAATTCTAAAAGTGTAGTAACCTGGTAAGTTGAGCCTGTTTTTCCGGCAATGAAAATTATGGGGTCACAAGAAACTTACTATTGGCAAAACTATAAAAGGTGTGGTTCCCAATCTTTTATAATATTATAAACAATCATTGATATGGCTATCCTTTCATTTAAAATTCCATTCAAGAGTTGCTCCCTTTTGTCGATGTTCTTTCTTTTCCAAATATTCACACCGCCTTTAAATTATTTGGAACAGTTTTAGTAACTACATGTAGCTGCGAGAGATCTATTTCAACCCTTCTTCGATTAAAAACATTCATGAGAAGCACAATGGAAGGAAGAAGACTAACGTCACTTGCATTGTTGAATGTGCATCGGGAAATGCACCTTAACATCAACGAAGTAATTGATCATTTTGCTCCAAAAAAAATCCAAGGCAAATGGTGTTGGCGGATATTTTAAACAATGATCTTGCTATAGTGCCAGAGAACAATGTTTAGGTACTTTCAATAGAACAAGTTGATGCAAAAGGAGGAGGGTTGGCATGTTGTTGTTTAAAGTAAAAAACACAACACGTAAACGTTGGCATTCAACTTAAACACCAAGATGACTAAATTTGCTTTGCTGTCTTAATTGGATATCTCGCTTTCGTTGACGGAACAGAGATATGGTGTTACGTAAGTACGGCGATTTTTTCATTTTTTAACGTTGTAACATTCATTACGGAACATGTTTGTAATTAGTACTTGAATTGTTTGGTGCATTTCACTATTTGCTCCCTAAAATTTTGAGCTAGAATATAGCGACAAATGCATAATAGAGTTCCACGCTCAAAACAAAGGAAGTTCAACTTTCGGTATTCATGAAAGAAAGACCCCCCCCCCTAAACATGAGTGTTTACTGGAATGCGCCACGGTCAGGATTTACGCTGGATCCGCGCCTGAAAGCAATGCAACTTTCCATTAGCCGGAAAGTGTTAGTTATACATATGATCTTATGATATACCCAATGTACCCAGTATTTAAATTCTATAGTTAGAGGCTGCAAGACTTGGGGGTATTGGCATTGCCGTTGAAAATTCCGAACATCCACTTCAAGTTATAAACACATTTAGTTTAGGATCAGCTATGGATAGATTACAAGTAAAAATGGCTTCCACTTTTTCTTGCGCACAATTGGTCTTTTACTTAAGAATAATATGATATATATCCAATACATGAGTTGTATCCAAATAAATCCTGAATTAAATGTTGATATTTGTTATGACAGTACTACACTTAGAGCCAGGGTTTATAAGATACACGTTCTCTGTTGTCAATAGAACTATCTCGTTAGCGTTGTGTAAAATCCTGATACATAGGCAATGTGTGTTTGTTCTATATATCCAAATATAATATTAATAAATATAAGTTATGCACTAATCATTATTGAAAAGATATTTAGCTTTTTATTAGTACCAAGCATCACTAACCATTCAAGACTTACTTGGATACATTCTGTTGCTAGGGAAAAGCAAATTTATAATCGTGAGAAAGTGCAAGTTATACATATAAATAAACCATATCTTATAATTTATGAACTGGGTATTTACAATTTCAATTGTATGAGAACTTTAACGGCCCTCAAAACTAATAATAATTCCTCTTCTATAGCAAGCACAATTATTATATATCCAAACACCGGTGACATATATTAATGTTGACTGCAGAGAACGTTGATTTATAGAGCACATTCAATTGACATACATAGAAATAAAGAATTCCTGAGAATTTAACACCGACTTCTTTCAAACTTTATCATGCAAAAAAGTGTTTTTTATACCCGTGAGAGTTTACCCTCGATATTTTACTCGCGACACGCGACCCGCAACAGTTAGATACACTCTCCGTTATGTCGGTGTATTTAAAAGCCATGGTGCTTCTAAAATTTAGTTTCAAGGAATGTAATTCCGTTATGTCGGAATGCCGTTATGTCGGTGAAACCATCGTCACCCATCATCTTACCATAAGGATTAAAGAACAAATAACTTCCGACAATAACTTACACATCCACACTTGCTAAAAACTCCTAACTGCAAATCAAAATACACTCGTTCTTGCTTCCCTATTTTAGAACCATCACTTAATTTTCTCCAAAACTTAAAGAATGATTTTTTTTCGATTGTAACTATTTTTATTTGTTTTTATCACACTCACATGCTGTGTAAGTATCGCTTGTATAGTCGAATACCTGTTATCACACTTCATTTATATGTATCATATATCATATAATGTATTTAATACTATGACTATTTAGTTCATTGACTTCATGTGTAATGAAAATCCCCTTATGTTAAATCGAAACGTGTTTATGTTGACAATTTGTTGTTGTCCCTTTTAAATGCCTTATTTTTAATCAAATATTAATCTTAAAAAAACAAATTGAAACTTCGACTCGCCCCACTTTCTCAAGCTTTGTTGTATATTTCCTATTTTAATTCTAGAGAGATGAAACAAGATAAACAAGTACAAGATGAAGACATGTTTACTGTTATTTTTAAAGCACTTTCAGCGGAAAGTTTTGTAGAAGATAATGAAGAGAATTTCAAAGTTTTCATACATGGAGACCCACCAGTTTTTCGAGGATGGGAGAACGGATCAGGAATACCTGTTGAGACAAAACGGTTTGTATAGCATGTTTTTATTGTAGATACTATTGTGATGTATCATAATCCAATCCAGTGTTAGTAAAAATGTATTAATGCTCATCATTTTTAAATTCGCCACAGTTTCATAACATAGCGTTATGAATTTTAAGGCTTAAGTTAAACAAGTGGGAAGTCTTTATCAAATAGGAACAAATAAATAGGATGTACAAATAAAGCGTGTAGGGCGTAGTTATATTTGTTACTGGAAAGGAATGACCCTTAAAAATGTTTCTGAGCAATCGATAGCAGTCTGTTTCATTTGAAATGACGCATTTCATATATTGATAAAGAATAAATCTTTACCAATGGAGTAGATTTGTCGTTGTTTAGACATGTAAATATACTCAAGATTGAGCTGCAATAATTTATTTTGGCTATAGATCTTCCAATTACAAAATAACAAAAATATGAAACTGTATTTATATACCTCCTTTTTATACCAGAATAATCTCCGGCCGCATATGATAGAGTCATATAATAAAATAAAACACGTTTTTCACTGGATTAAACGAATGTTTGAGTGTTTTTAATTTTTTTTAATAGATTTGGTGAGAAACAGTGGTTGCTCAAAGCTGTTCTTCAGGTGCCATTAGAACATTCAAAGAAGAAATGTGCTTATAAATATGTTTTGATGTCTCATGGTGAAGCAAAGTATGAGTTGTTGGTGGAAGTAGAATCATCCTTTAATCTCTACAATTTTGGATGTATAAATCGCTGCCTATGCATTCCGACAACTTACCGCAGGAAAAATAGTAAGTTTATTTTTATTGCACGTTATGTATGATCATTACAAATAACATAAGTAAGCTAGTACAAAAAATGTTGAAATTTCATCATTGCCTTTTTAAGAAACTGAGTTATAGCTAAGAAATTTGCAGTAGTTGAAGTATTTTCATAAAAGTTAGTATTTTTTGAGATGAATCAAAACGGCTCTAGTAGCTATGTATGAAAGTTATTTGGCATAAAACTTAAATTGTCATAATTTGGATAAATAATTATACATATGCATACGGATGAAAGTACATATATTTTTGTATATTTGTTGGATTTTCTTGGTGTTTGAAGTGCTGCGACTTGACTTTTTCTATCGGGCTTTAATCATTTGATCGCAGTTATGTTTCTGATGTGAATTTTTATAACTTCGTGGTGCAAGATTGGTTAACTATCATCACGTGTTTTGTATTAGAAATTTATTACAAGTATGATGGATTTGTCTACAAGAACACTGGAAGAATTTATAAACACTTTGAGTGGGTAAAAAAGGACAGAGAAGAATTCTTGGAACGGTTTTTTCCACGCTGGATTGGGTTTTTCAACAGTTCTGAGAATGTAGAAAGGATGCAGCCAGATGAGGCGATGGAAAGGCTTCATCTTTTGCTCTTAGCGGTTACCGAAATGTGGATATCGAATGATGGAGAAGTCTGGAAAAAGGAATTTTCCAAGCCTGATTTTGAAAAGGTGTAAAATTTTGTGATGAAATGTTTCTTCATGTAAAACATTTTCTAATCCTAATTAATGAAAAATGGTATATGATAAATGCTTTAATTGTATTTTGATGAAAAAATTTTCCTTAACTTATGTGCAATAAGACACTTCAAAAACATTTTGATGCCAACAGTTGAAGCAAAAAGAACTTGTTAGTTATAATGAAAAAAGTTTTCGGAGAGTTTTACTTCTTAAGTTATGTTTTAATCATACAAACTTTTTATGCATGCTCCTATTCATAATGATTTCAAACGAAATAGCTGTAGAAAAAGACTAAATAAAACTATTACCTGTGTTTTTCTGGCATATGTCAAAGTCTTTTATTCAAAACTCAAGTGATTATATTTACATTCCTTGCAGGTCGTTACTCCTTTGTTGATGCCCAAGGTAAAATCAAATTGCAAAGTTTTGAAAAATGGAAGAGTAGGAGATGAATCAAATGATTTATTTGAGGCTTTAGTTTCATCTGCTATGATTGCATCTGTGTTTGGAGAATGCGAATTTACGATAGCGAAAGAAAAAGCCGAAGATATTCTGCGGAGTCTCAAGTTTCCTGTAGAACGGACTGTTTGCGTGAGATTCATGAAAACTATAAGTGCATTTCATCAACAAATTTTAAGGTTCGTTTCTTGAGGTAGAAATATTTTGTAAAAAGTAGTTGATGCAATTAGCTACTGATTTCTGATTTCTATAAATATGCGAATTGTAGCTGTTATTTTAATCTCATTATTTTCCTTATTTCTGTCAAAAAGACATAAAAAACGTGTGAACTTTTCGTTTGCATGGTTAGCTAATGAAAAACATGTGTGGCTGTGTACCATTACTCTTCCATGTTTCTGCTATTCATAAAGACAACAAATTATAATCACTTCAGACGTTTGAGATTCTGGCAGCTCTGTTAAGGGCAATTATGGGCCTTCAAAAATGTTTCTGAAGCAAAAAGCCTCGCCATTTCACCTAAAGCTAATAAAACATTGAGTTACTAGTTTGCATTATCCTTTTTAGTTTTTGCGCTACCAACGGCTAGTTTTTTTAAAGTCTGGCATAGTTCGAATAATGTTTTGTAGTCTAAAGCATTATGGCATGATTCAATCATAACTGAAAAGACATTATGACAACTTTTCTTTCATTTTTACTCTTAATTAAATGCAAAATATTTTTGAATTTTGTCTCTAATAAATAAGTAATGAACTTTTAAATAAAAACCCTGGGCAATGCTGATAAAAGACCAGAGTTTAGACAATTCTTCTTCCAAACTAGTCTTTCAAAAGTTGTACTTCTTTGCTTTACAATGCTTAAGTAAAATTCTACAGCATATTTTTCTTATTGAAATACAAAGACCATTTAACATGAATTATTAGCTCAATCACTAAAATTATTTTCTTAACGTCTTTCTATACATATTTAACTTTGATTATTAAGAAAATAACATCACTGCAACATTACAAGAAATACTTATTTTAGAGAAAAGTGGCTTTTTTCGACATTTTGTGCTAAAATATGCTTATTTTTCTCTTTCTTTTTTTATAGCTCTTTCATTCAAAGTATTTTTAAAATATTTTACCGATTCTTCAAAACAAGGTCTTTGCTTGACTGGCTTAATGCCTTACCATTGCTTCATTTTCTCCGTGGAGAATGTGAACCATTTAAAGAAGTCCTCTATACATCAACGCCTGATTTTGGGCAATCAAAATGGTGGGGTTTGCAAGGCCTTGATTTCGGAGAAGTTAAAAGTTCTATGGGAGACAGGTTTGTTAGCTTTTATTGGTAACTGTTGCGCATGCACGGCTAACGACAATTTTACTGAAGAAGTGTCCGCGTGTCTGTCTGAGTCAGTGACAGTCGGATTTACGAGCAACGACGAAGAATGCCGTTTTTAGCCTTCGTCACTTTCTCCGGAAATTGTCGCAGATTTGTCATTTCATTCGCTCGTTCAATTGACAATCTGTTGTGAGGTAAAGCTTTGTGCATGTTGCGAACTATAGCAGTTTTAACATTCTAATATTTAGCTTGCTATATTTTTGTCGAATTTTGTATCTCGATTGTTCATTTGTGCTTTGTGATCGAAATTTCACGGCAATTTTACAAAATTTATACTGCGTAAGTTCATCGTTTTTACGCTGTTGCGAAAAATACTCGCACGTTCAATAAATTACACATGGGCACCTTTTTTCATGTTCAAAAGTTCAATAGCACTCGTGTGCTCGCAAAGAGCTCAAAAGCAACGCGACAAAGTTGAGTTCATTCTACTCTTGAGTGCGTTGTTTTGCGCGCAAGTTGAAAACATTGCAAAGGCCTTTCGCGAAAGAGCTTTCTGACCAAAAATCTCCGTTTTGTAGGAATCGTAACTCTTCTACGAAGAATCAAATAGATAGCAATTAGGGTGTATTTTAAGCATTGTGGAAGTAACTGTCTTTTGTTGACAGCAGATTTTTTAGTTTTTTTACAAAAAATTTTCTTTCAAAATTCGAAAGTCGAGTCGCAAAAAACAACTGACAGAAAAGTAATAGTGGGCAAGCGTCGTGGCGATTGCATTTGCAAAAAAATCTCATGTTGCATTTGAATATCAGTTCTCTAATGAACATTCAACAATAAGTGTTTTTGAAATTTGATGTTGGATAGCTGGCTTGTATGAAGATTATTGCCAATGTTGAGTGCCCACATTACTTTAAATGAACGGCAATAATTGACATTGGACAAATCGTCAAATTTTTCCTGATGGAGAGAGGGAGGGGATATGTGGGTTGGTTTCCCAGACGGGGAGTCTAGGCGCCACCCCTGTTAAAAAGATCCTAGAAAATATGTTTTTCAGTGGAGAAAAACCTTTAAAAAATGCGAGAGATCTTAATGACGTCACTTTCTTTATGTGAGTCTCGTGAATCCAATCACGTGACATTAGCAGGCACTGCTAAGCTAGAGCGTCGAAAAAAGCAAAAGAGTTAAACAAATACATGGGTCGTTTAACTAAATATCATTTTTAAATCCTAACCAAGTTTATTGTAATTATTGTTAAATATGCAGTCTTATTTGAACTACACTCATTAAATTTACATCATTCACTATCCGTGCACATGTACGCATCGCGTACTTAATTTTAAAATTGTTTAGTAAATAAAACCTGTATCGCACAAAACCAAGGCTGGCAGCAGGCTTAGAAAATGTGTACGCAGTGCGTACATGTGGATAGCCTTGCATATGAAGGTATTTTAAATGATAAATATTTTAAACACGAAGAATATACGATGCCTTTATAAAACTAGTTCATTCTTAAGACTCTTCTCTTTTCAATAACAGAAGGTGGCTCGAAATAATGACAATAATAATTTTGTATCAAAATGCCACATAATAAAATTACTACCTCTTCCAACGATACATTTTTTTTTTTATGCAAAATATGCTTTAATTGTGCTCACTAGTGAATAAACATTATTATTGTACTCAAGTGCTTGCATCGCCCAAAGTTGGCGGTAGCAACGATATAAACTCATCATCATGGCGTACATTTTACTATCACTAACGATTAGCTATGACGTATACTCAAATACTAAGTATAGGATGGTGGAAAGCCGTGCATGGACAGCGGCTAGCCACAAAAACCCATGTTCAAGCAAATAAAGAAGAGTTGTTCATGCATGATCCCAAATCTATAACTCTCCTCTCCCCCTTCACATACACACATACGCGCACGTTCTTTTATGATCAATGACACAGAAATACATAGCTCAATTTCTCAATGATGTGACTTGCAGAAATACTGTCAGGAAAAACTTAATTCTACTTTTATAATCATCAAAATTGTAATAATTTTTCTATTAAATCTTAGCATTTGGTTTATTAAATTGTTACAAAACATTGCAAAATAAGAAAAGTGCTACCAGACTGTTGGACTTTCACTTTTTTTATTGCTACAAGTTTTTAAATGTTGATCGTCTAAGTTAGAGAAATCTGGATGAAGACTGAAGTTTTAGAGTTATCGTCAACCTTAGTGGTAGTCATAAGAGTTAAATTTCGTCGAGTTTTTTGTAACTGATGTTCAGCAGAGTGGTTAGTTTTCAGTGAGCTGTATCTTTAAGTTCCTATCCGGTTCACCGATGTAGGTGGCCCTGGTTTTGTATGTGATTTAGAGTTAAAAGATGATTCGTTCCAGTTAGACTGTAGACTCATAGTTTGTTACACAACACCCTGTATTTCATACTTGTTGGGCTAAATGACTACAATATATTCATACAGAATAATGTACTGTGATATATGATTCGATACAAAAAAGAGCTATTTACGCACGTTAACAGTTTATTATATATGTGCGAATCAAAAAAAGTGTTGGGGTGTTTATTTTTGTCGAAACGTCCTATCTTTTATACTATCTAGCTCTCATTACGTATGCTGCAAATTATTCTTTATGTTAATGCTTACGAACGCTTCACTAAAAATGGTAGCTATTTGCACAGCGAAGCATGTTTGAATCAAGAAGATATTTGAATTATTTTAATGTTTTTATTTACGCATGCAAAGAAATCTTTTTTGATTTCGTTCAATTTGATTAACTGCAACATCGTGCAACTTTTTACGATATCTCGACCGTGGTCCTAAAGTGTTTTTACAATCTATTCAATTGCAAAGTGAAATTTAAATTTTTAAAAGTGATTGAAAGCGATGCAAATTGCTCAACGAGAAAGCAAATGGTATTCGAAGTGAATTTTATAAAAAAAACAATGCAATTTCAGTATAAACAAGCCGCATATCGGCCATTTTACCACGCGGATTTCGTCATAATAACATATAAAATAAACATGTTATTTACCGTCTGTGTCAGTCCGCACTTAAAAAATATTTTCACTCGCCCTCAAAAGTGTCCCTAAGTCTTTAGCCTCATGCTACTTTTGCGACTTCGTTTTCCGTGCGTACATCCCAGCCAGTAAATAGCATATATATTTTACTGTTTATTTGTAGTGAGTTGAAAGATATACTGCAAGAAGTAGAAAAAATGTTTCATGTTGATCCTTTACTGAGGCGTACATACCTACTGCTATGTCCTCTAAAGATATTTGGTGACCTTCTGAAAGAAAAATATTTCACTTTGCTTGAGTTGTGTTTTACAATACGGAAGCTGATACTGGATGGAAACTTGCAAAATGTGGTGAGTGCATGCAATAGTAATGTATATGTTCATATAATTGGTGTGTGCTGCAAAAGACAAAAAGTACTACACTTCATTTATCAAAGTGTCGTTAAAGCCGACAAAATTCAGGGTACACGTCAACAAGATTGCAATTTCTGGAATGACAGGGTACAACCTATTTTATCTCCGTAGCTGGCTTTGATGAATCCATAAAAGTTGTACAGGCATTAACGAAGAAAAGTTTGACTAAACTAAAAAGAAATTGTGTGTAACTAAACACTTCGGAAAACATGCGAATCGAAATTCTGTGCTGAACGATTGTCATGCTATTTTGAATGGTGTTTATTTTATTGTAGGACTTGAAGAAAAAAAGTCTGGAAAATGATTTACGAGTGAACAACATATAGGCACCGATCTCTTTACGTAAAAATTGATATAAAGCAATTAAATTCAATATCTGAAACGTTTCAAGTATACTTGTGCCACCAGCACTTTTTGTACAATAGTACAATGGCAAAAAGTTAAAGAGAACCTGCGACAATAGCAAAATCACTATTAAACATTTTATCCATTGAGAAAATGATTGAATTTCTTTTTGTAAATTAAGCATCTTGAAGATTTCTTTGAACAGATGAGTGAAGTACTTAGTTCCAGGTAATTATAATTTGACTATAGTATACACGAACAAACTGATTTGTGCCCAAAATTTGTGTATGCGCTATATATGAGCAGAATCCATTCAAATGAAACCAACCATTGTATTTTGAAAGCTCACTCACACTCAATAGAGCTTTAAAGTCGACTCCTAACTTTTATCAAAAATAACTAATTTCACTCCACAGATTGATGAGATCAAGGAGTAGCTAAAAAATGCTTCTCTATATAAAAGATGCTGGGTAGTCTTTGTTGTTTTCTTCCTCATCATAACAATAAGAGAATTTTTGCACGTTTTTCTCCTAAAACAATAATTTTTGGTACAAATTTCAGAACAAAAATCCGTTAAGATAATTTTAGTCGTAACTGTCAGCCAGCAATTTGTAACTATAGCTAAGTTTTCTATGCAAAGGCACATTGCCTTTGGAATTCCATTCAAATTGTAGTACAGAATATTTCCAAGTAAGCGATCGTTAAAATTCCGGGTTAGCTTAAGCGCCTAAAAATTGTGAACTAGCAAATAAATGATGTGAAAAGGCATGTTTAAAAATATTTGCGAGTAAAAGCTTATAATTATAACCTCAACACTGTCGTAAACATGCACATTAGCATAGAAATGTAAAAAGTTAATGTAACATGATTGCAAGTTCTCAAAAACTTGCTTAATAATAGCTATGTCTGTTTGTAGCAGTGTTTATAAGCATAACTTTGAGTGTTTTTGTTAAAAACTCACACGGGCTATCAGCCTTAAAATTTGAATACATTTTCGCACAGTTTCAGTTTCGAATTTATTTGTCAAAAATGTTCTTATTTATGGTTGTATACAGTTAGCAAAATACTTATGTGAAATAGGTAGCGAATTAAGGTGCTTTTCAACGTGATCTGCAGCAAGGATTTGCAATGGGATTTTTGAAGTCAACTGCTGCTCTTTATCCTAAATCCTTACTGAAACGATTAAAGATGTTTCTGACATAATCTTCTTTACAGCCCTACAATCTTTACAGAAAATAAATACGAAGAAACAAAAGCTTTGCTTTCTACGTTGGTGTGGATTGGAATGAGTTTAAAATTCGAATTTCATTTGCAACAAATTAAGTTTTTTTGTTGCTTGGCAAAGTGTATCGCCAACGCTATTAATCTTCAAAAGAGAGGAATAATATTGGGAAAAATGGTGTACATCTTTATTCGAAAAGCTCGCCATTATCTAAATCAGATGTAAAGGACATGTGGCAATTTTTCGAAGAGATATTTGAACTTACAAAGAGTTATTTTACTCGTCTTTGTCTATTAACCTGGAAGATTGTAAAACTCTGAATGGCGAAATGAATTACAGGTAAGTGTTTTTCAACAAAAGATAGCTATACTTTATGTACTAATTTTTAAGAGAAGGATGTAAATAGTTTGTTTCTCCAAATTCCATTTCCTATCCTAAATGTTACCATGACCGTAGGAATTTTTTCTACATTGCAGTTATTTGCTATTGTAATATTTTTAAAAAAAGTCTAGACATAATCTTTCAGGTCTAAACGTTTTAATAAAATCACGATTAAATTATAAAGTTTTATTGACAACTTAATATATTTCTTACTTTCCATGCAGCGCTTTAACAAACAATATTTATGGAGTTTAACTTGCTCATTCTATTAATTCATCACATTGAAAAACTACAAAAGCTTATAAAGTTAATATCAAACAGCACAAGCTATTATAGATACTTGATTGTTTAGCATAATCCTTTTACTAAAATCTAATCATACAGTCTCAAAGGCGGGCAATAGAATGTTCTGGGAGGGGAGGGAGGGCTAGTCTCCTTCAAAGAGCAGAGATCATATTTTATTTTACCATTTGCAGTGGCTAGACTCATGCATATATTCTAGACTTCAAATATAAATATGTTAGGTGATGTTATTGTTTATAAATTAGAGAGCTTTAGTTTGGCGTTAACGGCAAACAGCAAACTGCAAAAAGTAACGTGATCATGATTTTGCGGCTTACGTTTCGGTTTGCGGTTCAGGTTTTAATTCAAGAGGCTCTTCTTGGGGTAGGTGATTTACGGCAAGCTTTTTATTGCTTTTGATGCATTCAAGTGAGGTTTATGGGTCAAAGTTATATTTTTATGCGAGTATGCAACATGAATATGCCTTTTTCATCGAAAAACTTTCAACAAAACATGAAATTTAGCTCACGTAAACGCAAAACTAAAACTCTCTATTATCACCGTATAAATATTTACAGTAATTTTGATAGAGGTAAAATCAAGTATGTATTATACATCTAAAGTAATTGTAGTATGATTCAACTTTTAGCTCATATACTTGTTCTATTGAATGATATATTTAAAACACTTAGCTATTACTTTTTGTTAGATGTGGAATGAATTGCTATCATTTTCTGGTCCAGATCTCTTTCAAAATTCGTGGCGTGACGAATTCATGGCTAAGTTGATTGATCGAGTTAAAAAGGTAACTCTTATTTTACTAGAACTTTTCTTATGACTCTCATTTCCTCGATTCTATTATTATTTGCAACGCAAGAGAAAACGTTCTTTTTTAATGGTACGTCTTTTAAAGAAAGTTTATATTTATGATTTTGGATACAATTTGCATTTGAAGAATGTTACTATGTTCTTTGAATTTATGAAAGTCCATTAAAAAACACATTATTATTTAAAGGTATTATCGATTATTTAACTACATCCTATAATTCGGCTAGAGGGCTCAAAAGGTGAACTTGAAATTTGGAAATTAATTGTTTTTGTAAATTGTGGCTTGCATGTACTTATTTCATTGTCTCGCAGTTTTGAAAACAAGATGTTGTCCTTATGGCAGTGTCATGCGCAAAGCTATAGTCATAAATTGTGCGAGCTGTAGGTTTAGTATTTTGACGGGATGTATATATTTTCTGCATTATACCTCGAGAAAATCAAGAAATCGACATTTATTTCCATTACGTGATCTATCCTAAATGTTATCAATAACTTCAGAGACACTGAACATTGTGCAGTTGTACTTAATTGTCTCCAAAGAGCTGAAGCATTATTTGCTAGTCCCTTTACATCTATTATATGTTTGCGCAATTTATATTTGTCAAACATTATCTATTGAAATAAATTTGTCCCACCAGCAATGTATCTCGGCACTCACTTTCTACAAGCGGTTACTTATATGACGTCATTCGGCAATGTAGGCCCAGTCATTTAGCAATAAAACCAAGCGCTTAAAATGTTATATTTTTGCATTTTTGATAGACTCTACAGCGCAAAATATTTGTTTGAATGCATTAAAATTTTGGAATATGGTTTTGACGCCACGTACATTGGATAATGTAAGGTTTATATGCACTTTAAAGTGTATGGTATCCACTAATTGTTGCGTACGTAGGGAAAAAATTTGAAATGTTTGAAAATCTGAGCAATAAACAATTGTTCAAACATTAGTTTGCGTCAGGCTTGATAGTTGATGGAGACCAATATTTATATATATGCATGTTATAATCAGTAGAAAACAATTGATTTCAACGTATAATACGTCACAACATGGATGTATTCGAATATCACCCTCAATTTTATTGAGTTGGCTACGCCACTGTATTAAATAAAATATAATAGCAAAACGTTTATAGCTAGTAATGTTTAAAAAATAATTATTCTTCACCACACAAACAAACAACAAAAATTATTGTCATCTGTAAAAATGTTTGTAACTCCAGTTCTAATGTCGATGCTAACCTTTAAATAAAACATCCATAAATTAAAACACGAACATATGACGAACAACCTAACATAAATAATTATATTATGTAGGTGTCACCTCTTCGTCAAATAGAGCTGCTTTTCCTGGAGGAGAAGGAAAAACTTTGTAGTGTACTATCTACGTGTTTAAGTGACGCTGCTTTTGAAGCCGTTGAGAAAGTTGTTATTGTAAGTTATAATTCATTCTATATTTTGAAAACTCTTAAAAGTTTTGTTACTAGTAATTGGCAAATTGTAAGCTTTGTAACAGCTTAAAAGTGTCTCTTTTGTGTTATAGTGAGTTAAAAAAGGTAACTGGTATATGTTTTGATTTTAAAAAGTACATGCTTTTGTAAATTAATGAACACAATATTTCCTTACTTTTGAAATATAAACCTTAGTTTAAAGGCACTGTGCATTTGAAATTCAGGCATGCGTATTACAATGCAAAACTTCAAAACAAGTTCAAAAAACGTTTTGGTGTATACAAGACCAAGTGCAATGCAAATTTGGTGCAATTCATTTAATACAATAAAAACATAAAGTTAATAAAAATTAAGAATCGAATGTTTCATTTTCTAGTAGTGTAATTTCATAGTTATAGTCGACGAAACGATCGGCATGAAAACTTTTGGTCATTTATAAAAATTGATTGATCAACAGCGGTGAAACAGGTTGATCTCATTGTAAGATCTACTGTGTCTTTGAAATATCGTTGTTAAAATAAAATGTTCAACCTATGCAGTAGATTAGAACTTTTGTTTTACAACGCTATAAACAATTTATCTAAATCAGTTATATGGTATTATTATTGTGATATATTTAGGCAAGTCACAGCGGAGAAGCTTTTGAAAATTTAAGCCAGGAAAACTTAACAAAAGCAATTGAATTGCTTCTTAATTTGCTTAACAAAGCCTGGCCTGAAGAACTAAAAAAAGAAGGAACTTTGAGCTCGAAGGAGGAAGAAATTTTGCTTGATCATCTTCTAAACTGGTCTGAATGGCCTGGTTTTTTTAAGTTCATCGGTAAGATTGCAATCAGTTGTGGAGTGTAACTGTGTCATTAATTAAGTTTCAAACCTCTTAGGTAAGCGTTCATAGATAACCTTTTTTAAGTAGTTTTTTTAATTCTTTTCTATTGTTATTGTATAAAAGCAAGAATATTTTATTCAAAAGCATTATGAAATGCTCTTTTTACACCCTTTCTTGCAACGGAAACTGCAAAATTACGTAAACATTAACACAGCTAACCTGTTTATCAGGGACGTTCCTGGAACGTTCATCAAAGAAGGGGTTTTTTTCATATACTCAGTTGTGCCAGACTGATTTCTCTTCGAAGGAATTCGCCTAAGGAAATAAAGCACTTTGCTTTCAATAGAAATTAACCCGGACATAATTGAATATATAAACCACCCCCCCCTTCTTTATTAACGTTAACGGGGTAGCTCTCTTTTTATCGATGGTATATTATCAACATGGCAGTTGTCCAAAATGTAATTCCTCAATCACAGAAATAAGAAATCATGTCCACCCAATCATTTTAAGAAAATGTACAAAATTATTACAAGACTTGATGAAATTCATAACTAGCTACTATACAAAATAATTATTCAATTTGTAAAATTTTATATCATGCCTTACTATTAAAGTACTTTTAGCTAAAATTAAACACTTACAAAATGTCAGAGCAGCAAAGTATTGTCTCCTGCCCTTAATTTCATCAAATTAAAGTTTTAAAAAATTTTCTCAATTTTTTACTACAAAAGAAAACCAGTAAAAACGAAGAAACAAAACATCTTGAAAATACAAAATATGAATCAGAACAAGACGCAAAGTTAGCAGTGATTTTCTGACTTTATTTCAAAGTCATTCTCAGGCAGAATGATATACAAAACCATACATACACATATACATTTACAATGCGTGAAATAAATAACAGAAATACGGAAGTCAAGCAATCATCAGAGATAATATACATATTATAAATCCTAACACGGTATTTATATGCACATAAAAACATGTGACTAGGACGAGATTTGAACTCGTACGAGTCAGAAAACTGCTATCGTGGCAAGAATTACTTGTCTATACGAAGTTTAAAATAGATTTGACTCGTCTTCAATCCCTGTGGGCTTCGTAGCTCAACAGGTAGAACGGCGGAGGTGCGAGTTCAAATCTCGTCCATGTCACATGTTTATCATGCGCATATAAATTCCGTGTTAGGATTAATATTATATATATGAAGTTAAGCAATAGAAATGAAATGTTGTGATATTTACAAAAGTGTCATATTTTAAATGGATGAATTGAAAGCACAGACACGACTGGTGGAATGAGTGTAATTTAAGAGAAGAGTTGTAATTCTTTGCTGACCTTAAGTCACGTGTTAAGAAAAGGTTTGTTACGTTTGATGTGAAGTGTTTCAAGAAAGGCAAGAATGTGGTAGTTGCTAGATTTACTTAGGTGAAGTATTTTATAGTTTTTGAATATGAGGTTTCCTATTGGAGAAGGGGTTCCCGGAGGTGGAGGAAAACTATTGAGTTGTGAGAACTGGTATTGTAGAATGGTAAGGAATTGAGCGTTTTTGCACTCAAACAAATGTTGGCCAATCGTGCACTAGAGGAGAGTCGGGCTGCATGCTCTTTTAGACTAACAGAGAAGCATCTTTGTGTCACGCCAATGTAGGTTTTACCACAGCCAGGGCACGTTATTTCTTACACAAGATTACTACAATTAAGAAAGTGAAGGAATTTTGTCCTTGTTGAAGACAAAATAGGAGAGTTGTTTAATCTCATAAATGGTAACAAATTTCACTGGTTGAGAAAGATATCTTTATATGTTTGTAAATGTAGACGAAAATCTAAAAAGTACATTGAATAAACTGAAGAAATACAAAGAGCTGTTCGAACTAAAACAGTGTGCTGTGGTGATCTTGAATTTACGAGACAAATATGGTTTAAAAGGAGATTTTTCTGAGGTGGAAAATATTGTACAGGTATGATAAATATATTTGTATGACATTAATACTGGTAGCCAATGATTCGTCCTAAGTGAACTATTTTAAAAGGTTTTAGATGAAGTAAGATTTTATATTTATGGTGCATTAACACCAACACTTTTATTACTTGTTTGAAAAGTTTTAAATTGGATAAGACCGAAAAATTTTTCCACTAGATTTCCTTTTCTTCAAGTTTGGAAAAATGTAAGAACTTTCTAAAAATATTGTCTTTCTACAGTGTATGTATGCTTATAGAAGAGTTTTGTTGTCTTTGTATGATTAATGCATGTGTACATGACACTAAAAAGATGGAGCTGCTTTACAAGCGCCTAGCCTTAAAGTTACACAAACGTTTGAATGTTATTTTGTTCAGGTCATTGCTTTTTTGCATCGTGCAAGGTTTTCCAAAAATGGATTACAGTAAACGGTACTTTTCGGGGGCACCATATATTTTCTTTTCAACTATAAATCACAAAATTAAAAACACATGGATGGGATAATAAATACGACAAAAAATTTGCTTTGAGAATGAGAAAAAGTCAACTTTTACTGATGATTAGTTTACTTGATGCAGTAATAAGCAAGTAATAATTACTCACAATGCAACCAAATTGCACAGAGCTTATATCAGCCCACTTACATGTTTTTTTTTACATAAATTTTATAACTGCATCTTTTGGACTTTAGTAAATTTTTATGCAAGAGTAGGCATTATGTTAAAAGGAATCATTAGTTAATTGCATACAAATCCCTCCATCGCATAACGAATACATGCATGCATATGACAAAAATTGTTTTGTTTTTTTTTAGATTATATCTTCTGAGACTTCCAGCGATATGTGCATCAAAGATATGAACGACGATCTGCTAAATGTAGAGACTTGTTTAAAAGAAGTCAATAGTCACAGAAAAAGTTGTTTAAAAGTGTTTGCCGAAAGTGTTGAACTGGTTCATTGGGTGAGAAAGTTTACAAAAGGTACACAAATTTTATTTCTTCTAAATGATTTGATATCATTAAGAAATGGATCATCTTAACTGGTTTGATTATTGTGCCACAAATGAAAGCACTAAATTTTTTTACGACTATTTAGATGAAAAAGAGTTAAAGGTACTTATTGATCTAGCCATGATATCAGCTGGGAAAAGTGATTTGGAAATCGACCGTATTTCTTGTATGCATACGAGCTGTTTGGGCTTTAGCTCCTTGATATTTGGCTACAGTGAAGAGCATGGTTTTCATGAACTGATGGATCTTTGCAAACGTCTCTGGCAAGTCACTGATGCTAATCCAACTATTGAGAAAAAGCTGGTAAGTGCTGTCGTTTGTTTGAACTGCATGGCATGGAAGACAAAATGAATATCTTCAAATTATTGTTTTTTGAAAATGATTAATTTAATTTTATTGCGGCATCGTTTGACTCATTTGACTTACATCTATAAACCGAGTTGAAACTTGTAATTCATCTCATGATAATGGAAACATGAACACAGCAGCATTTAGAGGGGGAGTATGAAACGAATTAACTCCTTTGCACTATAATTAAAACTCTAAACGTAAAATGCGGTAGCTAAGTTGTGGTAGCTAAATAGCCAAATCTCACGAGCGCTCGGTATCTTTCGTATTACACAATGTTCTTCAAAAATCACCCCCTTCGATTAAGCTGTCTGCTTCTTGTATATATGTCTATATAAAGTATGACGTAATGTCATTTTATAATTATGGCATAACTGCTATTTACGATATATGACGTTATGTAACTAAAATTAGATTGTAACTATATAAGAACAATGAGTCAGCATGATAAAGCCACTTAATAAGTCAGACGTCATCTTAAACGTCACAGATAAAAAATATTTGACTTGCTCTTGCATGACATGAGCAACTCACTAAATTATAATGCTAAACTCTAAATTACATTTATTGTTAAATTTAAGGAAACAACCCAAAAAAATCTTTCTTGGTTAAAGCAGATCAAGGAGTCAATTGGTTCAGTTGCTATGACAACAATGGTCCAAGTGGAAGCAATCAATTCATGTGGTATTTACTACATTGCTGACAAGGAAAAAGAAAAAGAAAACAAAGCAACGAGAGCAAATGGAAAACCTGAAGAGGTCGTGGTTCTTGTTGTTCCGGAGGATGCCAATAGGAATCGAGAGAAAAAAATCTACAGTTTGGATGAAGTTAAGGATATTCAAAGCAAGTTAATGTTAATTGCAGGAAAAGCAGACAATGGAAAGGAAGAAGTCGATCAATTCAATGAGGTTTGTTTATATCATTTTTAGATTATACTTGATTTGTAATCGTGACTCGCGTACTTATGAAGATAAATTACTTTGTTGTTCTTATTTTTGGGCAAAGTTACGTAAATAAGGTATCTAGATGTCATTAATGCTTACGTGTTGTATATATGCAAGCCTCATTAATTATTTCTGTAATCATATGGATTAATGACAAAATGCTTTATTTCAAACCTGCATAGCTTTTGATAATTGCTCGATTTGATTATTTTTGTTTACTGTTACATTTTGGTATCCAAACAATGAAAAAGCTTAAGTGTGGAAGATATATTAATCTTTTAATATTTCATATAATTATTTTAAAATAAAAATTTTATTGCGCTGCTGCTTAAATCGATAGACACCCTTGAAATGACAAATACGTTGCATAATATGCAAATGTGATATTAGCCACATTATTCAACTTGTTCATTAATTCATTCAACACTTTAAACAATAAAAGATCCATCGAAATTTTTACAAATAATATTAAAAAGTTGATCTTGTTAGCAAAGTGTAGAAAGGTATATTTGCAACTTATTTACGTGTATGCCACTTTTTGTTTAGGTTGTTGAAGGAATTTTGAGACTAAATAAACTTTATTTGCAACTTTGCGATGTGGGAGAAATCAATTATCTCGACTGGAAATCTAAGTTTCAATGCAGTAAAAAGAACAACAGAATCACGATCTTCTCTCCAGCATTAACGAATGTTGTGAAAACATGGAAAAAGATTTAAAACAATGGAAAGAAACTATCGATGAAAAAAGATTGCATTACTACTCTTTAAACCATTTTACTATGAAGCAGATTTTAACCTTACGAAAGGAACTTGCCAAAGCTTGTGTTGGTGAAACTGCAGTCAATGAACTTCCATGGCAAATATTTGTGCTTCTTGAAACAGTTAAGAATAACATTGATCCGATAACACTTGCAAATGTACTTAAGTCAATGATTCCAGAGAATTCTGTGTATTTAAAAGAGGAAGAAGATTTGAAAAATGTGGATAAACCTTTTGACAGTGACGAGGACGGTGACGATGATACGGATGGCGAAAATGATACAACATCACATGCACATTTACGAAGACAAAATTCCTTTGAAGTGCTTACTTCTGTTAAAGATATTTTAGAATGCCAGGGCTATGATGAGGAATGCATACTAGCTGCTCTACAAGCTTGTGGTCGTAAAGCAACAAAGGACGATCTTCTTGCATGGGTATTTGACTGTAATGATGACGAAGGTGACATCTTGGCTTTATCACAAGAAGCAAAACAAAATCCTTGTCTTTCTGATCTTATAACCAAAGTATTTGGCAATAACTCTGACACTGCAAATGAGGATAGTTTTTTGGAATTCTCTAAACCTACAAGGTAAAACTCATATTTTAGATAAAATTACATTTTTTAATTGATGTTACATTATATGAGAACACTATTCAATTATTTATAAATCTTTTTTTCCACTGAGTAAACACATACAAATTTACACAGCAGAACCAAGTAATTGGATCCTCCTCGCCACTGAAAACGTGCACTATATTTGACTGAGAGACGCGATTGATAAAATAGCTTTCATCTTGGCTTAAATTCCTAAAATGCAAGTGTCATGGATTTTATATCAATTACGCAATACCAGTTTATGATGCAAAAGAGTCACTGTCTCTTTTCTTTTTTGCAAGGATCATTATGGCGTCATGCCAAAAGAAATTAAATAAGGATATTGTAGAAAAGTCGAAAACGGTCTAGAGGCTCACTGCATTCCTCTTAAATTTTACATCAGCCATTCAATTAGTCATTATTAATGGCACACCAATTTATTTGTTCTTGGAAATTAACAAAGTTATAATTTCGAAATTCCTTCTGCAGAGGATACATTAAGCTATGCTGTACACAACAATTTTAATAATGTTCATTGATTGACTTTAGATCGATTCATGAAGAACAAAGCATCTCTCCACTCACCAATTTCAATGAACCGTACGTTCATAACGAGGATGACATATATTTGTCGTTAGAGGTTTTAGCGGCTGTTTTGGAAATGATTTCAAAAACAGGTTTGATTAACAAAAATACCTTCCCGTCAACAAACATAGAGAGGAAATATAAAAACAAGTAAATACTAATGCATATTTTTATTAGTTTCATCGACAAGACTTTATTATTATTTTTGAATTATAGTCTTTTGCACTACCAATACGTTTTAATACAATCTAGGTAAAGAACTATTTTCAACTCAGGATTTGATTGATTTTACATAGCTAAGACAAACAAACAAATGCACAAAAACAGTTTACTATGTTGCAAGCAATCTGAGCCAAAGCAGATCATGTAAACAAGAACAAATGCTAGTGGCAAATGCCAGCAATACAAAGAAAGTCGAGTTTGCTGTTGTTTTCATACGTTTTAAATTCCTTTTGAAAACATTATGCATTTCCCCCCAAAAGCGATCATTACAGAGTTTCTTTGTGTCATTCAATTGTTGCTTTGACTCAAAACAAGACATTGTTTATGAGACATGGTTTTTAGTTCTTACATTGCAAGGCTATTATCGATCTAAAATCGAAATGTTCACAGATATTAAATTTATACTGATTTGAATATTTTATGCAGAGTATAACCAAGTAAATCGACGATTTCCTCCAGTTTTCAAAGAAGGAGAGCCAAATCTAGCGCTTGTCTCAAAAGGTATTTTCTCTTTCTAATGATTGGAATTATGAAATTTTCATGGCTATGGAGATCTCGTGCACTTTTCTTCCAAGAAAAAGAGTTTGAATGACTTTTTGTAATTGAATATTTTTAAACCAGGTGAAGTTTTTGGTTGCGTGCTGTCACTTTTCATGGGAAGTGAAAATCAAGCATTACCAAGTGATGAAGAGGTGGTTGTTTGTGATGAGAACACGACATCAGAAGAGGTACGTTTCCAATAAAGTTTTCTTGTTCATTCATTTTCGGATTGTCTTGCATATCTGAGTTCACAGTATATTTTAGCGATTGCAGTGTCGTATCCAATTTTATTGAAAACGAAATATTGCTACTCAGTTTAAAATTTTTTCTGAGTTATTTAAATCATTCATTATGAACCACAAAAGAAAAAATTACAATTGGCTTTTCAAGCAAATAAATAAATAAATGTAAATATATAGGAATGAATTTTCGCTCTTACTCTGAGCAGGGTCGCGACTGTTTGTTTCTTATGAGGTTTTAAATGTTTAAAGTCTTCAATAAAAATACATACATATCTCCCAGATAGATATCTCGTTTAGTGTCATGAGTTTTTAATGTGTCTTGTATTTTTTAAAGACTTTCTTCTTGTCTTAAATGAAAAAGAAACATATTTTGTTCATAAAATTGTTAGTTTTTTCTTGTGATGGTGTACTTTGTTAACCTTGCTAAGCTTTGCTAACCTTGTATGAACCTCTTATTTGACCTACATCAATGATAGTGCCATGTGAACGTTTGCCTAGTAAAGTTTTGTCTTAAACGCTTTTAAATATAGATTGAGCTACTTTGGCGTAGAGCTGTATTGGACAAGGCTGGTCGATTGTTTTGTCTTGTTAATGCAGATCTTTTGGACTTTGACGTCAGTCAAGAAGCAATACGTTTACTTCATTTTTTAACCCAAGGACGATCCAGTAAGTTATTGAAATTTCAGCGATATAGCATTGTATTTTATTGGTACTCATTCAATAAGCTGTCAATTTTCAACTCCTCCCAACAGCCTTTTTCAATTAAGCGTTTTTGTCTGTTTAATTAATGGCATTGTAATTGACATTTTGATTCAATTGCTTTGTTGGAGATAGTCATTTTTTGCTTCTTTTTATTCTAAGAATATCACTTGGTCGTAATATGCAGTATCGAAAATGATAAATCAAATATGGTGAGAGCATTAGATCCCTATCGTCGCTCATTTCCCTTGCTTACGCCAGTAAAAGGTGTCCAAAGATACTTGAAAGAAAAACTTGCAGGTCAACTTAACCACAATACTTGCATTCCAGCAGCTATTGTAGATGAAGAAAAGTATGTATAATTCAAGTGTCTTTTTATTCACAATACATACTATGTTTTTTAGCATACTATGAAATGTAGCTACATTTGAAGTTGGAAGGGGCATTGGCCATCGGGTTTGGATAAGCGGTCTTGAAGATTTAGATTTCCTAGAAATCGTCAAGCAAAATTGGTATTGGTAAACACGTGTTAAAAATCTCGATTGAAAATTCTTTTTCTTTTTATATAGCTTATCTGTGCGTTTTATCCAGTCATCTAGAGCAGGAATGGGGAAAAGTTTGATTGTAAAACGTCTGACTAAACAATTAGAAACAATGTCAAGCACCAAAAAGAAAAATTCCAGAAATTTCCAATCATCGTTGTGCTGTACTGTCCCAGTCCATGGCGTGTGTGTTGATGGCAATGCTATCACTCGTCACCTTCTTTCCCATGCTCCAAAAAGAGATGCTCCTGTTTCAAGAATTTTTCATATAGACATTTCTCAATCAGTAAGTTGTACACTTACAGCTAAGCAAAAACCTTGCAATTAAAAGGAAGATATTTCAATGAATAACTGCTGTTGTGTTGTTTCTGTCTGAATTTTGAAATTAGCGTAGAAACCAATCTGACAGTAAAATTTTTTGCAGGTTTCAACAGGGCTTGATGACTTCTTGTTTAAACTGCTGATTCTTGGATCTGTCAAAGACAACAAAGGAAATATTTGGCGAAGGAAAACAACCGATTTGTATATTGTTGAACACACAACTGACAAGACATTTGCGATGTTAACATCTGATAATTTTCTTACACATCAAAATCCGGTAAACATTTCCAAAGTTTTATTTAATTTTTACAAAAAATGAGCATTCCTGTTCATTTAAGAGATTATCCAAAGTCATAGTTGTAGTTTTTTTGCTAATAAACAAATACTTAGTAAGTTCTTTTAATTTTCGTTACAATTAAAATAAACATTTTTGCTAAAAACACTCAGCTTTGCTGCACTCAAGTTATTTCCATTTATTATTTAGTTGATAAAAAAATGTTTGTTGTATTGATATTTTGTCGTTATCATTTATTCGATATTTCTAAAGTATCTAAATTTTGTTTTTTAGCCTAAGCTAGCGCAAAAATATTGAGATTTGCTCAGTATTTAAAAATTACTATCACGTATATCCGTAGAACTCACGAAACCGACCGTCAAGTGGCAAGTATTCGTTCATGAAGTTTTTACCACGTATCCATTGTCTTTCACCAAGGGAAACATTAAGAAATTTGAAATTACAAAGACATGGTACGAGTTGTTTTCACACATGCACGACTTCGATAGAGGAGCCAAAGATATCATTTTCCACACAGGGTGAATAGAAAAAGTATATACCAAGACAATGGTCTCTTAAATAATAGCACGCCGACAAATCAGAAACTTTTACTGATTCTAAGTACTTCAGCGTTGTCTGGTACAGCTGACATTAAAATTTTTATAAACGCAATATTTTTTCCTAGTTTGAGAGCTGTTATTAAAAGTCCTTCAAAATAGGCCTTGCTTTGATCAACGCAGCAAATTAAAACTGGGAGTTTTTCCCATTTTCACATATCAAACCAAAATTTATTTCTTTACTTTAACCTATAAAAGTTAACTTACTTGATGTCTATAGTAATTTATGCAAATTTCGCCTAATGCACTTAAGTTCTTGAAATTTCGATAGCTTACCCAACGCAATCTATGTTTTGAATCAAGGTAACGAGTGATTTTCGTGTGCATGACTCGTTTTGATTTTTACAACAGTTTTCTCACTGGATAAAAATATGTATGTTTTCAAAAATTTAAACCCCAGCTGCGCCAAATAACCAGCAAATGCTTAGAATCACAAAAAAGCACCTTTATTCCTAAAGGACTTGTATCAAGAGTTCACTTTTGTACTCCTGTATTATATATGATATGGCATTTATCATTTGATAACATTTGATTTTCACATAAAAAAATGTAGTGTTCATGCTGTTTGTTAAATACATACTTTTTGTCAATTCATGTCATGAATTGAATCTTGTTGATGTTGGAAGTTTTTAACGTTACAATACATAATCGTTCTTTCAATACTTTTAAAGACGTATATATTTTTTTTCTTCTTCACTAAAATGTTTGAAATAAATTTTAGGAGATACGAGCTTCGACAGAGAGCAATTCAACAGTGATGAATATCAACGAGCTTTCCAATATTTAATGCATGTATCCACTGGTGCTAATTTGGACAATTTTTCATACATCAATGATCCTCGTGTTGCTGTAAGCGATCCAAATAAAGCGTTGACTATTTTAATCCAGTAAGTAAATGTCACTAAGAAATAACATTTGTAAAAAGCGAATCTGGTACGTATTTAATCATATATATTTTGTCTCCTATATTAACATAATTTGATTTTTCTTAGATTTGAGGGTTTTAATTCATAATGCGTTGTAGTTTTTTTTGTTTCATTTACTTTTTTGATACTACATTTATAGCCATATGGATTTTTATTTTATTCAGATACTGTGGAATACGCGATCCATCATGGGCCGAACTTCATCACTTTGCTAACTTTTTAAATGTTCAATTACGTGATTGTGAGAAAAGTTTGTTGCAAGGCTTCAAGACGTTTGTCGTGCGTTTTATGATCAAAATGTCACGGGTAAGGTTTACAGTTTCACATAGTTTTTCAATAGTAAGCTTAACTTGTAGCGACCATTATTTCATTGCATGTAAATCTCTTCTGTTTTACGTTGAATCACTCCCGCTTGTCTTGACTTATGGAAATATTTCTAATGATCCTTAGTATGATGCCAGGAGCAATACACTTTGGCGCTTTTTGCTTTAATCTCGAGTAGGGACAAGATATTTTTTAGGATTTCTATTTGTGTGTTCACACAAAGGCACTTTGCTGAACAATTGCACAAATTTCTACTTTAACAAATTACTTTTTGCAATTTTGATCTTAACTTTTTACGCATTTCGAATCCACTTTTAATTTTATATTAAATGTTATCTATTAAGGCTGAGAGATTCTAGAGATGTTTTTGTTTTACATTTAGCTAGTTAAAAATAGATGTTTCTACCTCGTTTGACATTGTTCATCAAGTTTTTTTTAGCTCGTTTAAATTGTCTTTGTTCTAGGACTTCGCTACCAGATCGCTAAGTGATCGCAATTTGGGTATCGTTGATGCTGATGAGGTGGTAAATGACGATCTAGAGCCCTTTCAAATACGTCGACGTTGGGAATTAAGGTACATTTGAAATAACTCAATAGAGTGTTTTCGTGCATGTGACGTCAAAACGGCCATGTTGGAAGGTTACACCAAAATGCCGATGCATGAAATCAACCTATTATGAGATTCCACTATGTGGGATTTTCTACCAACATGGCGACCGTTGAAAACATTCTATGTTTTAATGTAAAACTATTCAAATAAGTTTATTTAAATAGTATAATGTATCTTCTCATTGAACTCCATGTCCTTACAGTGATCTACTTTTGTAAATACTAAATATTAAACTAATGGCAAAAATGAATGAGAATGATACAAACCTTTTTCTTTAGTCACTGTTGAGTTATTATCATTCTCTATACAACATAATTCATGTGGTTATTTTTAAATATGTTTAATTTTCTTTCAGTCCGCATCCATATATTTTCTTCAACCATGATCGTCACAGTATGACGTTTCTGGGATTCTTGTTGAATGATAACGGAGACTTGCTGGATCCTGGAAATGGAACTATTTTAGAACAACGCTTGATGCCAGCCACTTTAAGAGGTCAACTGAAGGAGCAAGGAGTAGATTTTGATGTAAACTACGAAATAAGTGGACGGTTAGTTTGTTATTATTGACGTACAAGACTACAAGTAATAAGATATAATCTTGTTTACATAGTTTGAAGTAGAGATGTTTTTTCTTGTAAAAAGCCAAAGTTTTAAAAAAAGTGAATAACTTTTATTGCCATAGCAACGGCATTAACCGTTAGGTGTATGGTTATTTTCTAGTGATGTGAGGATTAACGACTTAAGTCAAGTAATGGGAATTCATCATCCTCATGATCCTGATCCAACGTACGAGCTTACCACTGACAACGTTAAGAAAATTTTGGCCATTCACATGAGATTCAGGTAAATTGAGTAAAATTTGGTACACCTTTTTCACAATATATTACAGGTCGCTAAATATATACACGAAAAACTTGAAATTGCCCTTTGTCTATTTTATTTTTGTTTTAATCAAAAGAAATGAAAACTTTCCATGCACGAGAATACCATACTGATTTTAGCCATCGTTTATGGACACTATTCAGGCAAAATCTCCATATTAATTTTGAAGATTTTAACTCAGTAGACATGCCATTTTATATCTATAAACATGGTAAGAAATAAATATCTCTCATCTCTGTCTTTGAATTGGGGAATACGTCAGTAAACGTCCCTGTTGCCTTGATTGAATCACTGCAACCTGGAATTATGTAACGCACTTTCTTCTTTTCTTTTTTTGATATAGATGTGGCATTCCTGTCATTATCATGGGAGAAACGGGTTGTGGTAAAACAAGATTGATACGATTTATGTGTCAGCTTCAGGCTGGACTTGATGGACCAAAGAACTTACTTCTCATGAAGGTTTGCGAATTTGATTTTGCAGCCGCAAACAATTCGAAATTACGAGTCTTACTAGACTTCCATTGATCTTGTTACTGCATTTTTCATAAAATTTGAGTTACTTTTAATGCTATAGTGTATTTGGCAAACAGGATCATTCATTTTGAAGGAAACGTAACTTTCTAGTGAAAGTTTGCATCTGTAAAAATTCTCACCTAGATATCGATCACAGTTGCTCAATTGTGTTTATACAGGTTCATGGCGGAACAAGCTACGACGAAATAGAGAAGAAAGTTGCCGAGGCGGAAATTTTGGCTTCATGTAACCAAAAAATAAATGTTGACACAATTTTGTTCTTTGATGAAGCAAATACAACAGATGCAATCGATCTCATCAAAGAGATAATGGTTGATCGACGAGTGAAGGGACGATACATCGATCCAAAATTGACTAGTCTTCATTTTATTGCTGCGTGTAATCCATACAGGAAGTTAGTTTTTAATTTTAAATTTGTGCTGTTTTTAAATAATCCTTGCTGTGGAATGTAACAGACATTTATAAAGTTACCACTATTACTTTATTTAAGACACACTGACGAGATGATTAAAAAATTGGAATCAGCTGGTCTGGGTTACCATGTTTCTGCTGACGAGACTGAAGATAAACTAGGTATGGAATGAAATTAGTGTAACGAATAATTTTTTCTTTATCATAATTGATAAAAAACCCGTAATCTTTGTTTTGAAACGTGACAACTATATCTAATAATCATCAAATTGATTTTTTCCTCGCAAGTTTTGCAGATAAAGCTCAATTTGCATAAATGAAGTTTTATGTTTGATTTATTCACTTTTAATTTATAAATAGTTTATGATGTTATATTTATTTTCCCAGGCTCCATTCCTCTCCGCCAGCTCGTGTATCGTGTCCATCCTTTACCTGAAAGTATGAGACCTCTTGTGTGGGACTTTGGTCAGCTGACAGAGCACACTGAAGAACTATATACCAGACAAATAGTGAAGAGATATGTATCCACTCCTTCAATAATACCGGTAAGTTTGAATGTTTTTCACGTTGTTGTTATTAACATTGAAAAATGAACATGATAAATCATTAACAATGAAAAACTATGCAACAAAGTACATGTGTCAACATTTTACAATTCAAGACATCTGCTACATCCGATGAAAAAATAAGTGGAAACGATGTCCAAGCTTCATGTATTGCTAAAGTTTTGTCATCTTCCCAGAAATACATGCGGGAGCAAAAGGTAGAACATTAAAGATCTTTACAAGAGCCATTTAAATGTCGAGTCAATTTATGATCCACAAACATTTTTCTCTCTTTTGATTAGAACGAATGTAGCTTTGTCAGTCTTCGTGATGTTGAACGAACAATGACAGTAATAAACTGGTTTTACCACAATTATGATTTAATAATGAAAATTGTTGATGATTCTCATCGAGAGGAATATGATTCCAGTGACAGTGAAGAAGAAGATGAGGAAAGTTTGGTAAAATTAAGTTTAGTTTTATGGTACACGAAAAACCTTTATGAAATATAGTCGTGTGATGTTATTTGGCTTGCGTTCTATAAACCCAACAACTATAATTGTTGTTAATTTCCTTTTTCTGGCAAGTCACATTTACTTGAAACGATAAGTCATTGTACCATGTCCAGAACTCACATCTCAATTTTATAAGTTTATTTTGTATTCAAATTTGCTCACAGTTTATTATACTGTTTCTGTATTTGTTGTCAACCATGATAATATTCACGGTCAACACAATTATCAACACTCAAAATGATTATCCCTTTTTCTTTAGCCTTTAAATCGTATTGTATTTTCCATCGTCCAAGGTATTGGTGTTTGTTATTATGCACGACTAAGTGAAAGAAAGTCGTATTGCCGGTACATTTGTGCCTTTTTTGACAAATCATGCCCACTTCCTGGAGGTGGTAAAAGGATGGAGGATGAAATAGTAAAGTAAGATCCTTAAGTCTTAATGGACTAGATGTTTATAAAAATCTCTCTCATAATTTGTATTGTATTTTTGTGACATCTATACGTACGTGCCTTACTCAAACAAAGCCTGATGAAGCGGCATTATAACTCATTTTGTAATTGTCAATTTGAAATTATAATTGAATGTTGTATTTACGTGAAGTAAATGACGACAGTTTTCAAACTTAGCTGATATGATTCCATTCTTCGAACTTGGTGAATATATAAATAATGTTTTTTTACAAAAGGTGTCAACGAACGTTTTTGCACGATGTGGAACTCGGCCAGAGTATTGCAAGAAATGCTGCACTTTGTGAAAATGTTTTTATGATGGCGATATGTGCAGAACTACGAATCCCATTGTTTGTGGTTGGTAAACCAGGCAGCTCAAAGTCTCTAGCAAAAGATATAATATCAACCAACATGCAAGCTGGAAATTCTAACAGCGAACTGTTTAAGAATTTGAAACAGGTTAGAAAGTTTTTTCAGCTTTGCCAAACGTTTTTTCTAAAAGAACAAGCTACTTTAAGCTTCCAGCTGACTGTCCTAAATTTAATTCTTGATTTTTTACTGAACGTGGCTACACTTTTTTGCTAGATAGCTTTGTTGCTATAGTTTTGATTGAAACTTGTTGATTTTCTTTCCTGGCTGTTTTGCTCTTGTTATATGGAAAGCGTATAATAATCCATATTTTAAAATATATTTAGATTCACATGCAATCGTATCAATGCAGCCCTTTATCTACACCTGATGGCATCGTCTCCATCTTTAAACAATGTTCCCAACTTCAGAAAGACAAAGATTTGAGCAAGTTTGTCTCCGTAGTTGTGTTAGACGAGATTGGTTTAGCAGAAGATTCACCATTAATGCCACTGAAGACACTTCATTCATTACTTGAAGACGGTACAGCCACTTCTGAAGGATCTGGAAAGACACTTGATCATAACCGTGTAGGTTTTATTGGTTTATCAAACTGGGCGTTGGACCCCTCAAAAATGAATCGTGGAATAATGTTGAGTCGAGGAACCCCAAGCAAACCTGAACTTCTGAACAGTGCAAGGTTTGTAGTAGACATAGCAATTTAATTTCAATAAACTCTCATTTAAAAATATGAAATTGATCTTACATAACTGGTCACCTGTGATCTTGTCTAAAATACATTTTCAGTATGTTTTTTATGAATTCCAGTGAAAACTTTTATGACTGTTACTTCAAGAACTGTAAACGCTTATAAAACATTCTGTTGAATTTTGTAGCAACCACCACCTTAACGTATTGCAAATAACACCTGTGAACAAAACATAAAATTATTGTTTCTTTAACAAATATATAAATTACTGTTCCTGGTTATTACAAATTTTTTAGGGGTATATGTTCTTGCAATGATGATGATAATATTGAAGTAATCATGAAAAAGTTGTGCGAAGGATATTTTGATTTGTATGAACAGCAGAAAGTCTCCAAAACTCTAGAAAACGCTCAAAAAGACGAATTCTTTGGTCTGAGAGACTTTTATAGGTATGAATGTGTTTTCGTACTCTATAATTTTATTTTAAAGTACATCAAAACAATTTGTACGAGTACATTCTGTATATGTTGGCTTTAAGCTTAGCGTCTACATTTTATAATGTAGTCTTAAATTGGAACTATCTTCTGTAAAAAACACTGCGTTTGTACCTTGTTGTTTGAATAGTCTTGTAAAGATGGTAAATGGATCAGCTAGAGTTACTAATGATGGTGCTTGGATTAGTGATACTAAATTAGAGCAATGCATCAGAAGAAATTTTAGTGGTTTGGATGATGTTAATCCTGTTGAAATATTCAGTCGACATTTCCGAAGGCTTAAACATATAAAGGTAATGTCATACGCATACAATAAAAAAAGCTTGTTAAAGTTTTGGAATTTTAATTTATTCTGCATTGTTCTTAGACTCCTTCACCGGAATGTCTTCCCGTCAGTCTTATTCAAGACAGTTTGGGTAGAACAGAGAAGGAAGGGTATTTGAAATTATTCATATTTTAGTCATGTACCAAGTTACCAGTGCACAAATGACTGTTGTGATATCATAATTCTTACATCCATACGTATTAAAATTTCAGAGAAAGTCGTTATTTACTTATACTGACTGAGAACTATGCAGCATTGAGATTACTACAAGGCAACAACTTTCATAAGCACGAGCCTGAAGTGATTTTTGGCAGCAGTTTTCCAAAAGATCAACAATACACACAGGTATATATAATTTAAAATTGTGCTTTGTGGAAAGTAGTAGTATATTGCTCTTATTCTATTACATTAAACTTATTATTTTATAAAACAAAGAATAGTATTTTATATTGAATTTGTAAATACTTAGCACGGAAAGGCTGAAAGCCAAGTTAGAACACATTGTCTAATCACAATAGTTTCCTGACACTTTTAAAATTAATGATTTTGTAGAGTTTGATGCTATCAATTACATAAAATGGTCAAATTAAACTTTATGTCTCTTTCCTATGCTATAAAAATATGAAGCATTTTTTCATGTCAAAATGCTGTTATATTGCAAACATTGAAGAAACTCAAAAGTTCAAAACGTGAAACATTTCTCGTTTTCTCATGTCTCGTTTTTTCAATTTTCAATTCGTGTGAATATAGCTGCATATCAACCGTAAAACTAATGCTGTTTGTTTTGAATTTTTGTCTTTTCTATTGTTGAAATAAGTTATAACAGCTTTGATATATTTTCGATAACTTTTTCGACATGTTTGACGTTGTTAAAACACACACAAGACACCTATAATCAATTCAATAAGTTACTGGACGTTTGGGAAAACTAACCATAGATGTATAAAGCCATGTCTGCAAGTGGGCTCAATATGATGTCAATTATAGATTTGTCGAAATATTAATCGTATTAAAGTCTGCATGGAAACAGGAAGAATGGTGATTTTACTAAACTTGGAAAGTCTCTATGAAAGTCTTTATGATGCTTTAAACCAGGTTAGCATAATTAATGCTGTAACTGCATGGCGATTCGGAATACTCTAAATTTCAAAGTGTAGAGCAAACATCGTAAAGGTGTAAAAGCCAATGACCAGATGGAGCTCGTTTTTAGAGTGGGACTATGGGGTATTTTACACATGTCAATATGAATTTTCTTTATTTATCAGCATTTTTTCATTTTGCTAATCAATGCTATATTCGGAGGAATAGTTTCAGCTATAACTAAATAATAAACTATGTACCTATATCTTTTGTAGTATTACGTGTATCTTGATAAACAAAAGTACGTTGATCTGGGCCTTGGAAACCACAGAGTCAAGTGCCGTGTTGCTGACAATTTCAAGTAAATTTTTTTGTGTGATGCTCATTCTTTGTAAGAAAGATCAATAACGGTTATTGTATCTACTTTATTACATACTATAAGCACTGGAACAAATTTTTTGTTCCACTTCAATTTATTTTACCACTTCCTATAGGTAATCCATTATGGTTTTATATTGTTGGGACAAATTTTTGCCAAGTTCTGTCTCAAATGATATAAACTTCTACTTCATATTCTAGATTGATAGTGATTGCTGAAAAAGATGACGTTTACAAGCGCTTTCCAATTCCTCTTATTAATCGTCTTGAGAAACATTTGCTGGTGATGTCAACTGGCTTGACTGAACGTCAAACTGATTTGGTTGAACAACTTGAGAAGTGGGTTGCGAAATTCTCCAAAGCAAAGAACGAATATTCATCACAAGAAAGGTGTATAAGATCATTTGACAAACCATTCCTATTCAATGGAGTCCGAAAGAGCAATTTTATGGATTTCATCTATTAACATTTTGTCTTGCCAATTTAATTTGTCATACAATTTTCGTCAAATTTTGTGAAATTTCTCGTTTTTACTGAATAAGCACGATACTATTTGCATCGCACAATCAAACCTACCGACTGCCAATGTTTTTGATCGGGATTTTTTAATTGATATATAAAGACATCGATTAATGTTTGAGAATTTTTTCAATATTACCTAGACCATAAGTGTATAGATTTTGAATAAACATTCTTGACTTCGGATTGGACAGGGTTTTAACTAGGAATCATATTAGACCCAAAGATATTCTCTATATCATTAAAAATATATTTGCATGAACGAAATCACTGAACAATGAACATTATCATATAGGGTCTCATCAAGTTTGTGATAAGTTTTATTTTTTAAGTTTTGCAACGTGCAAATTAAAGTTAATAGATTTGTAACGTTTGTTGCTCCTTAGATTTAGAGAGAATATTCCAGAAATATAAAAAGTGCAGTTGAAAAATAAATGAAACAAAAATGTTATGTTAACGATCGTCAACTTTAAGTTTAGTCTGGCTATTAAAAGAAAAAAAAATACTAAGAAATTGCAAAAATAATGCTGTGGGTATGCAATAGCTAGTTGGGTTTTCAACCGGCTTCGTTGATAAGCATGTAATTTTATAAGAGTGCCAGTACTTTTGTCTACCCTTGTAACTTGTTTCGGATTGTCTTGTTTTTTATGTCTTGAATTGCATTGTTCATATATATGAAAAGAAGCAATAAATGCCATGATGATTTATACAAGAATTTCAAAACAGTATTTCTACATGTCGGAATTAAAATGAAACAATAAAACACGTATAAATTGAACTAACACCTAAATTCGTATTCACAGTTTGAATTATGCGATGCCCTAATTCCCATTTTTCTTAGTGTGCATGCGTGTTAGGAAAGTTGCAATCAACTCAAAGTTGCATCCACATGCACCAAAACCTTAGAAATAACTCAGATATTATTTTCAATTTTAGTTTATTTGGACCAGGTGATTGTTTTGTTGGTTATCACAGTGATACAGCAGCTACTGTGGTGATTCAAAATCTGAGTATGGTTACTCTGATATTGGTATGTTGGTAAAACTTTTACTATTCCAGGAATATTTCAAAGTATATTCATGGTGTAACAGAAAAATAGCAAGAATAATAAATTTATGTTTTTCTATGAATATATATGAATTGCAAGTACGAAAAAGAATTTTTTAATAATTAGTTTAAAACTTCACAACAGGTCATATATTTCACATGTCACAGTTGTGGTTTACTATATCTTTCTTCTCACTTTTTTTGTTTCCATCTGCAATTATCAATTTGCGAATATCACAGACCATTAAAGCTATAAAAATTTGTTGTTTATTAGATACTTGAAGATTCAAAGAAAACCCTTTTACAATGTGCATCTCCTGATGCAATTGCCAGACTCACAGTATCACAGTTAAAAGACAAAGCCATCGAAATTCGTAGGGAATATTACCAAAATCAACACCACGGAAGTTTGAAGGAATATTTAGTTCATTGTTTTCAAACAAAAGGCAGCACAGCAGACAGTGGCTCTCTCGTTCAGGTTTCAAATATATGACATATATATTTTTTATTTCTTCAAAATAAATAGCATGCAAAATTTTTCGTGCGATTTTTAATGAAGAATAAATGAACTTCATTTTATCATAGTATAAAACCAAACAGTAGTTTCACTCTATTGAAATTTTTTGTGTAACGCTTATCGTATTACGCATGTCATTAGCTTAGTGGCAGCCATTAAATTTTCCGACCAATAAGAAGCGCTGAGGTAACTAGCAGCAACCAATAATCTAATTAAATATGCAGCAGCCAGTTTCATAGCGACGTAGCCCTGCTGATTCTTTCTATGCAGTGATTTTACTGTTGAATTATGTTACAGATAACCACCCACTCGCGACTTTTATCGGAAGCAAATGCTCGTGCTATAGCAGGCGAAGCTGGTTTCCTAGGCTGGCAATCACGATGTATAAGTCTTCAAGAATTTCATACGGAGCAACAATTTGTCAAAACTTTGGAGTAAGTTTATTATTTTGGTTTTTTTTTACTAAAGTTTTTCCCTCATTGTAAACTCATAAATTTATATTGATTAGCGATTTCTTCATCAAACTTGGAGGTGCTGAAGGACTCCTATTGGTGCAGTGTGATGACGGGGAGAAAAATTCCAATCTTATTGCATGCAGTCGTTATCTTGTTGATCAAACACGTCGTACATCTTTGGAAACGTTTGACCCGAAACCCGTTCATATTATCTTTATCATCCAGTTGCCAAGAATTGCAGGTGGCTGTCAGCATTTTGTGGGATTTCAAGGTGGAAAATGGAAATGTGTCCATATTGACGAACTTCTTGAGGCAAATGAAAAGTTACCGCAAATTGAACTACTTGTTAATCGATCTGTTAGTGATCTTTTTAATTTAAATGTTTCCTCAAATCAAA